GTTCTGTACGGTGCTTTATTAAAAATCCTCGATAATATCCAGGGTATACGTTCCGATAAATCCCCATCGAGTATACCCTGGAGATTATCGAGGATGTATTAAACAGTCACCCCATTGTTCATTTCCTCCCACTCTCGGTACATGTTCCTATGATGTAGACAACTCATGTTAAGGAACACCCACAATGGAGGCTGTGTTACAATACCCACCAGACAAGAACAGATTCACTAATAGATTAACAAGTCCCAAACATCTTCTATAACCCTTGGTCATTTAAACATCTATCTATCAGTATATATATAGAATATTGTCACTGTTTCTCCATGGAACCTTTGTACAATGAATATCTTGCATCTTGTGTCTTACTACAGATGTATTAGACAGACTACAGGTGTATGAAAGAATCGGAATACATTAACTCATCTTGAGTATTTTGTGTTAGAAACCAGAAATGTTCTTTTACATTGCAAAGATTCCTTTACAGATTACACTGCCATAGATCCATGTAGCGCCACCAACTCTAAAAGACCAGTTCAAAGCTGCTACAGCAGCCATTACCCAGAACACAGAATTTATTGCGGGTCGGTTTCCGAAAGTTGTGAATTTTAAAAGGCTGGTTAGTAATTTTCTATTAGAGAGGGGGCAAGTTATTAGTTTGTTCCCAATGCTGGAACAAGTGAACTGTTCCCTCTTCTCGCCCTGACAGACACCAGTGGACCAACACTATCGTCCATCACTATAGCAGACGTGGGCGAGGAAGGGAAAAGATGGGTGTATCGTTTATTACAGCAACACGCTGTTTATCGCTGTTGTCATGACAACTCACCATGCACGCGACCCGGGCCCCAAAGGAGTTGTAAACATGCTTGTGTTTGATTTCAAAACCCTGCACGGTCCAAATGAACCCGCACTGACCAAGGTATAACCCAAGTTAACCCGTATTGGCCAAGGTATAACCAAAGTTCATCTTAGTTTTCAATGTTATTACATGTTAACTTATTTAAGTCACATTTCGGTTGAAATGCGTCGCTCATACCTACTGAACTCTGTGGGAGTTCTCTGGTTAGATACCCCTGAGTGACGTGATCATTTAAGCTGATTAGTTCCTGGTATTTATTTAATCTTCAATATAACATTTCAATGAGTGAAATGAACAAGGTATTGACAGCATGTATACATTTAAATCTTTCGATTATTTATACAAAACTTTCGAACCAGCAATGCAACTTGGGTGATGACTTTTCATCTCTGCTGTTCAGCACGTTTTTGGATTTCTTCTTCTTGTCGTTTTAGATGAGGTGACATTTAGGCCAGTTGTTTCATCCAGGTAGCTATGTTATCTCTACGATTAACATTGAGTAGCGCAGTTTATAGCTTGTCAACTCTGGCTGCCAGAAATGTAACCTCGATTGACCAAGGTCATTCAAATACAGTTAAAATATCGATTGCACATAATGTTACACAATTGCAGTGGCCGGACCCGCCTTCACTGACCATCAGGTTATCGTAATGGACACCAAGTGGCACGGGGCGCGTGGCGTGTCGTAATGTGACTGTGTAGTAGATAGAAGATAGGTGCGAGCTGATTCTGACCTGAACTCTTGACCCCTGTCCTGGTTTCAAAGGGGGATATACGCCAAAAACTGTTAAGAACACGGAAATGCTGGACGTGATCAGATAGCTTTGTAAATATTCCCATTCATCTGCTGAAGGAGCAAGAATCAGCTCTGAAACGTCGCATAAAGAAGTTGCTATCCATAAAAAACATGTCATGTATTCGTAATCAGGTAGGTTTGAGTGACGGGTCACGGTGACCTGCAATAGTGTACCCCGTCATGTAGGATATATCGTCACGTAGAGGTAGCATACATCTCTCTCACTCACTCACTCACTCACTCACTCACTCACTCACACACACACACACACACACACACACACACACACACACCAAAACAAACGTTACCCATCCACCTGTATGAATTACTTAAAAACTATCAAAGATATGTTAGAAGGTATTAGTTTACAAGAAATTAAGCTTAACAACACAGCTTTAAGCAAATCACGAAAAAAATAAGTTAGAAGGTATTAGTTTACAAGAAAGCTTAACAACACAGCTTTATGCAAATCACGAAACAATTTCTCAAATGCATTCATATTGCATCTTTTTCAGAGGAATTAAATTGTCCTATCTTCGACCATGCTGAAATAAACCAATAACAGTGATTTAGATGTCCAAAAGAAAGGTTGAAATAAAATTCTGCCCTGAGACAAAGATAAACAATTTAAAGTCATCAATTTTCAACTATTAAAACAAGAAACGACTGTTGTAGAGTGTGTAAAATTATAAAAGAATCATTCCTATGCTTTCAGTCTTTTAAAATATTTCTGCTGATTTGCATTAGTGAAAATAAGTAAAAAATGTCTTTGATATTGTGAAGAAGTGTTTAGGAACATCTAAAATTATCTTTGTTAACATTTTTGCTTGCCAAGTAATATTTGTCCATTTTCTATTTACAAATAGCAACATCAATCGCCAAAATGTAGCAATATTCAAGCAGTATTTGCATTCATTTCACGTGTAGAATGATTCTATAAGGTATAAAGAGAGAGTAGAATGCATGTTATGGTATAAAAGTACGACAAATATGCCACGATTAACAGCTGAAGAGAGAGAAAGAGCCATTGGTATGGTGCAGATGGGATCGACATACAATGCTGATGCCAACGCCCTCTGATGCCACCGTATCACGATTATAAGACGTATTCAGCGGGTATCCTCCCAAAACTTCCACATCCCAAAACTTCCACATCTTATAACAACAACATTCCTGGTTGACTGCACACACTTTAGCATACTGATTACCCCAGTCTGTAATGGTTTAACCCGTTAATTAGTAACGAATACAAACAATGACTAAGTAATAAATTATATATCCAAGATTTCACCCGCACATTTGGCAGTCATAACCCTGTCACTCTGTACTGTTGTTGGAGCATGTGGACGGTTCCGTAGAAGAACACGGCTGTGATAGGGCCGTTACGGTAGCGACATTATATACCGTCACAGTGTCACTGCAGTAACATGCAGTCTTTACCTGTTTTTCGATGGCAGGGACATCCATAAGTAAATCTTTTGCCTATTAAATATTCTTTAAACATTCTGCTAATATCTGACTGACAAATTTCATTAAATTATCTTTTAAAGTAAACACAAAAACTTGCTATTATTACAAATGTCACTACAGTTATTGTGCCACTACCATAACAATTAATGGTCCATACCATAACATTATCAATTTCCTTATTTAATTAAAATTGATTTATGTGTTTATGCCTGGATTTGGTATATTACTTTATATTTGCAAATCAGAATTGAAAGGAATTATTAGGCTTGTTGGCCCATTTTAAGCAATAAATATAAAATTTCAAAACTCATTAGCCATGTTTTATCTTAAATCTACATATCTTAATATACATGTACCTTAAACGTAGGTTAAGCTTGCATAATTTATGTTTTGCATTTGTATATTCAGAGTACTATGAACGTAAACAACAACATTTCAAGGTAATACAAGAAAACAAAATTTACATTTTTGCCTACATGAAATATGCACGAATTTATATTAATATATTTCAGATTTATTAACTATTATATATATTTCTACTTGTTGTCATTATCAGTTGTTTCAGTTCAGTGCACTTCCCGGGCTATCCTATTACATAAAAAGGGGTGATGAGGAGTTGTTGTTTTAACAATGTGTAGTAGTATTGGGATGTGGAAGTTTTGGGATATAACCATTCAGCGCTATCTAATTGATAAATATGAACGTAAGCGGAAGAATATCTATGCTTGCTTCATCGATTTAAAAAAGCCAGGGACACAGATGACAGAAATCTGTTGCTCAACAAACTAAATATACATGAAATTAATGGTAACATGTTACCGTCCATATGCTCCATGTACTCAAATGTGAAATATCAGCTAAAAACACAACAAGGGTTGTCTATGCCGTTTGCATCAAACACCGGTGTTCGATATGGATGTACATTATCACCAACACTCTTTAATATATTTATAAACGATATACATTTATATCTACAACCAGAAATACTAGGACTAAAACTGAATAATATTCAAATATGCCATTTATTATTTGCTGATAATATCTTGTTATTATCAGATTCACCCCTTAAATCTCAAATGCTATTGAACAATGTATCACGATATTGCACCATAAATAACCTACAAATTAACCATGATAAATCCAAAGTAGTTATCCACGGAAAGAACAAAAAATGCAGCAAAAACTTTTATTGTTATTATTGAAATTTATGTAATGTACATCATTAATATGTGAAATGTATCTGTATATCTATATCTGTGTACCTAATATGTTTACATTTGTTTTATATAGAATATTGCAACTGTTCCCTCGTGGAATGCTGTGCAATAAATATCTTATCTTATCGATCTTATGTCATGTTGGATACACCTCCTTCTCTCTCTCTCTCTTTCTCTCTCTCTCTCTCTCTCTCTCTCTCTCTCTCTCTCTCTCTCTCTCTCTCTCTCTCTCTCTCTCTCTCTCTCTCTCACACACACTCACTCACTCCACACTCTCTCTCCCCCAACAGAATCTGAAACTATGACAAACATGCAATTAAATCCTTCCTCTGAAGTGCACACCAAGCATTGTTCGAAAACTTCATGTATCATCATATACTTTGCCCCTGAGTTTTGGGTAGAGGAAATATTATAAAAAGAAAGGGGGTGTCTTTTCCCGCCGATCAGATGTATGTGAAATGTTTTAAAAACCTACTCATTGAATGTATCAATGTAAACAAACAGAAAAACAAACTAGAATCCCGTCTGCTGTCAGATGACAGCTTGTAACGGAAGATTTGCCGGCCGATTCTTTCAGTATCGCAGGTCTCTTAAATTTGCTCGTCCAGCAGAGTATTCTCCCCTTAAAAACTCTCTTTTCGAGTGAAACTATGTTAGTGCAGAAAGGAAGCGCCAAGATGAGACTCAAACAGAAAGATGGGGAGGGTTGCCTCGATAAAGTAGAGATAAAAAGATTGTGGGAACTGAATTGTAAAGAGAGTTTCAACGTCATATGTGTTGGCAGTCTCTTCAGGTGATGACAAAAAGCCGTGACCACGTTTTTTACTTCATAGAATCAGCTGATCAGTTTGTTGACAAGCCAAGTGTGGTGCACACTAAGTTAGTCATTAACAATTTTTAACCAGTTGAAGGTCAGTGTTTAGAGGTTCACTTCTCTGTTGCAGACAGAATGGCATGGCCGTGGTCACAGGCGGAGAGGATGCGATTGTGCGCTGTTACAACCTAACACCATCCGGAAGTCTGGCTGCCCAGGTCCCACAGGTAGGCAACAACAGAACCTATGTAAGATCACTGCAGCCAGCAGGGTTACTGGCCATGTACATTCCCTTCCTACAGGTAGGCAACAACTGAACCTATGTCAGTGTTTAAAACTCACAAAATTCCAAGCCAAACAGCCGGACTGGTAACTTTAAAAAATTACCAGTTCGGATACAAACTTGCCTGTCCGATTTTCAACAATGAAAAAAAATCAGGTATACCGAGTTTAGGTATACTGACAGTAAATGTGTTGTGATTGGTTATTGTAAAATGAACTGTCCAATAGTAAACATAATTATCATAAATACCTTAAACACCTCAAACTGACGACAAGAGAACCTGTCTGATATTATGAAGTATTTACTGTTAGGGGTAAAAACATCTACCAGACCACCGGACAGGCTACTTTTGAAATCTGACCGTCTGAGATGAAAATAGACCATTCTGGACGATCGGGCAGGCGGGAATTTTAAACGCTGACTATGTAAGATCACGCTAGCCAGCAGGGTTACTGGCCATGTCAGTTCCCTTCCTACAGGTAGGCAACAACTGACCTATCCTGACACATGGATCCTTTTAAGACATGAAGCAATTATATTCAAGACAAGTCTTACAAATCCAGAAAATCGGATTCTTTTACCTAAATAAGATGGCGGTTCCCCATTTAATCCAGATTCAAGGTTTAACTTATTTAGCCTGTTGATTTTTTTCAGGTTACGTTGGAGACCAAGAGTGGCCCCATTCAGACCATGGTTATTCATGACATGACCAAGTTCTATAACAATGATCTGATCGTGGGCTGACTCCCTGGGCAGCCTGACTGTCATATGTAACCAACAGATCCTTAGTCGGCAGAACGTCTCCCCCTGCAGCATCAACACCCTCCAGGTATACCACGACACAGCAGGGACATCGTCAGTCGTCATGTGTAATGACTCAGGGCTGGTGTCAGCAGTGCTGCCCTCTAGTGAGCAGTGGAGGGTTGATCTCAACAGCAGTCAAAGTGTCCCTGTGGTAAGCATCAGATATGAAAACAGTCACAGCGATTTACCTTGAGCTACAAAACTTGGGATCAAGGCCACTACCAATGATTAATTTTAGTGTCCTGTAAAGTAATGAAATAGTGGTGTGATCGCTTCCTGTAAGATTTGATAATTATTTCAAAGTATCTGTCTATTTCTTGTAAAAATTCTGTAAAATGAATATTACTTTGTACCCCAGGATGTGATATTCTCCTTTCTGCATCATGTAATCCATGATCTGGCATTGCTGTACATGTATTGTGTAAAATGAATATTACTCTGTACCCCAGGATGTGATATTCTCCAAGTGACAGGTCCAGTTAACTTCATTAAATAGGGTAGCAGAGAATGTTATTAATGTTGCTGCTCGCTGCCTAAAAGCCCGAATCGGAAACATTAAACCATCTGTAGCTTCGTTTTTAAAGAAAGTTAGGACATTGCTGATGATTTCTCGACACTGAGATGTCAAATGGAGACCTGTATCGGCTGTTCGGACATGTTGACAATCAACTGACAAAGGTGCACCTCTTCACAATAATAGACCCAACCAGTTGTGACACGGTCACGCAATGCATTAGTATTCACTTGATCAGGTCAAGCTGAACAAGCTGTAGCTGTGATGGTGATGTAGCGGTGATGTTGATGTAGCAGCAATGTTGATGTAGCTGTGATGTTGTTTCACAGAGTTCAGTCTCCCATCTGGTAGTGACATCTCTACTGACAGCGGAGCTGGTCGACCAGCATGGCCGGGAGTGCAACTATGTCCTGGTAGCTGACAATGCTGGTCACATCTTCATCCTCAACCAGGGCGTGGTCGTCATGGTGCTCACTGCACCAGCACCAGTCACCGCGGTGAGTTACCCACTTGATGCTGCAGTGAGTTATACACTCGACACTGTGGTGAGATATACACTAGACACCTTGGTGAGTTATACACTAGACACGGTGGTGAGTTACCCACTTGATGCTGCGGTGAGTTACTGGACACTGTGGTGAGTTACCCACTGGACATGTGGTGAGTTATACACTAGACATGGTGGTGAGTTATACACTAGACATGGTGAGTTATACACTAGACACTGTGGTGAGTTATACACTAGACACGGTGGTGAGTTACCCACTTGATGCTGTGGTGAGTTATACACTGGACACTGTGGTGAGTTATACACTAGACACTGTGGTGAGTTATACACTAGACATGGTGGTGAGTTACCCACTGGACACTGTGGTGAGTTACCCACTGGACGCTGTGGTGAGTTATACACTAGACACCTTGGTGAGTTATACACTAGACACCTTGGTGAGTTATACACTGGACACTGTGGTGAGTTATACACTAGACATGGTGGTGAGTTACCCACTGGACACTGTGGTGAGTTATACACTAGACATGGTGGTGAGTTATACACTAGACATGGTGGTGAGTTATACACTAGACATGGTGAGTTATACACTAGACATGGTGGTGAGTTACCCACTTGATGCTGCGGTGAGTTATACACTCGACACTGTGGTGAGTTATACACTAGACATGGTGGTGAGATACCCACTGGACGCTGTGGTGAGTTACACATTCAACACGTCTGTGATGTAATGAAAAATGGCAAATTTTCAAAAACCTATGCCCACTCTGCATTTCTCCTTGTTTTGTTCCCTGAGTGGAAATCTGTCAGACCTGCTTCAAGTTTGAAAAGAACTCATGACATACATCCAAGGGGTGGTTGCCATGGAGACCTCTTGGTGAGGGTCACAAGAAAAGAAATTGTACACTAGACATGTTGGTGACAATTAGACAGGTTAAACATCTGTAAGGTGGTACTGGTGTCATTCAAACATCCTGGATATAAGATTTGATGATAGATTAACTTCATCATTACTCATTTAGGAATTTAACATCATGATTTGTCAGTTGCCATTGGTTTATAATCCAAAGACGTCCACTTGCGTGCCTCTACGTGTCAATGCTCTGTGTCATGACATCAAGTTACAACTGATAACTGATGCCACTTGGAGCAAGCAAGCCGAACATCAAGATATTCACTAAAACTTAGAGTCTGTAGGTTTTGATCTTGTAATGATCAATGTTGCATGTGTTGTTATGTCTCCCCACAAAGGGTCGGGAGACATATTGTATTTTGTTGAGTATCCGTCGGGCGTTAGCAAATGCTCCTATTGTATCCTTTTGGGGTTTGAGTTTTTCAATTTTATATTTTCTTCTTTTCAACATAACTCTAAAACTACTTGAACAATCTTCACCAAATTTGCTATACTGCCCCTCCATATCATGTAGATGTGCCTTTTGGGGGTTTGAACTTTACTTTCAATTTTTGTTTTGTTTTGGTTCTTGATTAGATTCCTGTGAAAAGTTAGATCCATAACTTAATGTGATAAAATTGGATTTTGATTTCAGCATTTGTTGAAATATTTATTGACTAGAGGACAACTCTGTGACTGAAAAACAACAGATTCATTCATGCATTTCGAAATAGAATCACTTAGAATTCTGAATGTTTTGTAAAATATAACTATGGAGTTGTTGATTTGTTGATAAGCAATTAAGTTCAATTGAATATAAAAATATTAACTGAAGACTTTACAAACATAATAACATTTTATCAATACTATGTATTTTCATACTTAGAGCTTTTGAAATGAAGGAATCAAATGAATTGTTTGAGGTCTCAACGTTGACAAAAAGATCTGTTTATACGAGTAAGAACACTTTCTAGTTAGCACAGTGTTCAGGATACTAGGAGCTGGAACGTTTACACACTACTACCCACTAGTGGTGTTCCGATTAATTGAAATAATCGAAGATTGATCGCAGTGACCAAACGACCAAGCAATCGATCACATTTTCTCATAATCGAACATAAACGATTTTGGAACTACTGTTTTAGTCGTTGAAAAACTTGACATTGGAACATATCTTAGAAGTGGTCAGGGCCTGAAAACGTGTTTAATTCTTAGAAAACTCATTTCACTAAAAGCCATGACTGAATATTTCTCTAAGACTCAAGGAAGTTTATGTTCATGATATATTTTTAGTCATCACTTTAAAGTAGCAAGTTGCATCATGTTATACATATCTGCAATAACAACCTGGATAGGAAACTCTGAAACGCTAACCAATTTTTTTCGATATTGTTGTTGGTACCATCAATTTGAGATTTCAACCACTCCCAACACTTTGTACAGAGATGCCAACCACTCCCATTGGTAATGAAGCTAAAAACTCTATAGAATATTTGTAAGATCAATTGTGAGATTTCAAGTATGCCCAGAAATTGCCCAGGCTAAATCTAACTAGGGGACCCCACCGGGTTCCCAAAACGCCCCCAGCCCCTCTCAACCTCGGCACTTTCAGGGCTCAGGAATTGCTTTTAGCAAGGCATGACTCCGCTTTCATTTGATTCAGGGTTGGCATCTCTGTATGTATCTCAAAGTACACCCTGCTAAGAACACTTGTAACTCATAGTACTCCCAGTTAATGATATTGGAACTCACAGTATCCTCTTACAGTGATATGTGTAGATCATGAACTTAAATCCAGTGACTGTGCTGTTTTTCATCAGATGTGTAAAGGTCGCTTTGTGGCAGCAGACAAGTTGGATCTCTCATCCCCTGGGAAAGATGCTCCTCCCCTTCCAGCAGTCACCTCCAAACACTGCCACCAGGTGGCTCTAGGAACACAAACAGGAGCCATCTATCTCCTCCACAGTTTTACTGTAAGTCAACCCTTATTGCGTTGGGTCTCTGTTATGAGATATGTGCTCTTTCTGTAATCATATAATAGCTTCACATGAGAACCTAATGTTATGTTTGCTCATTAAGGAGGACTAGATTTCAAGGTCAGCTTCTTCGCTCTTTGTTGGCTGACAAACAACAGTATTTTAGTGGATGCCAATTATAGCTAAACCAAATAATGATAGTTATGCCATCTGTTGTCAGATAACTGTGGATGAATTTGCCAATGCACAGAGTAAGGTGAGCAACATGACCACACTGAATCGTCCAGATTCCGACACGGACATCCTGCTGTGCTGTGGGCAGTTCAACCACCTCAATGCCTACCATGATGGCCAGGTGAGCTTCTCATCTAGCTATGTGGCTGTATCTAGCCTGTATCTTAGTGCCAATGTGGCTGTATCTAGCCTCTCTGTTAGTGCCAGTGTGGCTGTATCTAGCCTCTATCTTAGTGCCAGTGTGGCTGTATCCAGCCTCTATCTTAGTGCCAGTGTGGCTGGATCTAGCCTCTATCTTAGTGTCAGTGTGGCTGTATCTAGCCTCTATCTTAGTGTCAGTGTGGCTGTATCTAGCCTCTATCTTAGTGCCAGTGTGGCTGTATCTAGCCTCTATCTTAGTGCCAGTGTGGCTGTATCTAGCCTCTATAGCCTCTATCTTAGTGCCAGTGTGGCTGTATCTAGCCTCTATCTTAGTGCCAGTGTGGCTGTATCCAGCCTCTATCTTAGTGCCAGTGTGGCTGTATCCAGCCTCTATCATAGTGCCAGTGTGGCTGGATCTAGCCTCTATCTTAGTGCCAGTGTGGCTGTATCTAGCCTCTATCTTAGTGCCAGTGTGGCTGTATCTAGCCACTAATTATCTCCCGCAACGCATTTAGCGGGGGGTATTAAAATGGACTCCGTCCGTCCGTCCGTGCACATTTGTCTTTTCCGGAGCAGAACTCTAAAACCGTTCAATATTTCTTCACCAAACGTGGCACATAGATAGATCTGGTGGTGTACTGGTGCCTTTTGGTAGTTTTGGAATTCCCAATAAACTATTTTTGGCTTTTGCGTGGCAACAAGTTTGACTTAGCCTGAAATTGGTGGTAGTGCTCTTTTCCGGAGCAGAACTTTAAAAAACCTTTCAATACTCTCCTTCCACTTTTCTATATACACACCTAAATATTTGACATAATCATAACTTGTAGACATAATCATGAAGAGTATTTTGCCATTGCGGGGGATATTGATGACTTTGTCTTCTTGTTTACATTTTTAGTGCCAGTGTGGCTGTATCTGGCCTACAGTGCAGGTGGTGGGGTAGCCTAGTGATTAAAGGGTTTGCTTGTCACACCGAAGACCTGGGCCCGATTCCCCACATGGGTACAATGTGTGAAACCCATTTCTGGTGTTGCTAAAAGCGGCTTAATACCATACTCACTCACTCACTCACTCACTCTATTTTATTGCCAGTGTGGCTGTATCTAGCCTTTGTCTCATGAAAAACAACTCTTTGCTTGCTCTACATATGAGTTTGTGGTTTGTACAACAAAATGAAGTAACCGTTCAACTGAATGTACTGAAGTCAGTGATTTTGATATATGGATTCTTATACACTCGCATAACAAATACTCAAGACTCAAAAATACAGAACATTGGTGGCTTGAATTCTGGAATGTGAAGACCAAGGAATACCAACCGTGGGATTCATATCTTGAATGAGCAGTATTTTGGTTTTCATTCAATTTCCATGGAAATATATCCTAGTATGGTCAGTAGGTATTCCTGTATGAATGTCCTGTTATTCCTGTTTCAGCTGGTGGCTGAGTTCCCAACACCCGACTGGATCCACACCCTGGCTGTGGCAGACATTGACAGTGATGGAGTTCCAGAGGCAGTAGTTGGTTGTCTAGATCACTCCATGCATGCGATCAAAATACTAACTTGATGCTGGGCAGTGATGTACTGCCATCTGGGACGATAATGTAAGGCAAACGTTGTGACATAAACATGCCCAAAGAGGATCAGTAGAAGAAGTTTACTGTCGTCACAGTGACAAGGAAAGAACAATGTCTGAAAGTATGGTGGCCAAGTACGGTTGATGTGAAGCAATCCTGCTGACGCGAACGAATGACATCATGCGAGAGAGTTGCGTGTAATATATATGTAGGACTGACACCTTGCCTCATGGAGAGAGATCTGGGGAACCGCATTCCATGTCTGAGGACGGATACATTCAAGTTGCTAGATTGGGAAGCCATAATCAATGTTGTTCCCTTTCATCCAGTGATTGTCAACTGTGCAGGGATCTTGCAGGCTGGGGCTACACATGAACATTGTCAACTGAGCAGGGATCTTGCAGGCTGGGGCTACACATGAACATTGTCAACTGAGCAGGCATCTTGCAGGCTGGGGCTACACATGAACATTGTCAACTGAGCAGGGATCTTGCAGGCTGGGGCTACACATGAACATTGTCAACTGTGCAGGGATCTTGCAGGCTGGGGCTACACATGAACATTGTCAACTGAGCAGGGATCTTGCAGGCTGGGGCTACACATGAACATTGTCAACATTGTCAACTGAGCAGGCAGGATCTTGCAGGCTGGGGCTACACATGAACATTGTCAACTGGATCTCGCAGGGGGATCTTGCAGGCAGGATGGGGCTACACATGAACATTGTCAACTGAGCAGGATCTTGCAGGCTGGGGCTACACATGAACATTGTCAACTGAGCAGGGATCTTGCAGGCTGGGGCTACACATGAACATTGTCAACTGAGCAGGGATCTTGCAGGCTGGGGCTACACATGAACATTGTCAACTGAGCAGGGATCTTGCAGGCTGGGGCTACACATGAACATTGTCAACTGAGCAGGGATCTTGCAGGCTGGGGCTACATTGTCATGAACATTGTTGTCAACTGAGCAGGGATCTTGCAGGCTGGGGCTACACATGAACATTGTCAACTGAGCAGGGATCTTGCAGGCTGGGGCTACATGAACATTGTCAACTGAGCAGGGATCTTGCAGGCAGGCTGTCAACTGGGGATCTTGCAGGCTGGGGCTACATGAACATTGTCAACTGAGCAGGGATCTCTGCAGGCTGGGGCTACACATGAACATTGTCAACTGAGCAGGATCTTGCAGGCTGGGGCTACACATGAACATTGTCAACTGAGCAGGGATCTTGCAGGCTGGGGCTACACATGAACATTGTCAACTGAGCAGGGATCTTGCAGGCTGGGGCTACATGAACATTGTCAACTGAGCAGGGATCTTGCAGGCTGGGGCTACATGAACATTGTCAACTGAGCAGGATCTTGCAGGCTGGGGCTACACATGAACATTGTCAACTGAGCAGGATCTTGCAGGCTGGGGCTACACATGAACATTGTCAACTGAGCAGGGATCTTGCAGGCTGGGGCTACACATGAACATTGTCAACTGAGCAGGGATCTTGCAGGCTGGGGCTACACATGAACATTGTCAACTGAGCAGGGATCTTGCAGGCTGGGGCTACACATGAACATTGTCAACTGAGCAGGGATCTTGCAGGCTGGGGCTACACATGAACATTGCTCTAAGTCCAGTACTGCTGGACACGTCCAGCAAGTTCCACTGACGTGCTGACCATCTTCTGCGTGCCTGGAGATGTCCAGATTTATGTTCTGATGTCAGATTGGCCTCCAGGTGGGGTGCATCACAGGGATGCTGTAGATGCTGAGACGTCGGTTGCCAGGAGTTGCATTGGTGGATGCACTGCATGGTTCGAATCTGTATGTCTTGGCAAGAGATGACAGGGTGGTCAGCCATTACAGGAACGTTCTCCAGTACGCGAAGTCGAGCTGCATTGTACCAGGGTCAAGAATTCCTATGGCTCAACGTCACTTTGGAGTAGCATAGTGAAAACTCAAAACATTCTAAAATGGTGTGTTGTTCCACTTTAAAAGATTGCTTGACTGACGATAACATGTCATTAGCCTTTTATAGAGAAATATATTTCTTCCAAAAGATATACAGTACCAATGATATTTGGTTGGTTGATTATGATCAAGCTTTTTCATAAACTTTTTTCCTTTTTCGAATTCAAAACTCCATTTTTTTATTTGTGAGGAAAATCCATGGCACAAAATCTTTAGCCTTTGAATACATGTTCTACATTGTACTAAAACCACTACTGTGTATCTCACCTGTGTTGGAATAGGTCTGCATGACTGCGTGGGTTCAACAGGTGACATGGTACAGTCATCATTCCCTGACTACAATACAAATGTTTGATTGGGACGCTGCTGTGATATGGCTGCTATACTGTAATATGAGCTCCCACAATCTGATCTGCCAGCTGGTCCTGATCTCTGCTCATCATTACTTTGTAGTGTGTTGTGTGATATACATGGAAGGTTGAAGAAAAACTCTATGAGCGTCGCTGTGTAGTCAAAACTCACTCACTAAATCCTGTGATTTATATGAATGGTGTTTTCAGAACCAAAGCAAAGAAAACAAATAAATCTCTATGGAAACTTTAATGTCTTCTGGCTCAATAAATATGGTGACCCTGTGAGTGGTGTGGCTGTTCTGTACTTCTTCATAGTGGTGGTCCAATCGATTGAAATAATCGAAGATTGGTCGTAATGACTAAACGACCAAGCAATCGATCACATTTTGTCATAATCGAACACAAACAATTTTGGAACACTTGTTTGCATTGACAATATTTATCAAAAGGTTGGTTTTGTTTGTTTTTCGTTTCAGAAGCACTACAAGCTCGTTCCAAGTCATGATTAATATTTATCTTGAAGACTCCAGGAAATTTATGTTCCTAACATATTAGTTATCCTTTAAAGACATGAAATTTGCCAAAACAACCGAAAGAACTAAATGTTTTTCTTTTATTTTGTGTACATTAACAAACATAACCAGGACAATTTGATAAATAACACTAACCAACTATTTTCGATGATTGATCGGTTGTAATGACCAATCATCAATTATAAGATTTTAACCAATTCCCAACACTACTGCTTCAGTTAGACTGGTATCGTAACAGGGTAGAAACCTTTATAAGCAACAGATGAAACTGTCCACAACCCGATGGACCAGACACATTGCCAGTGATGATGATGATTAGACATAATTAACATGTGGTCAACAGTATGGTAGCATTTACAATCAATAAGTGGCATGTACTCGAAGATAAGACTGGTATCATGGTCCTCGTCTCTCGGTCCAGCCCATCTTGCCATAATAGCAGGACTGCTGACCACTGAAATCGTTCAATAGTGTAGGGTATATCTATCACAGTAGCTCTGTCAGTCCATGGTGAAGATACGCGAGGCAATATCGTCAATGACCCAGTCGATTCCTTCCAGAAGGTGCTGGCCTGTCACGGCACTGCAGTCTTGAATCAGCCAGTGATGTGTCTTGATGTTATCCAGCTCCAGAGCCTGATACACAAAACACCAGTAACCATGGTAATATGGCACAACAGGCCTGCACAGAACCACACATCAACTACCATTGGTCGTTCTTGTATTCAATAAACATGATTCAATTGTCACTTACAGCATAGAGATGATGACAAACAACATATGAGAGAGGCCATACGTACCACCCGGATTTCATCTGATGTCAGTGCACCAGGCAAGTCCTGCTTATTTGCGAACACCAGAAGGGTTGCTCCAGCAAGTCTCTGAAACAGAAAACAATGACATATACACAAAGAAAATATACATGCTGAAACAAAACCTGACCATGCTGACAACACAAAACACTCCTTGTGGAAATTGTTTATATAATCACCAACTCTTAACTCTTCAGTAAGCATCTAGAACTAATCATTGCTACCTGTTGAATGTTGTGCTGTTTGAACTATTATACGTTGAACCTGTAGATTCAGTAAACATGGTAAGGCACAGAGGTGTTTAAGGGGTAGACTTGTACTAGATTTAGTGCTACAAGCAGCTTATTCCAGAATTATCCGCCATAGACAGTATTGTGAAACTTTCTAGCATTAAGTTGTTAGGTATATAAGGTATATTAGGTATATATCTCACATGACATCATAAGTTATCAGATGACCAGCATTGTGTCTGTGATGATCGTTATACCCAGCCTAGATCTAGTCATAAGTTGGACCATCCCAAGCCTCTTCATATACCACACTCCAGTTGCCCTTCCAAAGCCTCAACATACTCCAGTCGCCTATCCCAAGTTTCAATCTCCCATACAAAGCATCGACATACACCAGTAGCCCATCCCAAGTCTCCATCTACTCCAGTAGCCTATCCAGAAGCTGATCTACCACTGACCTCCTCCAGAAGCAGTGCCTGCAGCTCCTGCTTACAGTCCTGCAGCCTCATCCTATCAGCACTGTCCACAACCCAGATCAGGCCATCAGTGCTTTCAAAGTAGTTCCGCCAGTATGAGCTCAAAGATTTCTGTCCACCCACATCCCAGACATTTAGTTTAAACCTGGAATGAAAAAACATCCATGATTCTACTCCAATTCATTCAACAACCAACTTCTGTTACTAACTGTTATGGAAACAAAAACCTTGACTAGGACAAAATGTCCCCAAACAACAGGGAGTGAGTGGGTTCAGCTGAAAATACAAAGATTAATGTATTTCAAGGTATGACGACATACAAGAGCCAAAAGTGTCAAGTCATCATCATTACCACTTTGTAAAACCAATAATCACTGTTATAGTGCAAACATATAATGAATGAAGATGAAAATGGGATTAGAACCCAACTATGCACCACAAATTACAGTTCCTTGCACCATCCACTGTACAATCTGTGATCTATAGTACGGGATTGCATTCTGTAAACTTTCTGCTATAATGTTTTGGTAATAAAAACAAGCATTTCAGACACACCTACCCTCTATGTTCTAATGTCTTGATGTTGAAGCCAAGCGTTGGAGATATTGTGTCAATGTCTTCACCGTTGAATTTCTTCAGGATGGTCGTCTTCCCAGCATTGTCCAAGCCTCTGATTTCAGTGAAGGAATTTTAGCATAATGTCAACAGTTCTACTTATGCTGAACTACTGACCCCAGTTAACACAGCTTGCTCATAGTTTGATCCCCTTATGTCTGTGGGTGTTTTCAGGTTTTCATTTCTTTTAATCAAAATAATATAGACTGCTGTTTATGTGAAGGTAGCAGCACATGGAGTAATCCCACAGATGCCATCCGGGGAGTACTGCACTTAACCCTTAACCCTAAACCCTAACCCTAAGGATCGTAAAGGGTGCCTAACCCTAGGATCGTAAAGGGTGCCATACCCTAACCCTAAAGATCGTAAAGGGAGCAGCGAGGGCTGCGCCCGGTAAAGTGCATTCTAGCCGCCATCCGTACCTTATCAGGCTTGGGTTAACCTCAGGTGGTCACAGTATCAGAAATTGGATCGGAAGGTCCGTAGTTCGAATTCCATCAGGGCACTCTCAAATATTGCAGCAACATGATCAAGAGGGGTTTGTCATTTTGGTTACCCACTATAATGTGTGTGGTAATCAAATAACTTTTGGAATTTTACAGTATCATCAATGTGTCACTGAACATGTGACAACGAAAGCGTCTTAAAACGGCATCAGACAAGTTCAGTCAGATTTCGATGTAAATATAAACTAAATCATTGCAAAAAGGATACAGCATAAGTAGACGAACTTCTTTTTCTTTCTGCTTCATTTTCTTCAAAATTGTCAACAGTCCCATTTTTGATTTGATGTAAACACCCAATAAATAACATCTAAGTTGCAGTCATTCTTCGTGAATCATAGCTATTTTGAAAGAGAACTCTCTCGACTTGGAGGAGTGAACATAATGGGTGTATGTAAATAGAATATATACGGAATACGGAATAATATTTCTTTAAGATTAACATTATCTTGCTTTGTCATTTATAAGTAGCAGACAGTAACACGATTTGTTTATCCGTCTGTAAAACATAATCGCGTTTGATGTCTTTAAGCTTTGTCTCAGTCCCCGAAAGTAGTTAAAGTTTTTGTAATGATCCATTTCCTGTTTGGGTTGTACTTCCGGTGTAACCTAACGAAAATGACACCTCGACCAAAATATGGTGTAAAATGAAAAGAGAAAAGAACACGGACTTGTCTTTTCGTGTAATTTTTACAGTTAGATGTAATAACGATGTAGGGAAGTTTGAAAAGTTGTAAATAAGCACAATGGCGACTACCAAAGTTGATTACATTTGGTTCTTCGAGGTGTCGGACCCACAGTTACACCCTAAAGGATTTACTGTTTACAAAGTGACGTGCAAAGTAAGTGAGACTAGGATTGTTGCAACTCAAAAATAACTCTTTGAGACAAACATAGCTCTAAGCTTGTAATCGCACAATGGCTGTGACTTTCAGTTGACTGATGTTTTGTACTGTTACCGTATGCCCATGTATGGTCTCATGTAACTGTTAGGGTATTCATTTCTCAGTATATTTTAATTGAACAGTGTACACGATTTATTAAGCTTGAGTCTGGGGGAGAAAACAAACATAGAATTGGCCTGTTGTAAGAGCTAACGGGATCGGGGAGTCAGGTTCACCAGAGATCTATTATATGGTCTCTGGGTTCACTGGCTTGGTTGATGCATGTCATCATATCCCAATTGCATGAATCAGTGCTCATGATGTTAATCACAGGACAATATGGTCCAGACTAAATTATTTACACATCACCGTCATATATCTGGAGCATTGCTGAGTGTGGCATTAAACAACATTGCAAAGATGATAGATTGATAGTTCATTGAGGCATTTGCACACTTGATGATCCCAACAGCCATTTTGCTTGGGTATTGTTTCTTTCAAAAGAATTCAACCAGTTATATCATAGGTTACTTGTTGCTGAATTGATAAGATATTCCCTTAAATCACACTTACTAATACTACCATGATAACTGGAGTGAGTGAGTTGGGGTTTACGCTACTTTTACCTATATTCCAGCAATATCATAGTGGGGGACATCAGAAATGGGCTTCACAATAAATCACACATTGTACCCATGTGGGGATTTGAACCTGGGTCTTTACAGTTTAATCACTAGGCTATCCCACCACCCAACTTGATCACTGAAACCAACAGTTCAAGCCCTGAAGCTGGACCAAGATTTTCAAAAGGCTCTCAGCTCCCAACTGTTCATGGTCCAAGGTTACTATTTCTAGATTGGGTGGTTGCACTTGATGAGGTGAATTTGTACTCATGTTTGCTGAGTTTAGATATGATTATTGCCATGCTGCTGTGAGATAGCTGGAATATATTAAACTCAAGCTTTAATTTCTTCTGATTTTCCTAAGAATCTGTTTCCAGCAAGAACATTAAGAGATTACCTCCTTTTCAGGTCTCATGATTTTAGGTTTGTTTTTTAAACTGCACCTAACCATCTTCATTAGTTTGCAGAGAAACATGGCTTTACTTCTATGATAGTTATGCAAGAACAAACTGCTTTCAAACAAATACATCAATGGAACACACCCAAGCGAGGGGCTTATTGATATCATGGTAACCATGGTGACAGTTGGTGTTTACAAACTTTGTCATGCATTCATCACCCTGCTGAGTCGGTGGGTTTGTTATCAGAACTCATGTATTTTCAGGTGTTCCCGATAAGCTGCCCTGAATGTTTAAAGGAGGTGAGAGCCTGACTGGTGTTGATCATAGACAATGCAGTTGTAATTCAGCTAATATGTACAGATATATTGCAGTACTTGTTTTGACTGCAGCATGTGGGTGAGGCAGATGTAGTACAGTACTTGTTTTGACTGCAGCATGTGGGTGAGGCAGATGTAGTACAGTGCTTGTGAGGACTGCAGCATGTGGGAGGGACAGTTGTAGTACAGTGCTTGAGGAGACAGTTGTAGTACAGTGCTTGTTAGAGCTGCAGCATGTTGATGGGGCAGATGTAGTACAGTGCTTGTTAGGACTGCAGCATGTGGGAGGGACAGTTGTAGTACAGTGCTTGTTAGGACTGCAGCATGTTGATGGGGCAGATGTAGTACAGTGCTTGTTAGGACTGCAGCATGTGGGAGGGACAGTTGTAGTACAGTGCTTGTTAGGACTGCAGCATGTTGATGGGGCAGATGTAGTACAGTGCTTGTTAGGACTGCAGCATGTGGGAGGGACAGATGTAGTACAGTGCTTGTTAGGACTGCAGCATGTGGGAGGGGCAGATGTAGTACAGTGCTTGTTAGGACTGCAGCATGTGGGTGGGGAAGATGTAGTACAGGACAGATGGGGCAGATGTAGTACAGTGCTTGTTAGGACTGCAGCAGCATGTGGGAGGGGCAGATGTAGTACAGTGCTTGTTAGGACTGCAGCATGTGGGAGGGACAGATGTAGTACAGTGCTTGTTAGGACTGCAGCATGTGGGTGGGGCAGATGTAGTACAGTGCTTGTTAGGACTGCAGCATGTGGGAGGGACAGATGTAGTACAGTGCTTGTTAGGACTGCAGCATGTGGGTGGGGCAGATGTAGTATAGTGCTTGTTAGGACTGCAGCATGTGGGTGGGGCAGATGTAGTATAGTGCTTGTTATGACTGCAGCATGTTGGTGGGGCAGATGTAGTACAGTATTTGTTATAACTGCAGCATGTGGGTGGGGCAGATGTAGTACAGTACTTGTTATGGCCACACCATGTGGTTGGGATATTTGGAGTACATAGCTACAAGAAGTTAGCATAATCATCATTTGTCTGGTTTTAATGTTAGTTGATTTTTGTTGGATTTGGCAGACAATCATCTGGAAACGCTACAATGACTTCAAGCAGCTGCACAAAGCCATGTTCAATCTCCACAAGGCACTTCACAGAAGGGAGGAATTCCCACAGTTTGCTAAACCCAAACTGTTTGGTAAGACTGCAATATTCTACAGGCAATGAACTTCACTGAGTCTTATAAGTCAATGGTTGATGTTGTTGAAATATAACTGATTTCAATTTTTCTGGTGCTGTGTCATAGTAAGTAACATAGCAAATGTAGATACTGTGTAAATAATATGTAGATATCTTTTAGTGAAAGTGAAGAAGATAAGTTTTATGAAAAGTGGATGCTATACCATGATTTAGCAACTTTCAAGTGATCTTGTTGAATTCTTTCTACTTGCCTTTTGATGATCATGTAATCAGCCTTGATATGTTGAACCCAAAACTGTAAGTTGTGTGAACATTCTGTGAGTGATTGGTGAGTGAATGTGTTGTAGTGTCTTTTTTTTCAAAAAATGTTTTCTGTATTCCACTTTTGAAACTCACATCCTTAATGATTTTATGTAAGACTTTACAATCCCCTGGCTGTATCACCTTATTTGTAACAGGGAGTCAGGAAATATAAAAATTCAATTTTAAGAAAAATATTATGTAGTTACTACTAGTATGTAAATGTTATGTAGTAACTTTGTAGATACGATGTAAATACTGTGTAGATATATGTAAATGCTATGTAGTATTTCTGTATATACGATGTAAATACTGTGTAGATATATGTAAATGCTATATAGTTACTGTGTACATACTAGGGCTATAACGATACATTGAACTATCGACGGATTGCAATTGTTGAGTCTGCGATAGGAATTAATTGATGGTAGAAACGAAAAACTATCGATGCATCAACTTCAGTTGAGTAAGTACGCAACTCAAAATACAGGAAGTACCAGATTTGTTCACTTTTATTCAGAGTTATCCGCCCCTGTTACCTCTTAAACAAACTTGATCTGGGTTTCAAGTTTCTTGTCATTAAGTAAAAGAGACTGAAATTACTTCAGCTTGTTTTTATTTCATATAAACTATGCATTCATTTGGGAAATTACTTCAAATGAGACAATTCAAAGGGGTAAAAACTATTGCAATAGTATTGTAATAGTTGGTCACAATAGACGATCGCTATCGCAGAAGTACGTTGCAATAGACTATTACAAAAGTTGTTTCCCGTCATTATAGCTAAAATACATGGAATTATCATGAAACGGCCCTCCCATTATCAGAAATTTGCGGGCCGCTGCAAATGATATTGGACCGCTCAACCTTACCGACGGGCCACTATCAGTTCTGTTGTCAAGTGACGTCATAGTGGGTGCGTGGGCTTACGGTTCATTCGACATTAATTGGCTTTCGACTGGCAGATATTCTGGGTCAAACAAGTCAAAGCAACCCGAATTCCCGCTTTAAATAGCGGTAATATTGGCTTTCTTGTTGGTGCTAACCTTAGCAATTGCACTATTAAGGCTATTGATGGACCAAAACAGAACACTGACATAGTTTGACATGTTGTAGGCTATGGTATTGTCAAAGGCCAAGGTCGAATATCGTCACTTTCTGTTGTGACGTCACTTGAATGTTCGATGATGTAATTGCATTCGGGCAGTCAACCCCGTCAGAAGTTGACTTGGGTAAACTTACAGTCAAATTTCTTCATTGTTTCCTTTTTCTTTTCAACACAAATTCCATGTATTTTAGCAATAATAACGGTAATGCTATTTTTGAGGGCATTATCATTTGCAGAAGCCCTTGGTCTTTTTCAACTGCCCTCCTTCGTCGGGCAGTTAATGGCAGACCTCGGGCTTCTGCAAATGATAATGCCCTCAAAAATAGCATTACCCTTATAATAGTCACCCCAAGTACATACTGTGTAGTTACTTTGTAGTTACTATCTGGTTACTATGTAGTTGCTAGTTAGGTATTATGTAGTTATTATGTTGGTGCATGGCTATGCAGATGTTCTGTATTTGTTTAGTAGTTACTACCTAATTACTATGGTGTTACTACCTAATTACTATGGTGTTACTACCTAGTTACTATGGTGTTACTACCTAGTTACTATGGTGTTACTACCTAGTTACTATGGTGTTACTACCTAGTTACTATGGTGTTACTACCTAGTTACTATGGTGTTACTACCTAATTACTATGGTGTTACTACCTAGTTACTATGGTGTTACTACCTAGTTACTATGGTGTTACTACCTAGTTACTATGGTGTTACTACCTAGTTACTATGGTGTTACTACCTAGTTACTATGGTGTTACTACCTAGTTACTATGGTGTTACTACCTAGTTACTATGGTGTTACTACCTAGTTACTATGGTGTTACTACCTAGTTACTATGGTGTTACTACCTAGTTACTATGGTGTTACTATGCACCCTTTCAAACTATTGAAGCCAGATACACATGGAATGCTCTGGCCTTTCATCATTGTCTTATGCCATGTACTATTCAGGGATGGAAATAACCCATTGCCCGACGCCCAAGTCCAGTGTTTTTTTCTGTCGGGCAAGCAAATTTGTATATCTCACTGTACCGGTGTCCAGTTGATATTCCAATGTTAATTATGTTGTTTATTTAAAATATCAACAAGAAAACGGCCGGTATAGTGGAAAAATTATCAGGGCAAGTGATTTTACATGTGCCACTGTACCGGAGTACACTAACAATTTTAAAGTTATTTCCAACCCTGACTTTTACAGATGAATGCTTGGATACTCTGATGATCATGAAACATGTATTGAGATAGAAAGTTGTGTATTTGTTAACAGGTCGTTTTGATGACACTGTAATCGAAGAAAGAAGACAAAGTGGCCTTGATCTCTTAAACTTTATCGGCAAACAACCACATCTGTTCAAGTCACACATATTCGAGAAATTCTGGCAGGTAAATGTACAACCACATTCTACCTGGTCAGCAGTCTGCTGTATTGATGAAAGGACAGTGGCCATGGTGTCTCATGTCTTTAGAGAATGGGAGAAATATAGAGCAACCAGTTGCCATGGCATCCCAGATCTTTACAGAATGGTAGAAATATAGAGCAACCAGTTGCCATGGTATCCCAGATCTTTACAGAATGGGTGAAATATAGAGCAACCAGTTGCCATGGTAATCCCAGATCTTTACAGAATGGGTGAAATATAGCAGCAACCAGTTGCCATGGTATCCCAGATCTTTACAGAATGGGTGAAATATAGAGCAACCAGTTACATGGCATCCAGTTTTACCATAGGCATCCATGGTATCCAGATCTTTACAGAATTGGTGAAATATAGAGCAACCAGTTGCCATGGCATCCCAGATCTTTACAGAATGGGTGAAATATAGAGCAACCAGTTGCCATGGTATCCCAGATCTTTACAGAATGGGTGAAATATAGAGCAACCAGTTGCCATGGTATCCCAGATCTTTACAGAATGGGTGAAATATAGAGCAACCAGTTGCCATGGTATCCCAGATCTTTACAGAATGGGTGAAATATAGAGCAACCAGTTGCCATGGTATCCCAGATCTTTACAGAATGGATGAAATATAGCGCAACCAGTTGCCATGGTATCCCAGATCTTTACAGAATGGGTGAAATATAGAGCAACCAGTTACCATGGCATCCCAGATCTTTACAGAATGGTAGAAATATAGAGCAGCCAGTTGCCATGGTATCCCAGATCTTTACAGAATGGTAGAAATATAGAGCAGCCAGTTGCCATGGTATCCCAGATCTTTACAGAATGGGTGAAATATAGAGCAACCAGTTGCCATGGTGTCTCATGTCTTTACAGAATGGGTGAAATATAGAGCAGCCAGTTGCCATGGTATCCCAGATCTTTACAGAATGGGTGAAATATAGAGCAACCAGTTGCCATGGTATCCCAGATCTTTACAGAATGGGTGAAATATAGAGCAACCAGTTGCCATGGTATCCCAGATCTTTACAGAATGGGTGAAATATAGAGCAGCCAGTTGCCATGGCATCCCAGATCTTTACAGAATGGGTGAAATATAGAGCAACCAGTTGCCATGGTATCCCAGATCTTTACAGAATGGGTGAAATATAGAGCAACCAGTTACCATGGCATCCCAGATCTTTACAGAATGGTAGAAATATAGAGCAGCCAGTTGCCATGGTATCCCAGATCTTTACAGAATGGTAGAAATATAGAGCAGCCAGTTGCCATGGTATCCCAGATCTTTACAGAATGGGTGAAATATAGAGCAACCAGTTGCCATGGTATCCCAGATCTTTACAGAATGGGTGAAATATATCCCAGCAACCAGTTGCCATGGCATCCCAGATCTTTACAGAATGGGTGAAATATAGAGCAAGCAGTTGCCATGGTATCCCAGATCTTTACAGAATGGGTGAAATATAGAGCAACCAGTTGCCATGGCATCCCAGATCTTTACAGAATGGGTGAAATATAGAGCAGCCAGTTGCCATGGTATCCCAGATCTTTACAGAATGGGTGAAATATAGAGCAACCAGTTACCATGGCATCCCAGATCTTTACAGAATGGTAGAAATATAGAGCAACCAGTTGCCATGGTATCCCAGATCTTTACAGAATGGTAGAAATATAGAGCAGCCAGTTGCCATGGTATCCCAGATCTTTACAGAATGGTAGAAATATAGAGCAACCAGTTGCCATGGTGTCTCATGTCTTTACAGAATGGGTGAAATATAGAGCAGCCAGTTGCCATGGCATCCCAGATCTTTACAGAATGGGTGAAATATAGAGCAACCAGTTGCCATGGTATCCCAGATCTTTACAGAATGGGTGAAATATAGAGCAACCAGTTGCCATGGCATCCCAGATCTTTACAGAATGGGTGAAATATAGAGCAACCAGTTGCCATGGTATCCCAGATCTTTACAGAATGGGTGAAATATAGAGCAACCAGTTGCCATGGTGTCCCAGATCTTTACAGAATGGGTGAAATATAGAGCAACCAGTTGCCATGGTATCCCAGATCTTTACAGAATGGGTGAAATATAGAGCAGCCAGTTGCCTTTACAGAATGGGTAAATATAGAGCAACCAGATGCCATTATCCCAGATCTTTACAGAATGGGTGAAATATAGAGCAACCAGTTGCCATGGTATCCCAGATCTTTACAGAATGGGTGAAATATAGAGCAACCAGTTGCCATGGTATCCCAGATCTTTACAGAATGGGTGAAATATAGAGCAACCAGTTGCCATGGTATCCCAGATCTTTACAGAATGGGTGAAATATAGAGCAACCAGTTGCCATGGTATCCCAGATCTTTACAGAATGGTAGAAATATAGAGCAACCAGTTGCCATGGTATCCCAGATCTTTACAGAATGGGTGAAATATAGAGCAGCCAGTTGCCATGGTATCCCAGATCTTTACAGAATGGGTGAAATATAGAGCAACCAGTTGCCATGGTATCCCAGATCTTTACAGAATGGGTGAAATATAGAGCAACCAGTTGCCATGGTATCCCAGATCTTTACAGAATGGGTGAAATATAGAGCAACCAGTTGCCATGGTATCCCAGATCTTTACAGAATGGGTGAAATATAGAGCAACCAGTTACCATGGCATCCCAGATCTTTACAGAATGGTAGAAATATAGAGCAGCCAGTTGCCATGGTATCCCAGATCTTTACAGAATGGGTGAAATATAGAGCAACCAGTTGCCATGGTATCCCAGATCTTTACAGAATGGTAGAAATATAGAGCAACCAGTTGCCATGGCATCCCAGATCTTTACAGAATGGGTGAAATATAGAGCAACCAGTTACCATGGTATCCCAGATCTTTACATGGGTGATCCCAGATCTTTACAGAATGGGTAGAAATATAGAGCAGCCAGTTGCCATGGTATCCCAGATCTTTACAGAATGGGTGAAATATAGAGCAACCAGTTGCCATGGTATCCCTTTACAGATGGGTGAAATATAGAGCAGCCAGTTGCCATGGCATCCCAGATCTTTACAGAATGGGTGAAATATAGAGCAGCCAGTTGCCATGGTATCCCAGATCTTTACAGAATGGTAGAAATATAGAGCAACCAGTTGCCATGGCATCCCAGATCTTTACAGAATGGGTGAAATATAGAGCAGCCAGTTGCCATGGCATCCCAGATCTTTACAGAATGGGTGAAATATAGAGCAACCAGTTGCATCTTTACAGAGAAATTGCCATGGTATCCCAGTTGCCATGGCATCCCAGATCTTTACAGAATGGGTTAAATATAGGGCAACCAGTTGCCATGGCATCCCAGATCTTTACAGAATTGATGAAATATAGAGCAACCAGTTGCCATGGTATCCCAGATCTTTACAGAATGGGTGAAATATAGAGCAACCAGTTACCATGGCATCCCAGATCTTTACAGAATGGGTGAAATATAGAGCAACCAGTTGCCATGGTATCCCAGATCTTTACAGAATGGGTGAAATATAGAGCAACCAGTTGCCATGGCATCCCAGATCTTTACAGAATGGGTGAAATATAGAGCAACCAGTTGCCATGGCATCCCAGATCTTTACAGAATGGTAGAAATATAGGGCAACCACTTGCCGTGGTATCCAAGATCTTTACAGAATGGATGAAATATAGAGCAATTTGTTGTAGATGGGCATGATGGATGAGGGCCTCTGTTACACTATCTTTGTAGATGGGCATGGGAGGTGAGGACCTCTGTTACACTATCTTTGTAGATGGGCATGGTGGGTGAGGACCTCTGTTACACTATCTTTGTAGATGGGCATGGTAGGTGAGGACCTCTGTTACACTATCTTTGTGGGCATGGTGGGTGAGGTGGGCATGGTGGGGGTGAGGACCTCTGTTACACTATCTTTGTAGATGGGCATGGGAGGTGAGGACCTCTGTTACACTATCTCTGTAGATGGGCATGGTGGGTGAGGGCCTCTGTTACTCTATCTTTGTAGATGGGCATGGGAGGTGAGGACCTCTGTTACACTATCTTTGTAGATGGGCATGGGAGGTGAGGACCTCTGTTACACTATCTTTGTAGATGGGCATGGTGGGTGAGGACCTCTGTTACACTATCTCTGTAGATGGGCATGGTGGGCAGATACACTATCTTTGCAGGTTGGCATGGGAGGTGAGGACCTCTGTTACACTATCTCTGTAGATGGGCATGGTAGGTGAGGACCTCTGTTACACTATCTCTGTAGACGGGCATGGTGGGTGAGGACCTCTGTTACACTGACCTTCTTTTTGTGTTGTTTTTTAAGGGTGGGAAGACATCCCAGGGTTCTGGTGGTCCTCCTGCTATGCGGCCTTCCAAACTGGACGTCATCTCCAGTGATGCCACAGACAGCAACCCACCGCCAGATGTAGTCCCAGTGATGGCTCCTGGCCAGGGCTCCAGATGCTCCAGTCACTCTGCTAACATGTCAGAGGAAGCCGAAGCAAGCTCAGATCAGTCGGTCACACTAACAGTGAATGGCAGGAAAGAGGAGTAAGATTTATACTTTAATATTTGTCCCCGTTAGAATAGGTAACCTGCTTGAATGTTGTCCTGGGAGGTCAGGCTTGGTAACTTGATTGATTGTGTGACCAAACCTGAGGTGGATGTTTATGTTAGCCCTTGTGTTGCTGGCAGCTGTAGGTCAACAAACATGGATATGCTTCAGACCAACTGATTTATATACTTAATAGACACGGGTCAAATGATGTTGTAGTGATGAGCTGCCTGATGGTTGTTTCAGGGCTCGGGTGTTGGAGGGCACCTGGAACTTCCCACAGCTACCAGACACCATCAGCCTGGACTCATCTGCCTCATTCGGTGAGGCCGGGGACACCGATCTGGACTCTCCGCTGGGGACCTCTCTCCCTGACACAGACATCAGCTCGTTTGACCCCCTGGCATCAGAGCTGGTGGGGGAGGTGGAGGGTGGCATGACCCGCAGTAACAGCTGGCTGGTGAAGGCCCTGCATACATGTGCCCAGCTCGGGGAGGACAAGGACGGGACGCGGATGGACGATGGGAAGGAGGACTACACAATTACAAACATGGCAGATATGGAGGAGTCACAAGAGTTGAGTCCAGGAGGGGAAGATGTCATTTTTGAAATTGGAGAATTTGATCCTCTACGGAGTCGAGGTGAGTCAAAAGTGGAATGTGGCAAAGGAGATATCGACCTGTCTCTTCCGTCAATAAGAACAGGAAGTGTCAGCTCAACAACCAGCTCTCAGACATCCTCATCAGCCAGGACAGCATCGGCATCAGCGAGTCCGGCACACAGGTCTGATTCCACAGTAGGCAGTCCGACAAAGTCTGGCTCGGGATATGCAAGTCCGGCACACAAGACATCATCTGTGTCTGTGAGTCCTGCGAGGAAATCGGGATCACTGTCAGCAAGTCCTGCACATCACGTCAGAAGTAACACCCCAAGCCCCGCCCGGAAAAGTCGTGCAGGGACACATTCCAGTGTGTCAAGCATGGACTTGGGGGGCAAGGATGACTACATCTACCTGGCTGCCCACCAGATCTGTCTGGCACAGGAGCATGAAGCCAATGCAAACTATGAAATGTCCTTTGCTTGTTACAAGACAGGAGTTGGAATCTTGCTACAGGGAGTGCAGGGTGAGTGGCCATCAGGGAGTCCTTCACAGTAGTCTGGTACCTGGTAAACTGACTTGTCCCAGAGTAATTCTACTGTTAGTGACTGAGGAGTAACCAACAATTGTTGGTGTAAGTTAGTTCTATGAAGGTAACAAGTTCTGTGAAATGTTGTCCAACAGTCCTCAAGGTTCTAGTAAGTATACAGTGGTTGAGAGGGTTAAGTTTAACAATATTGTAAGTCTCCTGTTGGGAAGTAAATGTAAGTTGAAGAAACATTAAGAGCAATATAGTCTATTGTGTTAAGGATCCCGGAAATACTAGTTGACATCAGCACACACGTCATGTCTGTGTCATTTGTGCAGTTTTTAAGATGACTTTGAGAAGAAGTAAAGTCTGTATTGGTTGTTGACTGAAGGGGACAGCAACAAGAGTCGGCGTGATGCGGTGCGGAGGAAGACGGCCCAGTACCTCATGAAGGCTGAAGACCTGTACAATCTGCACATGGCACAGGACACAGCGGATGAGAGGCGATGGGCTGCAGTGAGTATACACCCTGGCAACACACACCCCACCTGGTGTACCATAGCAACACACACCCCACCTGGTGTACCTTAGCAACACACACCCCACCTGGTGTACCTTAGCAACACACACCCCACCTGGTGTACCTTAGCAACACACACCCCACCTGGTGTACCTTAGCAACACACACCCCAACTGGTGTACAACACACACCCCACCTGGTGTACCTTAGCAACACACACCCCACCTGGTGTACCTTAGCAACACACACCCCACCTGGTGTACCATAGCAACACACACCCCACCTGGTGTACCATAGCAACACACACCCCACCTGGTGTACCATAGCAACACACACCCCACCTGGTGTACCATAGCAACACACACCCCACCTGGTGTACCATAGCAACACACACACCCTACCTGGTGTCCCATAGCAACTCACATCCCCCACCCCACACCCCCCACCTGGTGTCCTTGGCATAGCAACACATAGCACACACATCCCACCTGGTGTACCATACCAACACACATCCTACCTGGTGTTCCATACCAACACACATCCCACCTGGTGTCCCATAGCAACACACACTAAGTGATCCTGGGTATGTACATCACTAAGTGATTCTGGATATGTACATCACTAAGTGATCCTGGATATGTACATCACTAAGTGATCCTGGGTATGTACATCACTAAGTGATCCTGGATATGTACATCACTAAGTGATCCTGGGTATGTACATCACTAAGTGATCCTGGGTATGTACATCACTAAGTGATCCTGGGTTTGTACATCACTATGATCCTGGATATGTACACTAAGTGATTCTGGATATGTAAATCCTGGGTATGTATCACTAAGTGATCCTGGGTATGTACATCACTAAGTGATCCTGGATATGTACATCACTAAGGTACATCACTAAGTGATCCTGGATATGTACATCACTAAGTGATCCTGGATATGTACATCACTAAGTGATCCTGGATATGTACATCACTAAGTACATCACTAAGTGATCCTGGGTATGTACATCAGTGATCCTGGATATGTACATCACTAAGTGATCCTGGGTATGTACATCACTAAGTGATCCTGGGTATGTACATCACTAAGTGATCCTGGATATGTACATCACTAAGTGATCCTGGGTATGTACATCACTAAGTGATCCTGGGTATGTACATCACTAAGTGATCCTGGATATGTACATCACTAAGTGATCCTGGGTATGTACATCACTAAGTGATCCTGGATATGTACATCACTAAGTGATCCTGGGTATGTCCATCACTAAGTGATCCTGGGTATGTCCATCACTAAGTGATCCTGGATATGTCCATCACTAAGTGATCCTGGGTATGTACATCACTAAGTGATCCTGGGTATGTACATCACTAAGTTGAATGTTTTCGATCTTTATAGACTGACATCACCCTGTCCCCCTCACTTGACCTTGACCCGTCGCTGGCTTTCATCCAAGGGTCCATGTCTGAGTTACGGAGCTACAAGGTGCTGGGTACAGTGGACCGTGTTGTTCTGGTGATGGACCGCACCTCAGACGAGACTTACGTCATAAAGGTAATAAGGCTGTCACATGTCACACAGTGACAATTCATTTCCTAGGATTTCTCAGGCTGCAACGAATCCAGTATGAGGTGAATATGATACAAATCGCAAACATTGGGTAACAAATACAAGTATTGGGTGACCATTACCATTTCAAGTCAGCAGTAGATGTATTTTTCCTTATCTGTAGTGAAACAGTATCAAAAGGAGTGTTTTTCTTGTATTAGGGGTTATCTATCAAAGCAAGATTGCAGACAGGAATATTTCTAAGACAGGGAAGTGGTCAAGACTCTTGTATATCTACTTGGACCTCATGTGGTCAGTGGTCATTGACAATGTTCACATGGCTGAAACAGGTCCAATAATATTTTTCTGAAAGTCATAAATATTCAATATATGTGAAAGCGAATGGAATTCATGAAGGGATACGGTTCAATTCACTGAATATTTAAGTGAAGCAATACACTACCAGTAATGTGATAGTGATTATATTCAGCCAGGTAGGTCATGATTGTTTTGTGAAGAACAGGCTAGCTATTCTCGAAACGTTCGTAGCCCTACGAACTTCTTAAGCCCATTCTTAACACATTGGCTACATTCAAAGTTAAGAATTCTCAGGGTTACGAACGTTTTGAGAATAAGGGCCCTATTATAAAATAGGGGTTTTCTCTTCAGTGCTCAGTGAATTGTTCCTGATATTGGGTGATTAACTGTTCCCCTGAAGCAACCTCCCAGGGATAAGTCATCACACAGAGAGGCTTGTATCATAGTGAAAAAGATATCAGTTTAATGAGATTGATCATAAATACAGTTATTTTAATTCCATTAAACCTAATAGTTCTTAATCATAGACATTTGTATTATCCCAGACAGTTCACAAGGCAGCGGTTACCCCGACAACTCGTATGCCCTCCATCCTGCCAACTAGTTGCCCATATATGGTCAGCCTGTACAAGTTCTATGAGACCCACAATGCCATCTATCTGTTGTTGCAATATGCCAGCGGGGGCAAACTGTGGACTCACATCAGTAGCTTCCTCCAGAACCAGGACACTATTACAGGGGGAGACAACTCTCCGGTTGGGCTCTACCCACACAACAGCAGCAATGTTTACTCGGGACAGGTGTGCCACACTGAGGATACTGACTCCACTGCTGTGCCCACTGTGACGCCCACCAACATGGACCAGAAGAAGCCAGCCCAGATCGCAATAGGCCCCAGTACCTCTGCTGGACGTGTTGTCCACTTCTCCAACCAGGTGACATCCCCTGATGAAGTTGATCCTGACACTCCTGCTAATGACACACCTGCTTCTGATGCACCTGCTCCTGACACACATGCTTCTGATGCACCTGCTTCTGATGCACCTGCTGGCTCCTCCAATTTAAAACCTGACTACCTTAGGCTATCCAGTCTGTCGTCAGATGAGGGTAAGTCAGTCGGCGATGTAACAGTAGGTGCAGACTGTGTTGCTGCAGCAGACTCCAGTAAGATTAGCCTGGATGATGGCCGTGATTTCCAAGAGGTGTTGGATCAAACCAGACCAGCTCTGGAACAGTTCTCTATCAACAGCTTTGACAGTGATGCCATGTCCCGCCTTGACAGTAACATGTCCGACCACATCGAGAGCATTCCAGAGGAGACAGGGGAGACAACTGAGGTGTCTGACCAGCAGGGGGAGCCACATGTTGATACAAGCAACAGTACAGCTGATGATGTGTTTGGGAGTGAGGACACATCACGCAGTGACCGCCTGGACTCCCAACAGGATAGCTCTCCCAGTATAACAGAGGGAGACCTCAGTTTAGACGCACAAAGGATTGTTCAGAGTTCTAAGGAACTGATCAAATTAGTTGATCGTGTGCTGTCTGAGTCAGGGAGTTTGGACAGTTCTGCCTTAGATTCAGCTGATCACGTAACTGCTGTAGGTGGTAACACATCCTCCAACTCTCACGAGTCTACCGAGCCCAGCATCTATGACTGCCACAATTCCAATGACAGTGATATCAGTGAAGCAGGTGTAGGGGATGACAAGATGTCCTCTGTAACACCTGCTGATGCATCAGGAACCCCCACAGCCAGCCTAACCCCCACGTCAACACTACCCACATCCACCCCTAAAAGGAAGGTCAGTGTGAAGCGAATGACCTCCAAAGATCTCACGCGATCAGCTTCTTTTGAATGTGATCTCAAATCACCAACCAAGAACCGAGCCCGAGCCATGACAGACTTATTTGATGAGCTTGACTCAAGAAATCCTGAAACTTTCAAACTTCCTGAATCCTGCATCAAAACTTGGGCTGCAGAAATAGTCTGTGCAATCTCACGACTTCATGCATTGGGTGTCATCTGCAGGTATGTATAGCCACAAGTGGTCTAGGTCTGTGACAAGTCCAGTTTCACTACCTGGGTACCGGATCCCCTATTCCCACAGTCTATCCAGGTACCCATTGTAGGTCTCAACAGTTGGGTGCCGTAGGTACCTGTCTCAATACTAACTGGTTCCTCCAAGCCATGTACCACCCTGTAGTATGCCCCTGATATTCAGTAGAAATGTTGCTAGGATTCAGTATGAACATTGAAAAAAGAAGTAAAAGAATAGTGAAAAAACATATTGCGAGAGTTGTATACCCATGTTTGCTGTTGTGTGGTTGGATAATGTGTGCTAGGGAAGGTGATGTGTACTGTTGCTAGGGTGAGTGGTGTGTGTTGTTGCTAGTGGTGAGTGATGTGTGTAGGGAAGGTGATTTGTATTGTTGCTAGGATGAGTGATGTGTGTTGTTGCTAGTGGTGAGTGATGTGTGTTGTTGCTAGGATGAGTGATGTGTGTTGTTGCTAGGGAAGGTGATGTGTGTTGTTGCTAGGGAAGTTGATGTGTGTTGCTGCTAGTGGTGAGTGATGTGTGTTGTTGCTAGGGAAGGTGATTTGTATTGTTGCTAGGATGAGTGATGTGTGTTTTTGCTAGGGTGATTGATACATGTTGTTGCTAGGGTGAGTGATGTGTATTGTTGTTAGGGTGAGTGATGTGTGTTGTTGCTTGACTGGGTAATGTGTGTTGCTTGAATTGTTGATTTGTATTGTTGCTAGGGTGAGTGAGGTGTGATATTGCTTGGGTGAGTGATGTGTGTTGTTGCTAGGTTGAGTGATACATATTGTTGCTAAGGTGAGTGATATGTGTTGCTGATAGGGCATTAGATGTGTGTTGTTGCTATGGCGCATGATGTGTGTTGTTGCTCTGGTGTGTGATGAGTGAGTTTGCTACAGTCAGTGATGTGTATCTTACATGATTACAGCAGGACTATTTTATGTGTGATATGTATTGCCAGAGATCTGCGACCAGACAACGTTCTTCTTGGTGACAAGGGCCACATCCTTTTGTCCTACTTCTGTCAGATGACTCTGATTGACAAGCAGGTGGACCCAGAAGCTGTCGACAATCTGTACGTTGCACCAGGTGAGTGTTAAGGTGAAGGTGAATAGACACTTTTTCATTTGATGATGTTTTGGACGTTTGCACTACATTACATTTGATGATGTTTTGAAGGTTTTCACTATATCTGATGATGTTTTGGACATTTTCACTATATCTGATGATGCTTTTGAGGTTTGCACTATATCTAATGATGTTTTGGAGGTTTTCACTACATTACATTTGATGATGTTTTGGAGATTTTCACTTTATCTAATGATGTTTTGGAGGGTTTTCACTACATTACATTTTGATGATGTTTTGGAGGTTTCACTATATTTGATGTTGTTGTAGAGGTGAGCTCCATCACAGGGTACTCAGAGGTGTGCGACTGGTGGAGCCTCGGTGCACTGCTATATGAGCTCCTCACAGGGAAGGTGGGTATATTCTGTAAGCTTTTGACCTGCTAGACTTTGATGTTTTATTCTTTATGTGTTATGAACTGAGTGCCGTAACAATTACTGTGAATTCAAACTCTTTTACTGCTTTGCTATTACTAGCTCTGAAATATGTGATTTAAAAGATATCTACAAACTGAAATAGAAAGTTAATCAGAGACCTATATCTTTCATACATTTATACACCACACATTTCTGTATGCTGACACTTGTACATAGAATATCTCCTCTTGCAGAGTTTGAGCAGTTACCACCCAGGTGGGATTAACTCACACACACATCTACACATCCCCAACCATGTGTCTTCAGAGGGACAGGCCTTGCTCAAGGAGGTAAGGAGAGGGTTTCACTTAGGAGAGGGTTTCACTAAGTTGGCATAACTTGTACCCAATCAATTCTCTTGAATAAATATGTTTAAATCAAATCAAGGAGGTAAGACCACAGTCTTCAGCTCACATGCCTCCACAGGCCAGTCACCATCTTACAAGTGTTGTTTGGTTGTGTATAACACTGTACCATGTCCATGCTGCCATGGTAACACAGTATCCCACCATCTTACAAGTGTTGTTTGGTTGTGTATAACACTGTACCATGTCCATGCTGCCGTGGTAACACAGTATCCCACCATCATACATGTGTTGTTTGGTAGTGTATGACACTGTACCATGTCCATGCTGCCATGGTAACACAGTATCCCACCATCATACAAGTGTTGTTTGGTTGTGTATGACACTGTACCATGTCCATGCTGCCATGGTAACACAGTATCCCACCATCATACAAGTGTTGTTTGGTAGTGTATGACACTGTACCATGTCCATGCTGCCATGGTAACACAGTATCCCACCATCATACAAGTGTTGTTTGGTTGTGTATGACACTGTACCATGTCCATGCTGCCATGGTAACACAGTAACCCACCATCATACAAGTGTTGTTTGGTTGTGTATGACACTGTACCATGTCCATGCTGCCATGGTAACACAGTATCCCACCATCATACAAGTGTTGTTTGGTTGTGTATGACACTGTACCATGTCCATGCTGCCATGGTAACACAGTATCCCACCATCATACAAGTGTTGTTTGGTTGTGTATGACACTGTACCATGTCCATGCTGCCATGGTAACACAGTATCCCACCATCATACATGTGTTGTTTGGTAGTGTATGACACTGTACCATGTCCATGCTGCCATGGTAACACAGTATCCCACCATCATACAAATGTTGTTTGGTAGTGTATGACACTGTACCATGTCCATGCTGCCATGGTAACACAGTATCCCACCATCATACAAGTGTTGTTTGGTTGTGTATGACACTGTACCATGTCCATGCTGCCATGGTAACACAGTATCCCACCATCATACAAGTGTTGTTTGGTAGTGTATGACACTGTACCATGTCCATGCTGCCATGGTAACACAGTATCCCACCATCATACATGTGTTGTTTGGTTGTGTATGACACTGTACCATGTCCATGCTGCCCACCATGGTAACACAGTATCCCACCATCCCATCATACAAGTGTTGTTTGGTAGTGTATGACACTGTACCATGTCCATGCTGCCATGGTAACACAGTATCCCACCATCATACATGTGTTGTTTGGTTGTGTATGACACTGTACCATGTCCATGCTGCCATGGTAACACAGTATCCCACCATCATACAAATGTTGTTTGGTAGTGTATGATGACACTGTACCATGTCCATGCTGCCATGGTAACACAGTATCCCACCATCATACAAGTGTTGTTTGGTTGTGTATGACACTGTACCATGTCCATGCTGCCATGGTAACACAGTATCCCATGGTAACACATCATACCATCATACAAGTGTTGTTTGGTTGTGTATGACACTGTACCATGTCCATGCTGCCATGGTAACACAGTAACCCACCATCATACAAGTGTTGTTTGGTTGTGTATGACACTGTACCATGTCCATGCTGCCATGGTAACACAGTATCCCACCATCATACAAAGTGTTGTTTGGTTGTGTATGACACTGTACCATGTCCATGCTGCCATGGTAACACAGTATCCCACCATCATACAAGTGTTGTTTGGTTGTGTATGACACTGTACCATGTCCATGCTGCCATGGTAACACAGTATCCCACCATCATACAAATGTTGTTTGGTTGTGTATGACACTGTACCACGTCCATGCTGCCATGGTAACACAGTATCCCACCATCATACAAGTGTTGTTTGGTTGTGTATGACACTGTACCACTTCCATGCTGCCATGGTAACACAGTATCCCACCATCATACAAGTGTTGTTTGGTTGTGTATGACACTGTACCATGTCCATGCTGCCATGGTAACACAGTATCCCACCATCATACATGTGTTGTTTGGTTGTGTATGACACTGTACCATGTCCATGCTGCCATGGTAACACAGTATCCCACCATCATACATGTGTTGTTTGGTTGTGTATGACACTGTACCATGTCCATGCTGCCATGGTAACACAGTATCCCACCATCATACAAGTGTTGTTTGGTTGTGTATGACACTGTACCACTTCCATGCTGCCATGATAATTCAGTATCCCACCATCATACAAGTGTTGTTTGGTTGTGTATGACACTGTACCATGTCCATGCTGCCATGGTAACACAGTATCCCACCATCTTACAAGTGTTGTTTGGTTTGTTTTGCAGCTGCTGTGTTTTGACCCCCGAGAGCGGCTGGGGTCAGGGTTGGATGGAGCAGAGGCGCTGAAGGCACACCCTTTCTTCTCTTGCATCAACTGGAATGCCATAGAAAATGGCTGAATCCACACCCACAGGATTGTGGATATGAGGATTTCATGAATTACAAAATAGATTTTATTAGTGTTGATTCATTGGAAAATTTCAGTCTGAAAGTTCATCGGCACTGGATCTGATTGTGATACTGAATGAATCCTTGATGGCTGTCTCTTGTTCATCACAGAACTGTGATGTTATTGATGTGGTGTCCCAGCATTAGTGGCAGACGGCCATTGAACAACTCAGGGGATAGCAGGGGCAGACACTTCTCAGTATAAGAAACACTTCCTGGCACCAGATACCTTGAGGCAGGACACCCTCTGGGAAGATGCAGAGGATGAGCTGCTGGATGAATCTAATAAACATACGGGCATGAGGGATGATTTTATGTTCTCGTTGTTTGCTAGTTGGGTGATGGACTTTGTGATACTGTGTGATATGTCATCTGTATGGATGTGATGTGTGTAATGTGTGTCTGTGTGTGTTGTTATATCACTGTGCAATATGATGCTGTAAGGTGAGAGATGATGAGTGTGTTGATGAGTCCGAGCGCCACGGGGCGGTCAGTCACTGCAGCAGTGTCCACTGTCAGTCTGGCATCAGCAGAAACCTCCACAACATGTAGTGGAGTATAATCAAAACATATTTTTTATATAGGATAAGTGTGTCACAATAGTTTCTTTACATGATGCATCTCCACAATGTTAAATGTGCCACAATGTAGTACAAATAGTTGCTTTATTAAGACAAATTGTACATTATGTAATACTGATACCCAGAACTATAGGAAGGAAATATAATGAAGATATATGCTGACTCGTGCTTGTATTATGTTTGTAACTGAACCAGATGTGTACATATCAGGAGTGTGTTGTGCATCATAGCTGCAAGTATTGTTTAAAGACACTTTGTGACATTCCACATGTGCAAGATGAGCTGTGATTTTTACCATACTCAGCGTAAAAGGACTAGTTGTGATGTTTGAACAAAGACCAAAAGATTTGACCAAAGGCTTGAAAATGGATGCACTTGAGCATAACTTGGGTCAGACAAGAGGATTCTAGAAGTGTCTCACATCTATTTTTTCCTACCAATTAGTATTGATATTATTCTAATAACAACAATCATTATTCCCCACCAACAAGCAGTTCATTATGTGGTAACTCCCATATTTGGGTATACTGCAAGGCCACACAGAGCTGTGTAAAACGTCATAAAATATGTTGTGTGTCATGTATGGACAGGCTTTCTACATGGGTGAGAAATAACATACTATGGAAGACACGCCTCCGCCCCTGCCCCTGAAAAAACACTCCACCCCTGTTTTCCCCACCCCCACCCCTCCCACCCTGGGACAACTGTTCCTCCATGTTGTCTCCTGTGTGTAACACTGCCCAGGCAGCAACGCAAGTGCTGATGCTACTTACCTATCTACCATGTTCAATACATTAAATCTGTAAATCTGTGATGGTATTAATAAATATCTTCCACATTTGTGTGACTTTGTCTTTTGTTGATATCAACATAGACAGAAATCTGAGATAAGACCTGGGTGCCGTTCCACTAACCGATCATACTAAGATCAATCTTAGCAAGTTATGCCAATTTTACAATCGTCTTAGCTAAAAGTTACACTTAGATCGAGACTCTTTCTTAACCATGACATTGCAATATTGTTGTGCAAATGTATCCCGATCTTACACTTAGATCGTGTTGCCATGACTCTTGGTCAGACTCGCCTCAGATTTGTAAGGTTTCAGTGCTGTGTTTGTTTACATCACAGAAATAAACAAATTCATTTCATGGGGGGTTTTAGGGGACGCTCACAGTGAAATGGTCGCTATTCTTCTTTACATAGAAGGGCCGGTGGGGTAGTCTAGTGGTTAAAGCGTTGGCTCGTCGTGCCGAAGACCCTGGTTCGAATCCCCGCATGGGTACAATGAGTGAAGCCCATTTCTGGTGTCCCCAACCGTGATATTGCTGGAATATTGCTAAAAGCGGCGTAGAACCAAACTCAGTCAGTCAGTCAGTCTTCACATAGAATATGAAAGCCACCATTTTGGTTTCTCTACTATTGATTTTAGCGATCCTAAGTTGGTCATGAGCAACTTAGACTTTGGATCTTAACTCTACGATTGACTTGGGTAAGATTGGTTAGTGGAACGGTATGCCGATCTTAACGTCACGCTAAGATAGGGATTTTAAGGATTTACGATTGGCAGAGGGCCAAGATCAGTTAGTGGAACGGCACCCTGGACTTGAGTAGTTGATACTGTGATTATATGTCTGGAACACCTGTACCTAATTCCTACTGGTATTATTCTTGTATTCCTGGGAAAGTATATTTCAAGCAAATTTCAATATCTATATAAAGGTAAAATCAACTTTGTATTTTAATGATGTTTTATGAGTGATTGAACTATATTATTATCTTTAAAATATTTTTTTTTTTAAATATCCTGAACCTTTGAAACTGAAGTGTCCTTTTAAAACCATGGCCTGCATTCAGCCTGTTTCTCTGTTGTTGATATTGCAGAAACTAATTTACCAGGTGGGCTTTGTCAATCATGATTGACCTGATGGCATACAAGTGCACATGTCACACTTCAAGTTAAGTTGGACAAGAGACTCACTGGACGGATGATCTAGTTCGACAACTTGAAAGTCTCAAGGGCTTCAGTCCTGCCCCATGCTGAAACATGTGACCTTAGGCAAGGTGTTTCTATTTGATTAAGCTTTTGTTCACAAGTATTGACTTAGCACCTGGTGGAATGCAATGGTTACCTGACTGTTGACCTTCTAGCTCCTCATAGTCAGCTTGAGTTGTACGCTCCTCAGGAAGTTGAGAATGAAAATCAAGTGCATGCTGATCCACTGACACAGGTATTAATGTAGGCCTTTGAGCATACTGTAGGGACTGAACTTGGCAAATTTTTATGTACACCACATTCATTCACAATGAATATTTAATTCAAACACAGACGTAGGACTCAATGACAGGTCAGCAGCCTGTGGTGGATTATCTCAGTACTGGCAGATTTAGAATGTCTCTGCTAGATTACATTGATATCATCAACCGTATTGATGTCATCTCACTATGAACGAAGGTTTTGTCATGTTTCTGGAGGAGAGGGATATGGACTGAGGAGCACCCTGATGTCCTGGACAAAGTTTACAAGTCAGTAGAGTGAGACATTCAACCTTATATCCTTACATTAGAAAAAGATTAATATATATTTTTGCCAAAAAGGGAACACAAGCGTGAATGTTGGACTGCTATTATCATTTTCATATGATCTTGACAGGAGGGTGTTGAGTTTGTCCATGTAGAAAATGTACTTGTCAGCCTTATGTGGCTGTAAAGTCAGCACAGTTCATAGTCATGTGTAAAGGTGAGTGAGTGAGGGTAGTTTGACGCAACACTCAGCAATATTCCAGCTATATGGCAGCGGTCTGTAAATAATCGGGTCTGGACCAGACAATCCAGTGATCAACAGTATGAGGATCGATCTACGCAAATGGGATACGATGACGTGTCAGACAGAGAAGCTCCAGTGAGTCCCTAACAGCTAACCCGGATCTTCATGGGTTCAGCATGACAATGTTAGCTGTGATGGTGGTCTAGAGTTATCAAATGGGATTATCACTGTCTGACTGATTGTGTAAGTGTAGTGTCAAATGTCAGGTTGGCAGAGAGGCTGGTGAATTTGGTGGCAAGGTTTGACCAGATCCGATTGTGTGACAGGACAAGGTTTGACTTTCCTGATACACTGGTGACAAGAAGATAAATTCTAACCTGATTGATCTTCACTGGGTTCATGTGTGAAAGACAAGATTGGGTGACATTGTACACTGATGACAAGGTTTGACTTTCCTGATTTTGTGACATTGTACACTGGTGGCATGACAAGGTTTGACTTTCCTGATTGTGTGACATTGTACACTGGTGACAAGGTTTGACTTTCCTGATTGTGTGACATTGTACACTGGTGACAAGGTTTGACTTTCCTGATTGTGTGACATTGTACACTGGTGACAAGGTTTGACTTTCCTGATTGTGTGACATTGTACACTGTTGACAAGGTTTGACTTTCCTGATTGTGTGTCATTGTACACTGGTGATGTTTGACTTTCCTGATTGTGTGAATTGTGTAAATTATTTCTTTTAAAAACTTTCAAAAATACAAGTATGTGAAATTTACAATATTTTCTCATTCCTTCAATTATTTTCTTGTTACTTCTATATCATTCACTGTTTCGCCCTACAAAATCTAAAAGCTAAGAAAACACAGAAGATTAAAACAGATTGAATATTGCTTTTTATAAAACATTGACATAACAGAACAGTCAAAATTTAGTGTGAACTGTTTTTTTCTAAGAAGTGTCGGGGTTTTTTCCATAATGGCAATATATGTGTACCTCCAAGAAACTTGGATGAGAAAGTAACGAGAGTAAAATCGAAGCAACGAGAAAATATTTGGAAGTAAAGTTTTCATAAAGAGAAGATATATTTGACTGAAGTTAATGTTTTATTCATAAAGAACACCAGATACATGAACCCGGTCAATGAGAAATCTATCACAGCAGCAAGAAGATACTCAAAATTTCAACGTTTTAAAAGAAACTTGAAGTAACAAAGAAACACACTAACTGACAAGAAATTAACAAACAAAATTGATAGACCACAAAAGTACTCAAAATTTCAAGTTTGGAAAAAAACCCCTGAAATATAGATTAAATAATAGAAATAGGAAGAAGAAATGAAGGAAATATTCTGACAACAGAAAATTAATGTACAGCTCAAAATCCATATTGCAAAATGAAGGAAATTCATACGAATGAAAACCTTGATTTGAACTTAGGGTGCAGGTGACATCGAACATCAAGTTATATGAATACATGTAGTATTAGCGTAGCAGTTATGTCCCTTTGAGTGGAGAGCAGCCATGCTTTGGGGAAGTGTTTTGACGTGTGTTTTGAGATCCAGCCGTCAAGCCACCGCACATGGATCACCGATGGCTGCGCTCTGTCGATTATTTACTACAACAAACCGCAACCAATTGAAAGAAGGTACTCATATGTTGCTGTTTATAGACTGACAGTAGACACACATGTGTTGTTCAGATTTCGATCAGTTCAATAACACTTATTACACATCGTGATGGAAACACCTCAGATTCTACAGTATATCATTATTTCAGTGTTTGAATTTTCATGTTATATGACCAGGAACAATAAGGATAACCTTCTGGCCCTTTAAACTGATGCGTATCGAAATACTCACTGTGCACTACATATTATAACCCATAACTCAAATACTGCTTGTGAAGATGGTATGTAACTTTGTATAAATATCCCAAACATGTGTGTTGTTCCTGTGCTTGATGCTCCTTGTCTTCTGTGTTACAGTCAGGGAAACACAAACAGAGAATGCAACTGTGGTGAGTAGTAACTGGTTATGATGATTTCTGACCCAAATTTAATTACATCTTCCCAGTCCTTTAACTCAACTTAGCTGGAGGTCACAGTTAAGATTGATTCCCGCAAACAAATGTGTGCTTGTCTTGGTTGACATGTGAGTGATATATGGAAGACATCTGACGGTGCACCACACTGACAACCAACAGCCCAAAGGTGATCCATATTCTAAAGATGCCCCTTTTTGACAGCCATAAGCCTAACAGTGCTCATAATTTGAAAAACTAATCAATTTTGACATCTCCATTTGAGAGCGTCCGCCGGGATGGGTTCGATCCCGACACTCACCTCAAAGACTGCCTATACATTTGTTCTTTGTTTAACAAGGATGGCAGTAATAGTCCTCCTTTGACATGGCTCCTTATCTGGAACAAACTAGTGATTGATATCATAAGCAACATCTCATACTATTGGGGTACAATAAAAACATCTCACAATCAGTAACCATGCCATTGTCAGAAGAATGAATAGCTACATGAAACACATTTGTAAAACCATAAGACAGTGTGTCATGTGATTGCATTCAGCTCTGCAGTGATGCACAGCATGGGTTTAGATTTTACTGGTGATGTCAACAGTCAGGTATCAACAAGAGACCTTTGTTTCATGTGGTCCAAGACATCGAAGTATATTCATCACTAAACTGTTTATTTCTTTTAATTACATATGTCATGTTTGTTTTTTCACGCTAAATACGACTTTGGAATCAGTCTAGATTATGAACTAACCAAGCTCTGCATACATCATGAATAGACATGTTGCTGTGTGTATGTTTGTATTTTACCAATTCAAAACTCACCCAGATGCCTTGTACCAGCAAATCTGTCATACTCCAAAACATGCAAGTTGTTTGACTTCACCAGACCACTCTCTGTCCATCAGTTTAAGCTCCATTACTATATACATGTAGTATACTTAATGCCTCATGTTCACAGATAAAGCCAGAAAGTACCGGTTTACATCATACTAGTGTCACTCAGAGGCGTTGTGTGTAGTATTTTGCCATTGTCGTCTTCCAAGAACCAGCCAATTAAACAAGGCTGTTAAGGGCAGCTGGAATGTTTGCTCAGTGCATTCTGGATGATGAATATATGATGCATGCAGGGTATTACTGGTTGCAAAATATGTGTAAAATGGACACAAGTAATTTATATAATTCAATATTTGAAGTAGGAATTTGAAACATCTGATGAGTATATTCTTATAAAAATTACACTCCAGGTTTTCACAGTGTTCACTCAGTCAATGTTTTGATACAAGGCTTCTCTCAGGAAACCGTTTCTAGTAGCGACACCTCCATAATAATTATTTTGATAATCCACAAAACTCAGGAACTCATAGACAAAGGTTACTGTATCATTCAAGTGAAGAGTTTTCAATGCATGTAGTTCTTTTGACATATGAATAGCGCCTTTTAGAGACAATGAATCGATTTGTAGGCCATAATCTGCAGATAAGTATTCTCTTGTTGTTATTGATAGGTTGACTGTCAATGTTTAGACAATAGTCTCTTTATCTTGAGACATGTTATTTCCCAAACTTGAGATATTTACATACGCCATCAGAAATGAACAGTGGACAAAATGGATTCAACTTGTGATGTTGATGACTGTTTTTTTTCCAGATTGAAGGTGTCAAGGTTCCATCCAGTCGGACTGATTACCTGTTGCCAGGCAACTCAGAGGTCAAGTGCCCCTTGTGCAAGGTTCATACCGACCTCAAGTACACGGTCAGTAGAATGTGTGGATGAGTTGCTCCCATGTAGACACAGCTTATGATATTTTAATATCAACTGTTGATGGTTGGTTGTTTACTGCAAGGCTACTGCTGACATAGCAATCACTCGAAACTCAGGACTTCCTGTTGTGGAAGGATGGGTACCCTTGATGAAAGTTAGTAAATTTGTATAAGTATAGAAGAAAGTGGAATTAATCTCCGACATCTCCTCTGTAGATTGGCCACCTATGATGTGTTGAATGTGTTGACTTGTTTGTTCAGCTGCTGTCATGAGTTCCGAGGTTAAGGATAAAACATAGAGATAATTGTTTAACATGTTCCATACTATAATCAGAAAAAATAATTGATATTGAAATTACATTGCTAACTTTGATGAATTTAAAATATTTCTTTACAAATACTTCTTTGCCATCATAGACTTTCGCATGAAAACGTTTACTATCAAACGAGCAAATACCCATCTAGTTTAGTGTCAGTGATTCTCCTACTCATCCGAAACTTGCTTCATCAAGAGACACGGGTAAGGTGTCTGATCATTGTTATGGCAGTCGCTGAAGCTGCTTTGATGTACACAGTGAAGAGACTGGTTATTACTGATGACAAGCTAGTAAATCTGTGGAGTTTTAAACTATTATCTATGAGTGTTGACATATTTGATATCAACAAAATATTATTTTTTTAGTGGTTTTCTATTTTTTGCAACTGTTGTTTCAGGATGTGCTCATTCTCAGTCAGTTTCTTCGTCCTGATGGCTGCCTCCTTCCCAGGCGGGTAACAGGCGTGTGTAAGAGACAGCAGCGATCTCTGGAGAAGCTGATACACCAAGCTCAGAGGGCAGGTAGGTAATGTGTGGACACTGTGGCTACACTAGGGATACTCAGTCTCACCAACACCCTGCAGGGATGGGTCCATCTACTATCGAGTAGAAGGGACAGGCAGAGATAATGTTTGGGGGTTGTATGACATGCTCCTCATGATTTACAGAAACTGTACTTAGGCCTTTTACTTATTGTGGATTTCAATATTAGATTGAATAAAGTCAACCACTGATATTCTGGACTTCTTGCCAGGTCAGAAATGACTGTAATTTGTAACATGCAATTTCCTGTCTTCCTTACATTATATGATTCAGAGAGCGGAAGGTCGCGGGTTCGATCCCCGACCACGTCATACCAAAAGACGTTAAAATATGGTACTTGTTGGTCCCTGCCTGGCGCTCGGCATTAATGGGTACAACAAGGACTGGTCGGCTCGGAGTCAGTATAATGTGTCTGAGTGGGGTATTCTTGCTTCACTGCGACATTGTATCTCAGTGGGCTAGCACTATAAAACCAGCTTCAGTCTGGGCTAGTACAAGCAGCTGCACGTACACATACACACGCATGCTCGTCGTCAATGAGCGAAATATTCTCCAGTGCGACGTTAAACCCTATTTCACCTCACCTCACCTTTTATGATTCATTTGTTTGCTTCCATTCTCCATTTGTAATTAGTGTCTGGCAAAATTCTAACATGAATGGGTTTGTTCCAGGCCTACTGCCAACATTCCGACCTGATCTGCCCAGTGGGAAAGAGAGGACTCAGCCACACTCACAGTTCAAGTGGAAAAAAATACAATGTATATTATGAGGAGGATTGATGATGATACTTTAGGTCAAAACAAATACATGATGTTGTGTTAGAAGACACAGTAGGTGACATCAACGTGTTCTGAACAATGCAACCTTTGTCATGAAGAGTGTGGTGTGACAGACTGTGTACCTTGATGTAAGACACCCTGTGTATTGTGCCCTGCACCCTGGAGACACCACCACTGGAAGATGGTGTATGTGCATGGTAGGGGCACGGAAGATCGTGTGTGTGTGCAGAGTAGAAACTAATAAAAAATCAAGATGCCTTTTGTCTCTGTTTGATTTTAGTTGTGCTAGACCAGTGTGCAGGGTGCTTCAGTGAGACAACACCTCCGTAGTGGGAAACACAGCAAGCCTGGGGTCTCATAAGTAGACACAAACTACAATGCATTATCAATAATGTTTTATTATATTTAACAATGGGTGTTACTTGGATCTTCTTTATATAAAGGATGTGACAGGCGGAGTACACAATGATGTAGGCATGGTGAGGCTATGTACAGATGATCAAGGTGGCCTACAACATGAATGGCAGGTCCAAGTTCTTCTCGCCAGTGCCGAAGTACACTGAGCCAAACTTGCGCTGTCCTGGGACGTGACAGAAGATGTAGCCTTGCCACAGCAGGCTGCGGAGAGTCACAAGGCCACTACCACGCTCAAACTGTAGACTCCAGGAGCCTAGAAACAAAACAACACTCCTTGTATTCACATATCAAATTACACGATGGGACAGGTACCATAACTCAAGCAGCAGGTTGTGTTCAAGTTGACAGTACTAGTAGTATTATGGAAATGTTGGCTTACCTCGGGGGATGTCCTCCTCCACGGAGTCCATGAAATCAATGGCCTTGTCCAGACTAGCCCGCTGTAGGATGCTCTGCTCGCTGATCAGCTGGGGTTCACGGAAGTGGAAGTAGTTGCACAGCTTGGCTGCCTCCGACACAGACAGACCTGCACACAATGGTCAATTCATTGCTTACTAAGGCTAAATGGTTCACTGGTGTTCCATAACCTGAAGTACACTTACAACCACAAGAAAATGGGTTGTGGAGCATATATGTACCAAGAAAAATATCAATCACAACCTCTGCTATATTTAATAACATCAGAAGTTTCAAGTACCTCTGGGAAATATCCACACTTATCTTAATGTCACAGTTTCTCCTTATAATTGCAAGTACAGTGGCACATGATACAATGAAGCAATAGAATGGGTAGTACAGTAACGGTTACAGTTACAAAACCTCACTAGATAATTGATATTAGTTTTGTATTGGAATCGAAGTATGATCTATCTAAACAAGTTTTGCCATAAAATACAAACTGAATTTGATTTATGAAAATGGATTATTTTATAGGGAAATATAATATCATATTTTGGACTAAGTAGGGTTTAAGGTCCAAGGTGTACATATCACGTCACACAAAAGACTAGAACTTATTTTAGACTTAACATGACTGTTGAATGACAAAACAGTTTGCAATGTGTTATTACTGAGCCTGGGTTATGCTGCAATAAGCATGTTCTTCGTACAAAAGTTGGGTTGCCTTCTTGGTAATTTTCAGTGTGAGTCACATGACAACATTTGCATGTTGGAACCAGCTGGCTCAAATAATAATCTCTCATTTTTATGTCTGTTATAGCGTAAAATGATATGAAAAATTCACAATAGCTTTAAAAAACAGACCTTCAAAACTCCTGTTAGAGATCACTTGTCCAGTTGGAGTTTTGATGAAAGCAGCACGTGGGACAATGCGAACGTCTTCATCAATCTCAGTGATGACAGATGCCAGACGATCCTCCTCCTTGATTGTCAGCTAATAAAATATAAACAACAGTGTCACACTGGCTACCTTCACATCTTGTCAACTTAACTATATTTTCCCACTAGATATTCTAGATATAGCACATGTTCGAGCCCCACTCACCGTTTCTTCTTCCTCTGTGGCATCCTCGCCTTCTCCTACTTTCTTCGTTTCCACATGTTCATACTCATATGAAGGGTCTCCAGTAAAGCGACCCTTGGCAAGCTTACTCTGATCTCGCATCATTTTTGTTGCTGGTGGAAGGAGGCCCCAGTGGATACAGTCCTTGCTACAAGATGAGAACAGCAGCCTAAGTTGTGATGCTGATTATACAATACACATTAACAAGTAATAAGCAGGTATACATGCATAACACTGCATATCTCTTTGAACATCCTCATAATGTGCATATTCGAAAAATAGAAAGACTGATATAATTGCTTATACTCTCTCCAAAAAGGGCAGCATTCTAACAACATTAATGATTTACTTCCCGAAGATCGCAAGTATAACCACACTATCATGACATTATTGACTTATATAGATTTAAAAGTCACAGAATTTTTTTATTGCACTTGCGGTTTTGTTTGAGCTCGGTATGCAGATTGCACTTAAGTAATTTGATTGAGGCATCCCCTTTTCATTATTATTCTAGTAGAAAAAGAAAGGGTTTTGGTCGGAGACTCGCACATTCCTTGTACACACAACTGTTTTATGATGGTCGACATCGACGTAACAATGACTTTGCAATGGCATTAAATATTGTGATTTATCTTCGATTTCTTACCTATAAAATGTTTTGCGACCAGCAAATTCATCTTTGTCGAATCCTTGGGCAACAAAGTAGTCTTCCTTGACTCCGACGATTTTCCCCCAGAAGTACACTTTGTGAAACTTATTTTCATTTTGTAAAATCACTAATGATGTCTGAAGGGCTGCTTTCTGTTCTGGACTAAGAACAACGCCGCTGCTACCGACGTAGTCAATATTCAGATGTAAACCCTCGGATTCCATGTCGTGTTATCTTGTAGTGAGCGTTAACACAAATGTGGAGAAGGTAAATGTTGTCGAGGGGTAATGGTTGTTTACACCGTTTCTATGTAAGTGGAACATGCGCAAACGATAGCTTCCGTTGCTAAGGCACATGGTAATATTTCCTTGCAACTACCGTTTGCTATGTTTTTGTATTACTAAAATAAGTGACATTCATGATGCCACAGTGCATATATAAAATGAAAATAATATTATTACATTTTTGTAAATATAATTAAGAGGAAAACTGAAAGTTTTTGCCCAGGAGCACATTCAATTTGTCGAAAAACGGAGAATAGTTTTGTGTAGCATGTATTGACTGGTCCACTGTCTACAAAACGCTGAAAGCGCAACAGAATTTGCGCATGCGTGTAAATAACTTCCCTCGTTTACAAGTTTGAAAAGTCGGAGCTGACATGTGTGCGATATAAACTTAAGTCTGAACTTCATCCAGTATCAATAATATGGCATCTTTAGATCCTGACACTGACATCATGTATGTGTGTCGATCAAATTTAGTACTACGTTCTCAAATGCGAGTGATATTGTCGGAAACATACAATCGAAAAAGACTGCCAGAAGCAATGGAACACAATGTTGAAACTGTGTGGAGTGATCGTCTCGCCAAAAATCCCAAGCTATACAATGGTACCAAGTTCAGGATAGATTCAGTATCGATTGAGGGCGATGCACTAACCGTAAATCTCGGTGTAACATGTTATAAAGAATATATAGGAAGCAACTGGTCTCCTAACGTAGAGCTATATCAAACTCTAGGTCGTCAATATTGTAACAACCCTCAGGTTTATCTGTCAGATCCTCTTGGCGTCGGATCGTTTGTGTTGACCAGTGATAATCGTGTGATTCTGCTGAGGAGAAGTGTACATTGTGGCGAGGCTCCTGGTCTGTGGGACGTCCCAGGTGGACATGCAGAGCCTGAGGTATACACACGTTGATGGGAGAAAAGTACAAGTAACACTCTTTTGTAGTTAGATTTAAAACAAGCTTGAATTAACCACTCTTGCCATTTAGATGCAAACATGTCGATTGCAATAGCCTCTTGTAAAACGAACATTTAATGGCTTCTATCAGACTTGTTTGGACAGCAATATTGTTAGATTAACTCTCTGACAATCCTGTTGCAAATCATTCTGATAGAAACAAATAACTGTTGAAATTGAAAAGAGCCCCAGTTTACTCAGAGAATCAGAATCTGAGGACTTGATTCAATTAATGCATTTGTGCTACAGAAGGAGCTAGATGGTAGAAAATAATGTAGTTCGGGGACTGTGAGACAGACTACAAATTTGTCTGCACTAGTTGCCCCTGACTTCAGTATCTCAGACCTTGTGGCCTCCTCAATCCAACGGGGAGGGGAGGTAGCCTTGTGGTGAAAGCTTTCACTCGTCATGCCCTAGTTCGAGTCAGCACATAGGTAAATTGTGTGCCAGTGCAGCCAGTTTCTGGTGTACCTGGTGTATTGCTGGAATATTGTTAAAGGCGGTGTAAAATTAAATTCATTCACCCACTCTCAATCCACCAATCAAACACAATGAAACACCAGTTGTGTATTTCATTTCAAATACAACTGTAGGCACTTGCTGGAGATGAAATAGTTTGGATTGTATACAACCATGGTAACATGCACAACAAATTCCATTTAGAGTCTCCACGTAGAACCATTTAGAGTGTCCACGTAGAACCATTTAGTGTCCACGTAGAACCATTTAGAGTGTCCACCAGTTAGAGTGTCCACGTAGAACCAGTTAGAGTGTCCACGTAGAACCATTTAGAGTGTCCACGTAGAACCATTTAGAGTGTCCACATCCAGTTAGTGTCCACGTAGAACCAGTTAGTGTCCACGTAGAACCATTTAGAGTGTCCACGTAGAACCATTTAGAGTGTCCACGTAGAACCATTTAGAGTGTCCACGTAGAACCATTTAGAGGGTCCACGTAGAACCATTTAGAGTGTCCACGTAGAACCATTTAGAGTGTCCACGTAGAACCATTTAGAGGGTCCACGTAGAACCATTTAGAGTGTCCACGTAGAACCATTTAGAGTGTCCACGTAGAACCAGTTAGTGTCCACGTAGAACCATTTAGAGTGTCCACGTAGAACCATTTAGAGTGTCCACGTAGAACCATTTAGAGTGTCCACGTAGAACCAGTTAGAGTGTCCACGAGAACCAGTTAGTAGAGTGTCCACGAGAGAACCATTTAGAGTGTCCACGTGGGAACCATTTAGAGTGTCCACGTAGAACCATTTAGAGTGTCCACGTAGAACCATTTAGAGGGTCCACGTAGAACCATTTAGAGGGTCCACGTAGAACCATTTAGAGTGTCCACGTAGAACCATTTAGAGGGTCCACGTAGAACCATTTAGAGTGTCCACGTAGAACCAGTTAGAGGGTCCACGTAGAGGAAGCAAGCATGGCTAGGGTCAAATGACGAAGCCTTTGACAAACGAGGTGAATGAACACTGGTCTCCCTCAGCATTGGTCACTCTTATTTTCCTGTGGTATTACATAGTCAAGAAATAGTTCTTGATTAACTTGTGTAGATGGGTACAGTGTGTGAAGCCCATTTCTGGTGTCCCCTGCCGTGATATTGCTAAAAGCGGCGTAAAACCATACTCACTCGCTTGTGTAGACTACGTTGTTTTCTTATGATGCAATTTTACCAATACAGCTATTCAAATCACTCTAGTGGCTTCAATATTTGACCATAATAGCATGCTGTTTATTAAAGTCTATTTTGAAATGGTAAATTCCTATAGTACTTTCAATCGCTTCTGAAAAGTAGCAGCTCTACCACAACACATTTATTACAAAGGAATTTTATTGTTTATTGGGTATTTTCCTGTAAGATCTCATGAGAATTCCATTAATTTCCAAATCATTGACTGTGTGACTTCTTGGTACACCAGCCAGCTTCCAAGTCTCCAGACATCAGCAGTTTGCAGTGCACTGTCTGTAACCATGGTAACAGCTGGCAGCTCCTTGAGTGGAACAATCTGTGTGGGGGAATTATCCCAAGATCACTGAATGTTTAAATCGATTGATAATCACCAATTTTCCCAATGAACATAGTAACAGAGGAGAATTTATAGCTGTCAACTTCTTTAACAGAAGGAACACAATGTGTTAAGGTGATAAGGTGAATGAAAAACTAGGAAGCAGATAGCTCTATAAGTATGTTTGAAACAACAAAAGTGATGACATAGCAATGATGGGCAGGTAACAAGGGAACTAGTAGTTAATGGTTCTGTTGGTGATACTGGACATCTGGCATTGTAGTCAATGCAGTTGTTGACAGCTCTGTTCTGAGGACTGGTCTGATATCCCGATCTGTGTCTTGGACAGAAGTGTTGGGGCTGCTGCACCTGGGATTCTCCCAGTACTGCATGGCATCTAGCAGCAGTTTCAGTAGTTATAAGATTTCTTTTGTGTATTGGTATGATTTTATATATTAGGCCAGACCAATTTATCTCTTGTTTTTCCGATCAGTGGTATTTTTTCAAGAATAAGAAAATAAATAAATTAATTTTCCCTGCTCAAAACATAAAATCCTCATGATTTTATTGGTCAAAAATGTAAACTTACCTTACTTTTAGTATTTTAAAGGAATATTACTTTGACTGGTGATTTTTATTTTTTTCCCTCCTGACTTTAGGTTTTCTGAAGAGAAAAATCCGTAAAACAAGAAATAAAATTGATCTGGCCCTATTTTTAGAAACTAAAAACTGCACATTAGGACCTGCAACACATGTTTATGCATGGCTGGAGATGTTTGTGTGAGGCTAGTTACTGGAGAGATTTATAACAGTAGAGGAAACAGAACAGAATGTACAAAGTAGGTGTTTTCATTGAGAAGAGGTGGCCAAATACAGAATTGTGTCAAGATATTGAAGACATTACATGGAACCCTATAGTGGATATTACATGGAACCCTATAGTGGAGTTACATGGAACCCTATAGTGGAGTTACATGGAACCCTAGTAGATACTATAGGGTTCCATGTAATATCCACTATAGGGTTCCATGTAATATCCACTATAGGGGGTTCCATGTAATGTCAACTATAGGGTTCCATGTAATGTCAACTATAGGGTTCCATTTAATATCCACTATAGGGTTCCATGTAATATCCACTATAGGGTTCCATGTAATGTCCACTATAGGGTTCCATGTAATATCCACTATAGCGTTCCAAGTAATATCCACTATAGGGTTCCATGTAATGTCCACTATAGGGTTCCATGTAATGTCCACTATAGGGTTCCATGTAATGTCCACTATAGGGTTCCACATTACATGGAGCCCTATAGTGGATATAACATGGAACCCTATAGTCGAGTTACATGGAGCCCTATAGTGGATATTACATGGAACCCTATAGTGGAGTTACAGAGAAGTGGATGTGGTCGAGGTCTTACTTAATTTATATAATATCTGATTAAGAGATTGGAAACATTTAATGAGCTCAGTATGAACAGAAAGGATATTTTCTTAAATAAAAACATGTCCAAACTCATTGACGTAATCCTTATCCGTAATTATGTGAAACTGTCTGTATCCACTAAGTCTAGTTTAGAAAAGTTCCATGTTGATAAGCATGTTGACATTAATCCCAACTCCATTGTGTGACTAATGTCACATCTGATTTGTGAGTAAACCCTCTTCAAGTCAAATGTTTAGAGGTTTAAGTGAAATGTATGATGCGTGATTATACATGGTTTATTGAATTAATAGTGAAATATGAAAGAAGTAGGTACAGCCACTACAAGTTTGTGTACAGATTGTCTAGTTTTGTGTGTAAGTCATCCACATGAAGTACAAATGCTCCAAATTTGGTATGACTTGGACAGAAACATTAGGTACGGATTAGCCATTTTCAAAGTGTACAATTCTCTGTGGATACTGATAATCTAGTATCAGGTGAAACTATTTTGAGACTATTGTTTCTGGATCACTTCATGAATGTTTCACTTTTTCATCAGGCATATCTAGAAGCCTCAATGCTGTTTGGCTCATTAGAAAGTTCACTTCAGTTTGTGACATCTTCATGACGATAGATATCGGAGTGAAAGATTTGAGTTCAATGAGATTGCTTCTCTTGTTCTCCATGCAGGTTTTCGTATTTTGGAAATGACAGGTGGTTTCTCATAAGAGCTGGGAAGCCTCTGTTTAAAAGTTAAAAGACACATAGTATAACCTGTCTACATCCAGCAGACACATATTAGAACCTGTCTACATCCAGCAGACACATATTAGAACCTGTCTACATCCAGCAGACACATGGTAGAAGTCCTCTGCATCCCGCAGACACATGGTAGAAGTCCTATACATCCCGCAGACACATGGTAGAAGTCCTCTGCATCCCGCAGACACATGGTAGAAGTCCTATACATCCAGCAGACACATGGTAGAACTCCTCTGCATCCCACAGACACATGGTAGAAGTCCTATACATCCTGCAGACACATGGTAGAAGTCCTCTGCATCCAGCAGACACATGGTAGAAGTCCTCTACATCCAGTATACACATGGTAGAACCTGTCTACATCCAGCAGACACATATTAGAACCTGTCTACATCCAGCAGACACATGGTAGAACCTGTCTACATCCAGCAGACATATGGTAGAACCTGTCTACATCCAGCAGACACATGGTAGAAGTCCTCTACATCCTGCAGACACATGGTAGAAGTCCTGTACATCCTGCAGACACATGGTAGAAGTCCTCTGCATCCCACAGACACATGGTAGAAGTCTTCTGCATCCTGCAGACACATGGTAGAAGTCCTCTGCATCTAGCAGACACATGGTAGAAGTCCTCTGCATCTAGCAGACACATGGTAGAAGTCCTCTGCGTCTAGCAGACACATGGTAGAACCTGTCCTTTTCATTAAGCGGCACACATTTGTGTCATGGACTTATGCAACACGTTGAGCACCTTTAACTCTGGTTACTGTTGTCTGTCAGGAGCTGGTTGGGAAAAAGTCCTTTGAGGAAATTGATGTGTCATCCATGGATTCTCAAGCTGTGACTGATGAAATCTTTGACTCTATCCTGCGGGAGATTCGGGATGAGGTCAATCTTCCCCAGTCTTCCTTGTCTGATCCGGAACTCCTCGGTATTGCCCGGAACACCACTAGTGCCAGCAGACCCAGCATGGAGTTTCTTGTCAGGTATGGAAATCTATTGGTATATGTGGTAATATATACTGGTTCAGTCACAGCTAAGTAACTATTGTAAACCTTACTGATGTAACATGTGTAATGACGAAGAATAAACGAGCAGGTTCATTAAGAGGTGTGTCTGTAGGTGCAGTCTGAAGTCTGAGGAGGTGGTGTCTCGCTACCAGCAGGGCAACCAGGCCGAGGCTGATGAGTCAACCAGCATCAAGATGCTCCCACTAGAAGATGCTGTTGTCTTGGAAACAAAGAATCCAGACTTGTGGAGGGAAATGGCTCCCTCTGGAAAAGGATGTTTCATTCTGTACAGGTTAACAAACAGGAGTCCATAAGACCTTCGTGACACTGCCACTGCTGCTAATACTGTTGACCATCCTGACACTGCCAACACTGCTGTCACTGTTAACTGCTAACACTGCTAACAAAAGAATGCTCCATGTGTATTCTGGACCATGACCGAGAATGAATAATGAACTGTGACTGGGGTTTAGCAACATAGTTAGCAGTAACAGCTGTGTAGTAAATGCAATGGAGTACTGATGGAAAATGTACAGAGTCGGTCATGCATGGAATACTTATGACAGTGTTTCTATATTTTAGGCCGCCGTCATATAGCTGGAATATTCCTGAGTGCAGAGTAAAACTAAACTTAATATATTTTATCGTTATGTAGATTTTAGTAATGTGGGTTGCTTTACATATCATGGATTAATGTAATGTGGGTCGCATCCTATATCATGGATTAATGTAATGTTGGTCTCATCCTATATCATGGATTAATGTAATGTGGGTCTCATCCTACATCATGGATTAATGTAATGTGGGTCTCATCCTATATCATGGATTAATGTAATGTGGGTCACATCCTACAACATGGATTAAAGTAATGTGCGTCTCATCCTATATCATGGATTAATGTAATGTGGGTCACATCCTACAACATGGATTGATGTAATGTGGGTCTCATCCTACATCATGGATTAATGTAATGTGGGTCACATCCTATATCATGTAATGTAGGTCCATTCTATACCATGGACTAATGTAATGTGGGTCACATCCTATATCATGGATTAATGTAATGTATGTCACATCCTATATCATGGATTAATGTAATGTGGGTCACATCCTACATCATGTAATGTAGGTCCATTCTATACCATGGACTAATGTAATGTGGGTCACATCCTATATCATGGATTAATGTAATGTATGTCACATCCTATATCATGGATTAATGTAATGTGGGTCACATCCTATATCATGGATTAATGTAATGTATGTCAGATCCTATATCATGGATTAATGCAATGTGGGTCACATCCTATATCATGGATTAATGCAATGTGGGTCACATCCTATATCATGGATTAATGCAATGTGGGTCACATCCTATATCATGTAATGTAGGTCCATTCTATACCATGGACTAATGTAATGTGGGTCACATCCTATATCATGGATTAATGTAATGTATGTCACATCCTATATCATGGATTAATGTAATGTGGGTCACATCCTATATCATGGATTAATGTAATGTGGGTCACATCCTACATCATGGATTAATGTAATGTAGGTCCATTCTATACCATGGACTAATGTAATGTGGGTCACATCCTATATCATGGATTAATGTAATGTATGTCACATCCTATATCATGGACTAATGCAATGTATGTCACATCCTATATCATGGACTAATACAATGTGGGTCACACCCTATATCATGTACTAATGCCATGCATGTCACATCCTATATCATGGATTAATGCAATGTAGGTCACATCCTATATCATGGACTAATGCAACGTGGGTCACATCCTATATCATGTACTAATGCTATTTATTACCTACGAGGGCGAACGTATCGGGGTTCATATTTTTCGTACCATGCCCTAGGGCAAAATATCACTTTGTCATGGTGACGTGACGTCATGAACAATGCTATGACGTCACGTTTCTTCTGTGCCGTTGCGTTCTACATGCGGCGTCGGCGGGTAGAGGGCCTATGTTTGAAAGTAGAATATTTTGGGTTAGATTGGGTTATTTTCCTCAATTTGACGACTTCGGTAATAAACAGAATATTATATTCGTGCCCATATCATACTATGTTTACGACACTTGTGCCTAAATATCGGTATATCCCTCGCTCTCGCTCAGGAAATACCAAAATTTCGGTACTCGTGTCGTAAACATAGTATGACATGGGCACTCATATAATATCCTCTATGTATGTCACATCCTAATCATGAACTAATGTAATGTGGGTCTCATCCTATATCATGGATTAATGTAATGTGGGTCTCATCCTATATCATGGATTAATGTAATGTGGGTCTCATCCTATATCATGGATTAATGCAATGTGGGTCTCATCCTATATCATGGACTAATGCAATGTGGGTCTCATCCTACATCATGAGTTCTAAGATGCTTTGTTGAAAGATCAAATTTTAAGGCGCCGACAGTACTTTATCAGGCGCTGAAGTACACTTTTTGCGTGACTTCACGCAGTATTGACGTCACTACGCCGTTGTCATCTGCCCCCTCGTTATCAAGCGTACCCCTGGTAACGGACGTTTTTGGGTTTGCAGATGCTTCACACGGCAATCATCTTATGGAAACATTACGTTTATATTTTTCGACGGATAAAATGTCTCGGGTAGTCACAATTAAACAGCTACACGGCAACGTTCGCAATGTTTACATTCCCACAATGCCTCCGTGGAAAGTCGCGTGAATAGTCAGCTCCATCTTGATGGACTGATCTAAACTTACGTTGGTTGTAGAAATGCGGCGTTTATATTGTCCATTTGGTTTACATTAATCACAGAGGTAACTGAAATAATATAGAGAACATATTTAGCCCGAACGGAAACCGTCTTGAAACTGCCTGTCTTTTGTTTTCACGTGACAGCAGGGGCGTAGGAACGGATCAAGACGAAACCATATCTACCTTACCATAACTACAATTTCATTTTGATTTTCAATACTTTTCATAAATTAACCACACACACCACCATCCCACCCCCATCCCCCGCTCTTAAAACCGTTCCTACGCCCCTGTAACATATGTTATATTTGGGATTATACTTTCTTAGTAAAGTGCAGATTCTAGTACTTTTGTTGGGTTGAGTCCGGGATTCGAACCCACACCCTCACGGCAACGTTCGTCTTAACATAGGGGTGCAAACACGTAACCGGAAGAGCTCATCAGTTGGCCCTGAACGAGGATTGTTAATTTAGGTCACCGACACCGTCGTTTTTGTGTTTGTTTTCGGTAAGTATTAAATTTGGCATCTCAGAAAAGAAATAAAGTTCGCTCTACCCCCATGTATAGTGTAATAAAGTACACTTTCGTCCTGACCTATTTTAACGTTAAAGCACTCGGACGCAAGCGTCCTGTACTATATTTAAGCGTGCTTTATTACGCTACATGGTGGTAGACCGAACTGTATTTCTAACTAATGTAATGTAGGTGTCATCCTGTATCGGGACGGTGGGGTAGCCTAGTGGTTAAAGCGTTCGCTCGTCACGCCGAAGACCCGGGTTTGATTCCCCACATGGGTACAATGTGTGAAGCCCATTTCTGGTGTCCCCCGCCGTGATATTGCTGGAATATTGCTGAAAGCTGCGTAGAACTAAACTCACTCACTCACTCATCCTGTATCATGGAATAAGTGAAGATTCGGGGTTAGAACTGGCCCACAGTAACGTAACGCTTGTCGTGTTAAAGATGCGACTGACGGGATCGGGTGTACAGGCTACTGAAGACTGATCCGGACCAGTTGTAGGTTTCCATTGTACAATGAACTTGGCCATCAATCGCCTTTTGTAAGTGGATGGCAGTGATAGTGGAAGCCTAAGATCGCGATTTTAAGGATTTACTATAATTGTAGGGCTAAGATTGTTTTGTGTAAGGGGCCATAGAGTGACTGAAACGGCGAACATGCCGAGACGGGGAATTTATTATCCATGTGGTAAACGTATTACTTACGTCACACGAGTGTCATAGTGCGTTGACCTGTGTCGGAACGACTTTACCTGAGATTCTAACGATTTGATTGAATAACCGATGGCCTCTCAGTTAGATCATGTTGTGACGGAACGACTTTCTCAATCACAAGAACAGGGGCGGATGCAGCTTTTTGAGAAGGTATGTATGTGTGTGCGCGCGCGCACTATTGAGAAAAGGGGGGGTGCACACTTCATTTTCACCCGAGTTTCAATGGTCATTGAGTGAGTGAGTTTAGTTCTACGCAGCTTTCAGCAATATTCCAGCAATATCACGGCGGGGGACACCAGAAATGGGCTTCACACATTGTACCCATGTGGGGAATCGAACCCGGGTCTTCGGCGTGACGAGCGAACTCTTTAACCACTAGGCTACCCAACCGCCCCCGATGGTCATTGAACAAACTTTCAGGACAAAAGGAGGGTGCGCATCGTGCGGGGTGGGGTGATGTGACATGAGTTGATAGTTCGTTATTATTCTATAATGAGAAATATTTGCTTCTTTTGAAGCTTGTATTTGCTGTTCTTAAAATTTAAAAGCGTTTCCACATGTTTCCACGTTTCCTTACTAAGTAGAACAGATAAGAACTATATTCAGTTGCGCATATTTAGGAATGTCACAAGAAGTGCAAATGTTAGTCCTCAACAAAGTTCTTCCGCAACCTCTTTATGAAACCGGTTTCGATTGAAAGCATTAAAATAACAAAAATACGGTATTTTGTTAGTTTTATGCAGGTAAGGCGTGGGTAATAAATTTAATACCACACTTGGTCTCATTATACGAAACACGTGACCTTCCTGTGGTATCTGAGGCCGAGTGTAAAGTAAGTCCAGAAATGCTTGGAAAAAGCTTTTTGGCAATTATTTGAAAATGGTTGATATTTCACATTCAAATATATAATCATTCATACCACCTCGACCTAATATGGCATATGAGTAATCACGATGTACCGTTGTACATAATGATTACTCGTACAATATCGAAAAACAGGGTGACAGCGTTATGTAACGCACGGGCAGTACATGTCAGGGACCGTCTCAAAATATCAAGTGTCAGTATCACTGCTAGTCGAGGACTCTAGCGGAATTACAACTGGTGCAACTCGGCTGACGTTAACGCCGTCCCGCAGACGGTATTCGTCCTCGATTTTGAGAACACGGTCTTCAGCCTTTTGCCACACTTCTGGCGTAATTCTCGCAAAAGAAGCATACACAAGCTCTTTAACGTCTTAAAGCGTGGTATTATTGCGAGCAATAAAATTCTTAAAGTTACCCCAGATCAGCTCGATGGGATTTCAGCTCACAGTGCCGTACTGGTGTACGCAGAACTATGTGGCCTTGTTTTGCAGCTCGGTTGTCAGTGATGTACTGGATTGGCTTTTTGTGCTGCCGGATTTTTCCATGAGCTGGGGCTTTGTTTCTGATTGCTTGTAAGGCATGTTACAGGAAGTGAGAAAATCCTGCAACTGAGCCTTGAGATTGCTCATGGTGGGTGTGATGGTACCAGGGACACGCAGGTTGTGGTATACCGGTAAATGGCGTTATCCAAAATGATAACGCTTGGTTCGTCCAGCTGTAGTAAAAAAACTGATGTTCGAACCACAGGGGCGTGTCACGCTTAGAAACAGCGTTAGAAAGACATATAGGTATATAGACCCTACCCTAGTACTATATAAAAGGAAAGGGATGTAACGACGGAACCACCCCCTCCTCAATCAAAGTTAGATTTCACCATCGGCGATCGGCAATCATACTCACTTGTCGGCCATAGATGGCCTTGACATTCAAGTGATCTGAGCAGTAAATTTGTAAGAATAATTTTAGAGGTTAAATATTTATAAATATAATTTCCTAAAAATGAATCAATATCGAATGCATTTTTACAACCTCTAAAACTATTCTTAACAATTTACTGTTCCGTACATCATCCAAAATAAAGGATTATTGCAAAGTTCATATTTCGCGCCCATTAGCAAACAGTCAAAATCACACTCCGGCACAGCGATGACTTAACATAACATCACTGCCACAGGCTAATTTGCATATCACGTGACCGGACTTTTCTCTTGTTTGTAAACAAACGCGCATATTCATAATAAGAAGAGACTGGCCTTACGGAAGTTTTTTCGGTGCGCACTTTACAATGTTTAACATTGTTACATATATATTCTTCCACAACTGCGACAATAACATTTATTACAGTACATATTTAGATGTCAAACTGGTTGCATCGTTTAATCCCTGTCGGCTTCGATGACAGCACGTGGAGCCGTACAACCTACGTAAACAAAGGATCGCTACGCAAATCGAAATAGTGTTACATGTTTTAGGATATTTTCTCAGTGAAACTAAGCCATTCTATCAAAGATGTTTAATTAGATGTTTAGGCTCGTAAAAAATAAAAGAGTTAAGAATATGTACATTATATTGAATGGACGGTGCAAGATGTGTCGAATCGCCACATTTTTCCGGCCTGTGGCAGAGGTACTATGCTGGCTGGCCGCATGGAACTCTGGGTAGGAGATTGAGTCAAAATCTTACAGTATATTATATTTTCCACCAATCGGATGGCCCAATTTCGTTTCTGCGGATCTGCTCAGATCACTTGAATGTCAAGGCCATCTATGGCCGACAAGTGAGTATGATTGCCGATGGTTTTGGAGAAAATGCCTACTTACTGTCGAGGAAATGATTTGTAGATGTTGCAATAAGTTTTTAGACCCGTGGAATGCCGCTCGCTTTCGATCCGTAGGCATCGACGGGTCCTTATAAATAGTTGACGTGGTGAAATCTAACTTTGATTGAGGAGGGGGTGGTTCCGTCGTTACATCCCTTTCCTTTTATATAGTACTAGGGTAGGGTCTATATACCTATATGTCTTTCTAACGCTGTTTCTAAGCGTGACACGCCCCTGTGGTTCGAACCAATCCAAAAATACCTGCCCATTCATTTCGCTATGGTAGTCACCATCAGATTTCTTGGCCTCAACCCCAATCAGCCCCTTGCTACGGGTACCAGCATGCAAGATGATCAGGCGTCTACCTTTGCCTGATGGTAACACTGGTGCCTTCGAACAATCTGAACGAAGCCACATCCGATCGGTTGACTGATTTTTATAATTTGAAACCCCATATTGCAGTATTCTTCAACTGTTCTGAGATAAGCTGATCGCATGGACAGGATTGAGTACTTTTCTCTAAACACAGCTCTGTCATCTCCCCTTTTGGTGTACCCGGACCCCATTTCTACCAGAGCTACAACAAGTGTTGTTTTCGAGACATGTATTGTATCTTTGATCTCATCTTGTCTTTTAGCACACGTCCGTGGGATTTTGCGTTCATACAGTTTATAAACTGCACGGCGTATGACACCCTTATCAAAGCTATCCAGTTTGTGTTCCCTACCTGGTTTTGATTTTGACACGACCCCTGAGGTAACTAATTTGTTTACAACTTGGTAAACCTGACTATATGTCAAATTAAGGGCTTTACACATTCTATAGTAAACCCTGTCACAGCTGACGAGAGGTCCCCTTTGTTTCTCCAGTATGAAATACTGGTATAAATTTGAAATTAATTGTTCTGCTGAGATATCAAGTCGCATGTTTTGCCAGTTCAAAGCTCATACACGAAGTGAAACTTCTATGGGTGAACAAGATTATCTATGCAATTTTAATTCAGACTTTTTACGTAATAATTTTGAATATAACTACTACAAGAGTTCCATCTTTTTCACATATAGATGTTCCAAAAAAAACAAAACTTTTTACAATCATTTATGTAATTTAATTAGTTGAGGCTATATGAATAATTATAGTCTGTATTTCTAAACTACAGTTTGTACTTAGAATATTTACGAATGTTGTTAAAACGTCAAAATTTCCTCCTGTGAAGTCACCCCTCAAGTGCATTTTTTCATCTGAGCTTTAATATCCAACTAGGTAGAGTCGTACATGTATCATATATGTAATTTTATCTTGTGTCAAATTCATCATATTGATATTGAAGCCAAAAAGCATTTCCCAAGGATTTCTGGCCTTACTTTAGTATTCTCTACGCTTGAAATTGACTACGTGTGAAATATACCATGTCAGCCACCCAAACTACTTTCTTTACGACAGAATCTGTTTCCACCTGGACCGTCAATAACAAATAACAAGCACGGGAAAAAGCTGCCGCTCTCCTGTGTGAATGGAAACACCACCAGTTAGATGCAGTGCCAATACTTTAGAGTAGAACTGTCTCTAGAAAAAGCTTGACCTTGTTCTTGTTCCAATGCAAGGTGACGGTCAAGCTTACTAGAAGTGATCACAAGGTTGTATGGTGACAGGACTTTAAGACTCGTTTATTTGGCAATACGTGCGTCGTATGACTGTATCTATCAATATATCGACATGGACATCCTCACAGTTCCTCTCCTTATCCTTCTGTGGTGAGGCATTGGAAGTGGTTAGGAGTTTATAGTGATTGATTGACATGTTCGTCAAGTGCTGTAACCGCCAGATTGTTACCAGAAAAGTGATTTAGAGATGCTGAAGCCCAATCAGCAGTCTTGACAGTAGTGACATCTGTATTCCAAGCATGCATTGTTGTGACAGTAGTGACATCTGTATTCCAAGCATGCATTGTTGTGACAGTAGTGACATCTGTATTCCAAGCATGCATTGTTGTGACAGTAGTGACATCTGTATTCCAAGCATGCATTGTTGTGACAGTAGTGACTTCTGTATTCCAAGCATGCATTGTTGTGACAGTAGTGACATCTGTATTCCAAGCATGCATTGTTGTGACAATGGTGACATCTGTATTCCAAGCATGCATTGTTGTGACAATGGTGACATCTGTATTCCAAGCATGCATTGTTGTGACAATGGTGACATCTGTATTCCAAGCATGCATTGTTGTGACAATGGTGACATCTGTATTCCAAGCATGCATTGTTGTGACAATGGTGACATCTGTATTCCAAGCATGCATTGTTGTGACAGTAGTGACACAGTCTGGTTATTCCTAACATGACGGTGAAGACACTGGCTACATGCTGCATCTCCTCCTTGGGGATAGTTGCTAACGTATCCACAGGTCAACACTTATCGCCTTCCTCGTGCTTTACCTCTAAACCCCCCTTTGGATTTTGGGCTGGGCTTCTTTGAACCTTTTTTGGCAGATTTGGGACTGGAGTTTTTCTTAGGACTGTCTTTACCCTTTTTCTTACTTTTTCCATCTTTCTTTTTTTCTGATTTCTGTTTCTCTTTGCCTTTGGTTTTTTTATCTTTCTTTTTTCTCTCAGGCGAGTCCTTTCCGCCATCGTGACTGTCCTCTCCGCCGGCAGATCCTCCTAGTTCCCCCGCCCCTCCTGCCCCGCCCCCGCTTCCAGTATCATAATCCTCAGCCAGCTCTGGGGACAGAAAAACATGTGACCAGCATGACAGATTTACAAACATTATGCCACAAAACACATGCATGTCGTAACAAAGGCCACGGTGCAGAGTCATACAAGAGCACATTTTAAAGTAAACTGTAAGATCCTGCCACGTCTAAGACACGCACTACTACATATATAATAGGACTGGGACACCAAATGCTGTAGATGATGCATCTAAAAGTACTTACGTGGCGATCTGAGTTAGAATTGGTCTTCAGTAACCCATGCTTGCCGTAAGAGGCGACTCACGGGATCGGGTGGTTAGACTTGGTTGGTACATGTCATCGTATCCCAATCGCGTAGATCGATGCTCATGTTGTTTATCACTGGATTGTCTGGTCCAGAATCGATTATTTACAGACTGCCGCCATGTAGCTGGAATATTGCTGAGTGCGGCGATAAACAGCCAACAACCTTACTGTATTGTTTTCGTCCTGCACCCAGATCACATTAACCTTCTCCCGCCTAGTTCGGAGTGTTGGTCAGTCAAATGAGCTGACCAAATGGTGACATGTTGATTGAGCTCACCCGCATCCCTGTCCCGTTTTCTGAGGTATCTGTTGGGGTCACCTCCATCACAACACAGGATGGAACAGCCGTCGATACAGAAGGCGTCCCCCGGACCAGCCTCATCTCCCTCCTCCCAGGCGCTGATGATGGAGGTCTGCAGGTGGCGGAACAGGATGATGACCAACAGCTGTCAAAACATACATGGGTGTTTCATCAATATACACGGGTGTTTCATCAATATACACGGGTGTTTCATCAATATACACGGGTGTTTCATCAATATACATGTGTTTCGTGAACTTTTGTCAACACACAGCTAGAACATAGTCACGTCATGCTGGGAAAACGTCAAAACACGTTGGCAATGTGTATACTGACTGGAAATGCAGTTCGGGAATCAACTCATTTATACGCAGGGACGAACGTCTGGACAAAATTTATGAAAATAATTTGTTCCAGAAAATATCAGGTTTTACACCAAAATACAAATATAGTTGTAAGATCTAGAGTGTTTATGGCTTGCTTCTCTTTGGTCGGAATTTTAGTGTTTAGTGCGGGTCTGTTTTCAAACAGTGACCAATATTATCTCTAACACCAGAGACCCCCAGACAGAACATTGGCTGGTAGGTCCTACACTCACCTCAACACCAAATGTGACGAAAACTGTGTTGGCCGCCGGTGTCAGCACTGTGTCAGAGAAATAGTCCCCGAGGACGCTCGTGCATCCGTGTTTGTAGAGCGTGACGTCACTGTAGTGCTTGTGAATCTTGCTGTCGTTCACGTGGTTGTGTATACACGGGCGGGGTGACATGACACTGCAGCAGCTGAAAGGCACGCTGTCGGTGATGAGCTCGCCGTCTCGCAGGTTCCTACAACCAAGTCGCCCACATCATCATACACCTAGAAGCCCAAGCAGGTGTACTGCTTGTGTATTAGTAAAGATGATCATATACGAAAGAAATGAAGAAAACGTATACCTCAATGACTGATGGATGAAGTGCCTTAGCTTCTGGTGTGTTTCCAAATCATATCTGTATTAAATAAGAGAGTAGTTCGTGCAGAGCAAACTAAAATGTACATTGATCAACGTTAGGCTGAAAACACTAGTCAAATCACTGCATTGTTTCTTCTTCATTTAATTCTTTACCGTTAAATAAAGATGTAAACTTTCTTTTGTACATAAGTTTGCAAGGCGTGCAGAATAACTAATGACCATATAGGTGATACGAACTGAAGATATTGTCAAGCCCTGTACAGTGTGAGGGTGTATTCAGGATGGCACTTGTTCTGTACACAATTAGGTAACCGATTACAAATCTCAGTACATCCCCGCCTTCTCCGTCATCCGCTGTTGGCCACCTTCAACCCAAATAGTTCATTCACCCCTAAGCTTTCATTACTGATAATTGGCAGAAGTATCATGACTGAACCTTGTCGGATATAGTTCTTTAAGTGTTGGATTACCAAAAGTCATCTTTTTCGCTTCTTCGGATCTTGAGTGCGGCCCGTAATACAACAGTAACAACTTTACGACACTGTTATGTTTGCTGGCAAACCTTACCGGGTAAGTACACAGAAAAAACGTGCCGCCAAGTCTGTCAAACTACCAAGACGGAAGACAGGCCCCTTTCTTACAACATCTGTAGACAGACCCAGCTGTAATGGAGTGATTTGCTTATAACTTGGCTTTGAACGGTATTCCACTATATACCACGGCGTGTCAGCTTGTTGAAGGAGGCCGGGACGCCATGGAGGCAGGACTTACACGTTTATTACTTTGGAGAAACCAGGATATGGTGCAGGTAAACCTAGAAACATCTTCAGGGAGAAACGAAAATAGAACCACGATCATAAATCATACCACTCACGCCCCCAGATGTAATGGACATTATGACGAGGAATCATCAATACCGGAGTGGACTATTATAATGTATTTACACTACAGTACGTCGCTGTCACGTAAATCCATGTAGAGAACCCGCGAACCAAACACTAAGAGTAATGTGTTTAATGAGCATCCATGCCATGGAGGTCTACCAACAGACTTGGGAAATAATTCACATGCACATTTGTAATAATCATGTTCATGCTACATGTAGATCTAGATCTATATTCTCACTTTATGACATTTTCGTGTTCGGTGTTGAGGTATTTGTTGCTGACCCAGCTGACGTGGAACCAGTCGCTGTAAATCTTGCTGCCGCAACACCGGAAGTCCAGCTGTAGTCTGTCCACCGCCGCCTTGATTCCCTGGTCGCTCTTGTACATCTTCAACGCAGTGTACAGACCTTGGTGGAGCGAGGTTTGGATGATACCTCTGTGGGCGAAGCACATGCACCCTGCAGCCATCACAAACAGGCTGAGGACGCAGAGGGTGACAAAGAAACAGACAAATACATTACGAAAGCGTTGACGGGTTTCCACTGAGGCGCAGTCGAAAGAAATCTTGGTGCCGAACGAATGGATAACGAACATTAAACAGCCAACAGAAATGAGAAAATACGGGAGCGTGTCCGAACTGTAATTCTCCAACAAAAGCATCTTGCTTTCAATCCGAACCTTCATGTAGATAGAGAAACAAATCAACGTCAGTCCGAACAAAGCCAGCAGAAGGTGTAAGACGCCGGTGACGATGCCGAGACGCTCCCGTACCGTCTCGCTGAACTTAAACCTCACACACATGGTAGCATCGAAATTCTTACTTCAATCACACTGGATCAACGACACAGTATGTCGGCCATTTATGACGTCGTCCTGACAACGTCCGAACGATGACGTCACAATGTTCTTAGTGACACAACAATACCGTATGACATCACCCTAATCATTGAAGCGGGCTTTGTTGTGGGGATTGAGTGAGTACCTATGCATGAACATATCACGTTATGTTGTTCATATACGCAGTCTCTCTCTCTCTCTCTCTCTCTCAGAGATGTGTATGTGTGTAGCTATGGCTTAAGCTGAAATGATTAATCTAAAACTTGTTATAGCTGGAATATTGCTGAGTGCGACGTAAAACTAAACTCACTCACTCATAGCCAGAGTCACGGGGACACTGTGAACCTGTACTGAACGCACACAAAGATCAACTACAGGTCGCCATACCCTTCTGCACCTGTACATAACGTTACATATTATATCTACAGCCACAAGATACCAGGAATGTGTAGACCGGTGGCAGACATGTCTACATGCCTTGAGGGTGGACACCGCCCCGGGAGACCAGGGCACGGTAATCTCCATGCTGGGTCTCCCTCGGCTGTGGGTGTCTCATAACACCTTTATCTACACAGAGACAACGGAAGCAATCGTGTTATTTTAACCCATGTGATTTACTCTGATCTATTGTATGGATTCACTGGTACGCGACAGTTAATATGCGGAGTTGTAACAACCTTGCTTCAGGACTCCAGGTACCACTGTCTTTTCCCCGTCCTTTGGGGCATGTCTGACGTTCTTCATCCGCCATGTTTCAGCTACGTCCGTCCCGGCAGCGTCCTTCCATGGGCACCGCCGCCACCTCGCTCAAAGCAACAGCTAAATCAAAGTCCACGAAGAAAGCCCGAGTTACCATAGAAACACCTATACCAGATGAAAACGACGACACAGAAAGCAGAAACGTCGTGATTCTGACCCGCCCCCAAATGATCCTGGATGACAGACGCGATTCTGTGACTGGTACATCACGTGCTTCACCAAACACCAGTAGGGACAAGCCAAGTCAACCCGGAAACAAGCCCACGTCTCTCGTGAGGAAATCAAGCGCCTCGCTCACACGGGTGGTCCGTTTGTAGAATACCCAGCAAGTTGACACACACACACACACACAGAGAATGTGAGGTGGCTCCTGACAATCTGGGAATCGTGGGTTGATGTTAAAGCAGATATGACTACACAGACAATTCATCTGTGTATGTTGTGTATTGGAATAGAAACAATGTGATATCCGTTGTTGCAAGGCTGACAGAAGATTGATCCTGATAACTGTGTTGCCTGCCGCTTCTCTGTGTTTGACATGAGATGTGTGGGTCTGCAGTATTCTACTTCGTGCATGTACGCTCATTAACAAGATTGGTGAACTTGTCCAGTTTGTGGAGTTTCCTACATGCATCCAGACTTTTAGTCTCCTGATAGTTACAAACCCAGTTTACTAATAAACCTTTCTGAAACAAGTTTGTGTGCTGTTATGTTGGTAGCAGTGGCTTGTAATGGATTGTAACTTCATTGTGTTAGTTGTGTAATCAATTTGCTTGAATATTTGATCATGCTCATTGTGTTCCTACTGATAAATCCTGCAAAACTCCTGCAACATCGCTGACGATAAACAACTTCGTCTGGACTGGGATGCTCAGTGTAAAAGTAGCTGCTGATCCACAATCGGGGCTTGTCATATCACACCAGATTGTACATAAAGGGAGTCTGTACCAGGGTGTACATTAAACTGATCCAGAATCAGGGCCTGTCATATCACAACAGATTGTACAGAGCCTGGACCAGGGTGTACAGTAAACTGATCCACTGCTAGGGCCTGTCATATCACAACAGATTGTACATAACGGGAGTCTGTACCAGGGTGTACAGTAAACTGATCCACTACTAGGGCCTGTCATATCACAAGATTGTACAGAGCCTGGACCAGGGTGTTCAGTAAACTGATCCACTGCTAGGGCCTGCCATGTCAAAACAGGTTGTACGTAGTCTGTACCAGGGTGTACAGTAAACTGATCCACTGTTAGGGCCTGCCATGTCACAACAGATTGTACAGAGCCTGGACCAGGATGTACAGATTGTACAGTAAACTGATCCACTGTTAGGGCCTGCCATGTCACAACAGATTGTACAGAGCCTGGACCAGGATGTACAGATTGTACAGTAAACTGATCCACTGTTAGGGCCTGCCATGTCACAACAGATTGTACAGAGCCTGGACCAGGATGTACAGATTGTACAGTAAACTGATCCACTGTTAGGGCCTGCCATATCACAACAGATTGTACAGAGTCTGGACCAGGGTGTACAGTAAACTGATCCACTGTCAGGGCCTGCCATCTCACAACAGATTGTACAGAGTCTGGACCAATGGTGTACAGTAAGCTGATCCACTGTTAGGGCCTGTCATGCCACAACATATTGTACAGTCTGGACCAGGGTGTACAGTAAACTGATCCACTGTTAGGGCCTGCCATATCGCAACAGATTGTACAGTAAACTGATCCACTGTTAAGGCCTGCCATATCATATCGCAACACTGGCACTGGTACTGGCACAGAGACTCCAGAAGGATGCATCCTGGTCTTCACTTATTTTACTGTATCTAATGTTACATATGTCATGAAAGCTTTTCAACTTCTTATGTGGTGCTGTAGAATATTCTTCCACTTTTGATAAACTAAATTTGCTGATTCAATGCCATGAACATTTAGAGCCTCATCATGGTGCTTGTTTTACCCCACTGGGCTGTTAGGTTTGGAGAAGAATTCATTGAATACAGATGATGAACACCAAATCCTGTCATCAACTTACTTGGACGTTCAGTCTTTGGATGGTGGTGGGATAGCCTAGTGGTAGCCTAGTGTCGGGGACAATGTGTGAAGCCCATTTCTGGTGTCCCCAACCATGATATTGCTGGAATATTGCTAAATGCGGTGTAAACTTTAACTCACTCACTTCAATCTTTGGGAAAACCATTCACTCGTCTTGTCCTGATAAACAAGGGGGATAATTCTATGGATACATGTCTATATTACAATACAGAAGTGATATATTGTAACAAAGAAGTTGTAGATCCATAGAACTATCTCCCATGTTCATGATCCCAACTTGTAAATGCCATACTTTATACGTACTTTATATTAGGGATTACACTTGGGATGAATTAAAGTATTAAGTGCATGCAGATACGTCATCTATTTTGACATGGCCGATGTAGTACAGCAATTTTAGTGCCAGTCTAAAAAATGGTCTATTAATCAAGTGGAGCTTCATGTCCCCTCATTATTGTGGCAACACTGTAAAACAATATTCTGGACTTGAGGAATCTTGTAAAATACACTTGAGCCCAAGTTGAGGCCTTTCATAGTAAGTGAATATGGTTTTACACAGCTTTTAACAACATTCCTGCAATATCATGTGGAACATAAGAAACAGGCTTCATATATTGTACCTACATGAGGAATTGAACCCACATTTTCGGTGTTGTATGTGAATGCTTTAACCACAAGGCTACCACGCCAACCCTTAATGAGATATCTCTCACCATATTACATGGTAAACAAAAAGATAAAACTACCAATTTGACAATAAACATACTTACTATTTACTGATCCAAAAGCACCTATGGACATCAATTAAAGATGGCCCTTCACAAATCTATATCATGATTAACAACAACACATGGCATGAAACTAAACTGTATTTTCACATCAATTAAATCAGTTGCATCATAACCTGTTTATCAAGCTTTACTCATACCTTCAGGAAACAAAGACATTCAACTTATAACAGCTTGATAATTCAGACAGATAACATATTCTTTAACAGGCAACCAGCTCATAATATATTAGGATAGCAAGATAAATCATGTATGGTGGAGTAAAATGCATAATATATTATCACATTATTTATAACTGGTAAAATCACTGTATAACCTCCACAATATAGACAATGCAACTCATTAATATTTGGTGAATCACTGTAGCCTTCCTTTTCACATATGTCCACTAAAAGTGAAATGTTCCATAAACTTGATAGATTATTAATCAGTATAATATTATGGGTACTACTGCAGTGATTTGGGGAGACAGATGGTAATAGGGCACTACATAGTTGATAGGGCATTCATCTATATCATTACTAAATGTGAAAAGTTTTTTGTATCAATCAATCAATGGCAACAGTCTGCATAAACCCTGATTTTGATCAACACAAAAGATGTTGGTTAATTACAGTAACTAGTGTGTAATGGTATCAATCACTGTCAATATGATTTACAATCAAATGTTAAGTGGATTTTATCACTTGTCAGCAATACATAAACGAAGCACTAAATATTCCAGTGTTGAGTTTGGTCTGCTTCAGCTATCACTGACCAATTAGGTGAATGATCATTGGCAGCCAGCCAATTGAAGTCATCAATGTCTGCCCAGTTGTTTCTCTTCCTGTCAAGACCTGCAACCTGATAATGTTCATCAAGGTCAGGATACTTCCAGTTATAAGGAGCAAACCGAGTCCTGGTGCTGTCCTCAATGATAGCTTTACTGGTAACATGAATGTAGAAATCGGTGTCTTGAGTAGTATGGATCCTCAGTTGCTGACACGGTAGAACAAACGTACAGCCAACACACTGCCTAATAAATACTGAACCAGATACCGGCCCACTGAATACCCTACAGTTGTTGAGTTTATTGATGTGTATAGCTGATGGTGCTCCCAGTAGTTTGACTGTGCAGTCTGTCAGGTCTGCCAATGCAACATCTTTCTGGTTTAGTTCTTCCGAAGTTTTCTCAAGCACTTTGGAAACTTCACCAACAAACTTTACACTCTGCCAGTTCAACCTCAAGATTAGTCTGAGTGTTCGCAGCATGGTCAACTACATCCTCAACCAGTTTAGGGGCTTTAGCTTTCTCCATTTTCTTCGACTTGAAAGCAAACCTTTTCTTTGGTATCATGACATCTCGCTTTTCCTGGATAGCGACTTGCAGCTTATTCATCGTCTGCTGGGCTTTGCTAACTTCATACGAGGATAGAAACATTGTGGACTCCGACACATACTTCTGCAACTTGGCCAGATGCGACGAAACATTGTCAAAATGTTCCACAAGTCCATTTTCCGGTATCTGTTCGCTGTTAGAAAGTTGTGATTCGATATTCTGTTTCTCTTTGGAAAAATTATCTAGGAAGCACACAGTGCTCTCTTGTGCAGCATCAGTTAACGACTTTTCCTCTTGTCGTTTTTGAAGCTCCGCTTGTCTTTCATCGTTTCTCTTTTGAAGTCGTTTTTCAACTTCACGCTTTTTCTTGTCATCTTGCAAATCAGATTCAACAGGTGATTCTCCTAAGGTCGACATTTCGCGTGAGGACTGATAACGGGTCGTTGCTATTTATCACACTGATCATGACCGCGATGCCGCTTATAAACAAGAAAAAAACCGGGGCAGATGAGCCATCTAATCCCTGCTTTGAGGCCGTTTATCTCTGAGCTAAACATAATTTGTGCAAGAAATGATCTAATATAGTTTTTATCGTTTTATCGTTTGGAAGTTGAAAAATATAAACTATCGTTGCTGTAAGCGATAACAACAACCAAGGGCGGGTAACTCTGTTGTATGACACAAAACTGGTGGCGTGTCAGAATGTTGACTCATTTGCCAAAGATGGGATCGTATCATACCTGATAGCTTGCTTTGTCATTGATCAACAGTTTTTACTAGGGCCGATGTCATGACGCATTGTTTTGTTGTGTGTAGGATTAGAAAGTCAATTTTTATTTAGAAAGAATCTCTGTGTGTAACTGACAAGAAACAGAATATATGATTTCAGGACGAGTTGAAACTTCGCTACAGATTTACATGTGTACGATATCAATACTTTATATAGCATAGGAGGCAATATTTTCAGAGTGAAATGATGTCATTTCTATGCATGAATTGGGTTTGTGAAAATGATTAGTTTTCAATAGACCAGTCCAGTGATTGGATAAAGGAAAAGTTCTTGGGGTTGTGGGCAAAAGGGCCAAAGGACAAAAGGGCCAAAACTGAAAAAGTCAAAAGGGCCATAGATCAAATTCAAATAACATATATATTTTATATGTGTGTAGTAATAATACTATCAAATAGTAATATATAGTGTGATCATCATACATTCAGGTGTTGATATGTGATCAAATATTCATAATTAATTCAAATGTTCATAATTTACACATCTTTAAAGTTCACTACAGACATCATCATCATCACTCCACACATCAGCAGCTGTAATGGAAGGAGGCTGACTCCCATGTGGAGAGCTGGGATCATCTTGTACAGTCATAACTGCTGTCTTGTTACAAGCAACAAACTTTACAGGCATAGTTACCAATTTGAATTGTGGTTGAACTGTTCGTCTTATATAGGATTCTCAGTCATGAGACCAATCACAACTAATTAAAATGTTAATCTTGTTTAGATTACTGACTAGTGTAATTGTCACCAGCGACTCTGTTAAAACCTCTTTTAACCATTACATAAACAGTTGTATGGTTGACTATACTCATAAAATAAACACTTAACCACTCTGAGATGTTTTAAATATACAAAACTGAGACACTCTGAGATGTTTAGGATTACAACTACTGCAACAACATAAAATGAATTTCTTCTAATCTTACTATTTTCTAAAAGTTTGGCCCTTTTGACTTAAATCTGTCCCTTTTGACTTTCCCTTGGCCCTTTTGACTTTTCTTTGTCCCTTTTGTCCTTTGTCCCTTTTGACCTTTTCTCTGAAAACAATAGCATCAGAATTATTGAAGGAATGATAACCAAGAAGTTTGGAAATTTTAACCATAAATTGTATATTTATACACGCTTATAGAGATGATTGACAGGTCATGCTATCGGAGTGGGGGCAGAGGTCAGGTGGGTGAGAGGCCGTAAAGATTTGATTCAATTTAGCCTCCAGCATGTTTCCACACATGGTCGTAGAAGAAGAGAGGTGCGAGGCGTGAGATAGGATAAGTTTAAAAATAAACACTTTGAGATGCGCATAAGGCACCGAGGTTGCTGAAGTAATGTAGCTGTTACCTGCCCTCCATCACGTGCTGGGCCAGCGGTTATTGTGTTGCCATGGTCATGTTGTAGTTTACTTTAGTCAGTTCAGTCTGTTTTTCATTTGTATAATAACCAAACTTGTTATGTTCTTGTAACTTTTGTTTCTTGTTACTTGGTATTTCTTTAGATAGTTAGATGGGCTTAACTCCCACTCTACATTGCTGGTACAGTTCGACTTAATGGGTCTTTGGATTGCATCTTGCCAGACTAATTAGGACTGGGCCATCACGTTCATTGCTCTTCATGGGTCTTGCAGGTCTTGGATGATCTTTACTTCACTGGAGGCCATGTGCTTCCTCACATCAACTAGTAACTGTGCTGTTAATGTTCGCGGCAATGCTGTGACAGGTGATCCCTGCGTCATGCATGTCAGTAACGTGCTATCATGTATAAGTCTGCATCTTACATATCAAGATAGTTAATTTTTAATACTGTTACCTTCTAAATCAGTTCAGAAAACTGCAGTACAATCGCCTGTTCAGACCAAAAATTGCTCTTGAATTCAGGTGGTGGTTAGTTAGTTCTCATGTGGACATATATGTATCACCTATGTTCACCTCACCTATCATTATAGATAATGCAATGAATAGGTCTTTATGATCGTCAACATCCATCTGCATGATATGGATTTAAAACACTTTAAGCAATGTACTAAAGGTCTCCGAGTTGTCCCCCTCACAACTGGTCTTCTCCCTGTTGCAGATATGACAAATGCTGAAGCCTGTGTATGTACTATACATCATGTACCACCCTGTGGGATGTAAGGTTGGAGGAGATTGGTCAGAGTAGTCAGTGGGAACAACATGTTAAAAAGCAGTGTTTTTGTTGTTGTAAACTCATAAAAAGTTAATCATTTAACAATTAGTTAAACTTAAAAATACTATACCTAAAACAAAAACACATACTCCAAGGGATGGTGGGGTAGCCTAGTGGTTACAGCGTTGGCTCGTCACGTCGAAAACCCGGATTCGATTCCCCACATGGGTACAATGTGTGAAGCCCATTTCTGGTGTCCCCCGCGGTGATACTGCTGGAATATTGCTAAAAGTGGCGTAAACCTAAACTCAGACATACTCCAAGATTGTGCTTGACCAAGTGTTACTGTACAAGTACTCATGGGTGATCCTTTGTCTGGACCACACCAGTACTCATGGACGATCCTTTGTCTGTCCCATAGTCTATTTGTGGGTGATCCTTTGTCTGTCCCATAGTCTATTTGTGGGTGATCCTTTGTCTGGACCATAGTCTATTTGTGGGTGATCCTTTGTCTGGACCACACCAGTACTCATGGACGATCCTTTGTCTGTCCCATAGTCTATTTGTGGGTGATCCTTTGTCTGTCCCATAGTCTATTTGTGGGTGATCCTTTGTCTGGACCATAGTCTATTTGTGGGTGATCCTTTGTCTGGACCATACCAGTACTCCTGGGTGATCCTTTGTCTGGACCATACCAGTACTCATGGATGATTCTTTGTCTGGACCATACCAGTACTCCTGGGTGATCCTTTGTCTGGACCATAGTCTATTTGTGGGTGATCCTTTGTCTGGACCATACCAGTACTCCTGGGTGATCCTTTGTCTGGACCATAGTCTATTTGTGGGTGATCCTTTGTCCCATAGTCTATTTGTGGGTGATCCTTTGTCTGGACCATAGTCTATTTGTGGGTGATCCTTTGTCTGGACCATACCAGTACTCCTGGGTGATCCTTTGTCTGGACCATACCAGTACTCATGGATGATTCTTTGTCTGGACCATACCAGTACTCCTGGGTGATCCTTTGTCTGGACCATAGTCTATTTGTGGGTGATCCTTTGTCTGGACCATACCAGTACTCATGGATGATTCTTTTTCTGGACCATAGTCTATTTGTGGATGATTCTTTTTCTGGACCATAGTCTATTTGTGGGTGATCCTTTGTCTGGACCATAGTCTATTTTTATTTTTTTTTATTATTATAGGATATTTATATAGCGCACATATCCAGGCAACTAGTGCATGCTCAAGGCGCTGGTATTTTCCCCTCGATCATTGGATGTCAATTTGTGGGTGATCTTTTGTCTGGACCACACCAGTACTCATGGGTGATCCTTTGTCTGGACCACACCAGTACTCCTGGGTGATCCTTTGTCTGGACCACACCAGTACTCATGGGTGATCCTTTGTCTGGACCACACCAGTACTCATGGATGATTCTTTTTCTGGACCATAGTCTATTTGTGGGTGATCCTTTGTCTGGACCATAGTCTATTTGTGGGTGATCCTTTGTCTGGACCATAGTCTATTTGTGGGTGATCCTTTGTCTGGACCACACCAGTACTCATGGGTGATCCTTTGTCTGGACCACACCAGTACTCATGGGTGATCCTTTGTCTGGACCACACCAGTACTCATGGGTGATCCTTTGTCTGGACCACACCAGTACTCATGGATGATTCTTTTTCTGGACCATAGTCTATTTGTGGGTGATCCTTTGTCTGGACCATAGTCTATTTGTGGGTGATCCTTTGTCTGGACCATACCAGTACTCCTGGGTGATCCTTTGTCTGGACCATACCAGTACTCATGGATGATTCTTTGTCTGGACCATACCAGTACTCCTGGGTGATCCTTTGTCTGGACCATAGTCTATTTGTGGGTGATCCTTTGTCTGGACCATACCAGTACTCATGGATGATTCTTTTTCTGGACCATAGTCTATTTGTGGGTGATCCTTTGTCTGGACCATAGTCTATTTGTGGGTGATCTTTTGTCTGGACCACACCAGTACTCATGGGTGATCCTTTGTCTGGACCACACCAGTACTCATGGATGATTCTTTTTCTGGACCATAGTCTATTTGTGGGTGATCCTTTGTCTGGACCATAGTCTATTTGTGGGTGATCCTTTGTCTGGACCATAGTCTATTTGTGGGTGATCCTTTGTCTGGACCACACCAGTACTCATGGGTGATCCTTTGTCTGGACCACACCAGTACTCATGGGTGATCCTTTGTCTGGACCACACCAGTACTCATGGGTGATCCTTTGTCTGGACCACACCAGTACTCATGGATGATTCTTTTTCTGGACCATAGTCTATTTGTGGGTGATCCTTTGTCTGGACCATAGTCTATTTGTGGGTGATCCTTTGTCTGGACCATAGTCTATTTTTCGGGTGATCCTTTGTCTGGACCATACCAGTACTCCTGGGTGATCCTTTGTCTGGACCACACCAGTACTCATGGATGATTCTTTGTCTGGACCATAGTCTATTTGTGGGTGATCCTTTGTCTGGACCATACCAGTACTCATGGGTGATCCTTTGTCTTTACCATGCTAGTACTTGTAGGTAATGCTATGTTTGGACCATACCAGCACTTGTGGTTTATCCTTTGCCTGTCCCATACCTTTATTTGTTGGTCATTCTTTGTCCAGCTCACACCAGTACTTTGGTACTTCCATACCAGTCCTCATGGGTCATCCTGTACTCAGACCACACTAGTACTCATGGCTTTCAGAAAGGTGAACCTGAGTGTGTAGGACATTTGACTGCTGTGGCTGACACCAACTGCCAGGACCTGAACTACTGTGGACCTGAGTGTGTAGGACATTTGACTGCTGTGGCTGACACCAACTACTAGGACCTGAACTACTGTGGACCTGAGTGTGTAGGACATTTGACTGCTGTGGCTGACACCAACTACCAGGACCTGAACTACTGTGGACCTGAACTACACTTGACTGCTGTGGCTGACACTAACTACCAGGACCTGAACTACTGTCAACCTGTGTGTGGGACATTTGACTGCTGTGGCTGACACCAACTACCAGGACCTGAACTACTGTCAACCTGAGTGTGTAGGACATTTGACTGCTGTGGCTGACAACTACCAGGACTACCAGGACCTGAACTACTGTCAACCTGAGTGTGTAGGACATTTGACTGCTGTGGCTGACACCAACTGTCAACCTGAGTGTGTAGGACATTTGACTGCTGTGGCTGACACCAACTACCAGGACCTGAACTACTGTCAACCTGAGTGTGTAGGACATTTGACTGCTGTGGCTGACACCAACTACCAGGACCTGAACTACTGTCAACCTGAGTGTGTAGGACATTTGACTGCTGTGGCTGACACCAACTACCAGGACCTGAACTACTGTCAACCTGAGTGTGTAGGACATTTGACTGCTGTGGCTGGCACCAACTACCAGGACCTGAACTACTGTCAACCTGAGTGTGTAGGACATTTGACTGCTGTGGCTGACACCAACTACCAGGACCTGAACTACTGTCAACCTGTGTGACTGCTGTGGGACATTTGACTGCTGTGGCTGACACCAACTACCAGGACCTGAACTACTGTCAACCTGAGTGTGTAGGACATTTGACTGCTGTGGCTGGCACCAACTACCAGGACCTGAACTACTCTCAACCTGAGTGTGTAGGACATTTGACTGCTGTGGCTGGCACCAACTACCAGGACCTGAACTACTCTCAACCTGAGTGTGTAGGACATTTGACTGCTGTGGCTGACACCAACTACCAGGACCTGAACTACTCTCAACCTGAGTGTGTAGGACATTTGACTGCTGTGGCTGACACCAACTACCAGGACCTGAACTACTGTCAACCTGAGTGTGTAGGACATTTGACTGCTGTGGCTGACACCAACTACCAGGACCTGCACTACTGTGGAGCTGTCTCCCTCCATCACATCACACAAGACAGAGCCTTGGGACACACAATGACAAACACCTGTGTAATATAATTACTTTATTGATACAGGTAGCAAAATAGATGATAATTGTTGGCTAAACTGATGATGATGTGAAAATTGTACAAAATGGCAGAATAACATTATTGACAGCATTCATCTGAGTAGATATGTACATATTTCAGATCGTTTCCAGTGTGACAGTAGACTACTACAGAGTAGTGGTGTTGCCTACAAGCCGAGGCGACACACAGATGTCTGTTTGATGTATAATAAGCTACAAGGCACGACTATCACAGACTTGTGAAGCACAGAAAGACATCTAGGAATAAAATATGCAATAATTCAGTGTATAGAGCATGGCAGTAAATAACAACCTTACAACAAGAGAAATATTATGTACAATATTATGTATATATTTCATTATGAATTCTTTATTATGTTAAACAATATTATGTCATATCATGGTCCCTGCTTTGAGACAGTCTCCCAGTCACACACACAGAGAATGTTCTGTGACGCCATCTCGTTGTTGAAGGTCCTCTACAGTGTGACCAACTCTGCTGCCTTGTAGAGATTATATCACAGGAGACACGGAAGTGTGCCTGCCCAACATCGACCTCACATACACAGTTTCCCGTGGCTTCTGAACATTCACTATTTCCGGGGTTTCCAGAAACACTTTATATTTTCCCAGTGTATCACACATACAATTGTTCCATTTACTGTGCTCACGCAAGTCCAAATAATCCATCTAAGAAGTCAGAGATTCAAACAGTTGCCATGGCAACCACATGAAACTGGGATCCAATCAACAGGTTTTGTGTATAACTTTGGTAGAAAGATGCAATGTTTGTTCAACACTTGGGGGGCCTGTCATTCTGTGTACTGTAAAGATGGTGACTTCAGCAATCTACATTGGTGGAGGCCCCTGGGTGTAGCGCAACATCGGCGACAGTGACTGCTGCAGGTTGTTGGCAAGGACGCAGCTGTACTCATCCTCACAGATAGGGACCAGGCAGGCCATGCCCAGCAGCAGCAGTAACAACAGCTGGAGTGGCAATGCTGTCCGCAACACTCGCGCAAACAGCGGTGCCCGTCGTCGCCGGAGGGACACGATATCACGTGCGGTATTTAAACTGAAAGAGTTGAAAGTAGAGTGTGACACTGTGTCCATGACAACACACATAAGTGATAAACAGCGATGTAGATCATTGAGTGATGTGACGGTGATGAACAGGGAGATGATCTGATGCAATAGGGAACAATGATGGAAGTAATTAGAAAAGAATATTTCTTTAACCATTTCAGAAATATTTAAAGTGATTACTGAAGTATTACACCATCAGTGTGAAAGATTTTGAAAGGGAAATCTTGATGAATTACAACTAATTGCCCATTGTTTGAAAGATGGCACATGGAACTATGAGATCAGCTTGTTTAGTGAAGCATGAGTACTGCAGAAGGTATGGAGGGTGAGAAGGTTACAAATGGAATGAGCGATGATTAGAACGGAGCTTTGTTGACATCAGCCATCTGGTTGGCATAGTGATATATTGTCTGCTATATGTCTCCTGCTCCAGTATTACACCAGCTCCAGAAGCGTGACCTGTATATATGTATATGGACATTCTGCTATGTTATACAGCTTATACATGCAACTGCAAGCCCTATCTACTGCAATAAAGAAGATGTCTATCCATAACCAAATATTCCTCTTCATCATACCAGCTTATAAATGTCACTAAAGGAACCTACATATCCAGACAGCTCGTATATGAAGCTGCGGGAGTTAGTCCTGTTTACACTGCCCTGATGCCCTGAACAGTAGTCTAGCTGCGGGAGTTAGTCCTGTTTACACTGCCCTGATGCCCTGAACAGTATTCTAGCTGCGGGAGTTAGTCCTGTTTACACTGCCCTGATGCCCTGAACAGTAGTCTAGCTGCGGAGTTAGTCCTGTTTACACTGCCCTGATGCCCTGAACAGTATTCTAGCTGCGGGAGTTAGTCCTGTTTACACTGCCCTGATGCCCTGAACAGTATTCTAGCTGCGGGAGTTAGTCCTGTTTACACTGCCCTGATGTCCTGAACAGTATTCTAGCTGCGGGAGTTAGTCCTGTTTACACTGCCCTGATGCCCTGAACAGTAGTCTAGCTGCGTGAGTTAGTCCTGTTTACACTGCCCTGATGCCCTGAACAGTAGTCTAGCTGCGTGAGTTAGTCCTGTTTACACTGCCCTGATGCCCTGAACCGTATTCTAGCTGCAGGAGTTAGTCCTGTTTACACTGCCCTGATGCCCTGAACAGTAGTCTAGCTGCGTGAGTTAGTCCTGTTTACACTGTCCTGATGCCCTGAACCGTATTCTAGCTGCGGGAGTTAGTCCTGTTTACACTGCCCTGATGCCCTGAACCGTATTCTAGTTGTTGCAGAGACAGCGTAGGTGTTTCTCCTTCCATCCATAGTGGATACTTGGCTTGTTTTAATTCTCATTTTCATAAAATTAATTAAAGTTTTTAATGAATCTATCTGCAAGTGTGCTTCAGTTACATATAACACTGGTGACAAAAGTGGCAATCACACACACACGATACATGTGACACAAACGTGATCCAGAAGTGATTCACGTGATACACGTGATGCTTCCGTGACAATCACATATGTGACTCTCACACACACTAGTGAAATGTGTCCACGATATAAGCCTACACTAGTGAACAGTTTGCACAATGTATAAAGAAGAAAGTTGTCATGCAAAGCAATGTGTTGACAAATGCCTTAAACAGGCATTGAAGGAACTGACTACTCATTTCTGAAAGTTGAACTAAACTGATAGAAAATGTAAAACAACAACAAATCAAGATGCAGGAATCTGTTTCCAAGTTCTAGAAGATGTTCTGCTGTCAGTGATCATCACAGAACTGTGGAGGAAGGAGGTAGACTGAACAACAAATGACGGATGTGTCAAGGTTGAAGCAAACATAAAGTCAGAGTAAAACCATTGAGGCTGTCGCGCACAAGCTGTGCACCACGGCAACAGAAGGGAGTGCCCACAGGAACAACTCTCCGAGAACTTGTCATGGTCAAGGCCAAATGGGCAAGCATCAGTGAGTGTCTAGCTACAGAAGGCGCTGGAGACCTACAGCTGCTATGTTAACTTGTGTTTGATACTCGCATCAACTACACATATTTCTGTTACATGCTTTCATCCCAGGGAGGACTTTCAGGGGACATACCAATACAAGGGCGTGTTACTGGTGAGACTTTAGTATGTATGTTGGTGCATCAGTGCTGGTGTTAGACATGCGGAACCTTTGTGTGTGGTTTTGAGGTAGTGCCCGTGGTTGATGGTGTGACTACCTGCAGGAGAGTGCCTGTGTGTAACTGTTGGTATCGTAGGAGAGTGCCTGTGTGTAACTGTTGATACCTGCAGGAGAGTGACTGTTGGTACCTGTGGGAGAGTGCCTGTGTGTGACTGTCGGTACCTGTAGGAGAGAGTCTGTGTGTGACTGATGGTACCTGCAGGAAAGTGTCTGCATGTGACTGATGGTACCTCCAGGAGAGTTCCTGTGTGTGACTGATGGTACCTGCAGGAGAGTGCCTGTGTGTGTCTGATGGTACCTGCAGGAGAGTTCCTGTGTGTGTCTGATGGTATCTGTAGGAGAGTGACTGTTAGTACCTGTAGGAGAGCGCCTGCATGTGTGACTGATGGTACCTGTAGGAGAGTTCCTGTGTGTGACTGATGGTACCTGTAGGAGAGTTCCTGTGTGTGACTGATGGTACCTGCAGGAGAGCTGACTGATGGTACCTGCAGGAGAGTTCCTGTGTGTGACTGATGGTACCTGCAGGAGAGTTCCTGTGTGTGACTGATGGTACCTGCAGGAGAGTTCCTGTGTGTGACTGATGGTACCTGCAGGAGAGTTCCTGTGTGTGACTGATGGTACCTGCAGGAGAGCTCCTGTGTGTGACTGATGGTACCTGTAGGAGAGCGTCTGCATGTGACTGATGGTACCTGCAGGAGAGTTCCTGTGTGTGACTGATGGTACCTGCAGGAGAGTTCCTGTGTGTGACTGATGGTACCTGTAGGAGAGCGTCTGCATGTGACTGATGGTACCTGTAGGAGAGCGTCTGCATGTGACTGATGGTACCTGCAGGAGAGAGTCTGCGTGTAACTGATGGTACCTGTAGGAGAGAGTCTGTGTGTAACTGTTGGTACCTGCAGGAGAGAGTCTGTGTGTAACTGTTGGTACCTGCAGGAGAGAGTCTGTGTGTAACTGTTGGTACCTGTAGGAGAGAGTCTGCGTGTGACTGATGGTACCTGTAGGAGAGCGTCTGCATGTGACTGATGGTACCTGCAGGAGAGAGTGTGTGTAACTGTTGGTACCTGTAGGAGAGAGTCTGCTGTGTAACTGTTGGTACCTGTAGGAGAGCGTCTGCATGTGACTGATGGTACCTGTGGAGTGATGTGACTGATGGTACCTGCAGGAGAGAGTGTGTGTAACTGTTGGTACCTGTAGGAGAGCGTCTGCATGTGACTGATGGTACCTGTAGGAGAGCGTCTGCATGTGACTGATGGTACCTGTAGGAGAGCGTCTGCATGTGACTGATGGTACCTGCAGGAGAGAGTGTGTGTAACTGTTGGTACCTGTAGGAGAGTGCTTGTTTGGACTAATAATGTTGGAGGAGGAGGTGGTAGAGGTAGAGTGTCAGACCAATATAAGCCATGTTGCTGTTGATGTTCTACACTAATGTTGTTACCAACACCCATGCAATGCAGGTACTTCCCAGAGTGCGAGATTGCTAAGTCGTGCACTGCCCCTGCACATTGATCTATCTAAACCCAGTCCTCTTGGGCAGCCATATTGGAGTCTGAGGCAGCACAAAGGTAGTAACGATGCACCAAAGCAAACATTGAACATGCTGAGAATCATGACCCAGAAGTCTGGGCCCCTCCCCTCTCCCTCCAAGGAATGGGGAAGGAGTGGTAGGGGAATGGTATTTACTTGTCAGTTTCGTCCGCTGGCTGGAGCAGGGGTCGAGTGTCTCCAAACAGAAGCTGTAGAAAGCAACACAATCATATTTATAGGGGAGATAACTGAAGTAAGGATGGTTATGCGTTACAAGGTTTACAACTACAAATTACCCACAGATTGTTGGCTGTACTATCAGTATACTGACATGTCTACAGTATGGAGGAGCTTCCTGCACACAACAAATACTTAGTGCTTCTGGCCAGAGTGCTGCTCGCTTTCTAGGCTGCTCAGCATACAACATTTAAGTTGACAAAAAAATCTTGAATGCCCTTGATTTTGATTCCTGTAATGATTGCATGACTCTGATTCTCCTGCGTACCTGTCGTGAGAGGGCAAAGGGTGATCGATTCCTCACTCTCAAGGAGGATCCTGGCCTCAGTAGGGATGACCTTGGACTGCTTGATCGTGATCCTCGCGATGTCCCAGAGGATACATCTGATACATCTAAGTTTGCTGGCTGGAACAACCCAAAACAACTACAGATCAGCTAAAAACACACTTTATCCAAACTATTTAGGTCCCAAGTACATATGAAATGTTTGAACAACTTAACCCTTCAGTTAGCAGGAGTTCCTAAGACAACTACTCACCGATGCCCGAGCAGAGATGTGTAGCTTGTTCTCCAGACTAGAGATATAGGATGATGTCAGCCGAAGTAATGCCCTTACACGGTTGGCAATGATGTGCATTTTATCTTTGGCATTAACCATCTCCTGTGAGTCAGTGTTCATATACAGCTGGTCTGTGGTGTCCTTGATGGCCAGGATCTTAGGCTGGTTCCTCTCCAGCTCTCCATGCAGCTCCTGCAACAGTCCTCCACATCATACTGGGTATCATCACAGAAGGTACCACTTTACAGGGTACCACCTGACAGGGTACCAGTATACAGGGTACAGTCATGTAGGGCTACCATCATATCGTCATATAATAAGCCAACATCAGGTAGAGATATGGACTTATCATCAGCTGGTTATATTGACTTACTATCAATCGGTTGAACTGACTTACCATCAATTGGTTGTACTGACTTACCAGGTTGTACTGACTTGCCATCAGCTGGTTGTACTGACTTGCCATCAGCTGGTTGTACTGACTTGCCATCAGCTGGTTGTACTGACTTACCATCAGCTGACTGTACTGACTTACCATCAGCTGGTTGTACTGACTTACCATCAGCTGGCTGTACTGACTTACCATCAGCTGGTTGTACTGACTTACCATCAGCTGGCTGTACTGACTTACCATCAGCTGGTTGTACTGACTTACCATCAGCTGGTTGTACTGACTTACCATCAATCTGTTGTACTGCAGCCACAGGTGTGTCTCATCAGCATTCAGCTTAATGGGCTCACACTTCTGCATCCTGTTCTCGATGCTCTCCAGCCACATGTAGCGGTCATGTATTTCATGATGGAACTCCTGACTCTGCAGCAGGGCCACCTGCAGGCCACGGTGGACACTATCAGCCCGTGAGTTGACTGCCTCCCATCGTTCGTTCATCTGTCGGAGTTTCTCCTGCATATCACGGCCATCTGCTGTGGAGAGGTTGATGAAGTTCTTGCTGATGAGGTTGATGGACAACACCCGGGCTTTCTTTGACTCCAGCTGCACCAGGAAGTCCTGAAACACATGTTTGTGATTGTCCACAGATCTGGCATAAACTCATTCCCATAAGATTCTTGCATATCATCTCACCTTGTACTGTCTGATGACACTTTCCAGTTCTGCCATGTCGCCAGGCAACGGTTGCTGGGCTGACTGCACGTCATCTCACCTTGTACTGTCTGATGACACTTTCCAGTTCTGCCATGTCGCCAGGCAACGGTTGCTGGGCTGACTGCACGTCATCTCACCTTGTACTGTCTGATAACACTGTCCAGTTCTGCCATGTCGCCAGGCAACGGTTGCTGGGCTGACTGCACGTCATCTCACCTTGTACTGTCTGATGACACTTTCCAGTTCTGCCATGTCGCCAGGCAGGCAGCGGTTGCTGGGCTGACTGCCGCGTCATGCTCATCTCACCTTGTACTGTCTGATGACACTTTCCAGTTCTGCCATGTTGCCAGGTAACGGTTGTTGGGCTGACTGCATGTCAACTCACCTTGTACTGTCTGATGACACTGTCCAGTTCTGCCATGTCGCCAGGCAACGGTTGTTGGGCTGACTGCATGTCAACTCACCTTGTACTGTCTGATGACACTTTCCAGTTCTGCCATGTCGCCAGGCAACGGTTGCTGGGCTGACTGCAGGGCCTCGGCCTCATCCAGCCAGGCCAGCATGTTGTCCAGGTCGACCCGGAACTGTGTCTGGTCCTGGCGCTCGGTCACCACCTTGTACTCACGCTCCGTGACACGCAGCTGGAGGATCTCCCAACGCTGCACAACACCTGCAGACAACCGAGGCAGTCAGTGTACATACATAACAGGCAGTCTTCTGAACATATGTACATGAGAAACTGAACAAGAGAAACTTACTTCTGACTTGAGTGTCAAGATAATTCATTCGTGTCTGGCCTGTCTCCGACTTGAGGCGCTGCTCCAGACGTTGAACTGTCTCAATCGCCCGCTCACAATCGGACCGATAACTATGCTGCAACACAGAGGGGAATACTGGTGTATTTAGTGTCAGCTGCCACTCCCTTCAAAGGATTAACACTCAATGTCAGTGTGACACAATAAAGAGGTACTCCAGACAAATGTGTGCTGCAAATGGCTACAGAGACATACACGGCAGAAATATGGAGGACATACGAGACTACTGCTGTCTGCTCCGGAGGAGATCTGCCTCTCGGCCACAAGCAGCTTCCCTGCAGCATCCTCAATAGCATCCCCAAGCTTGTTGAGGAGGGGGTCATACTTGGCTGTCTTCCCCTTCTGACCCAACTCCGACTTCATCTTCTGTCGCTTCTCAACTCGCTTGCTGGCATCTGCAACAATAAATGGTGAGTATGTAAGTAGCTTTCTCTTCTTGCATCCTGTCAATCCATGTAAACCCATCAGCTCCCCCTGTGTCCATGTACAGTGTTAAGGTCACCCAGTGACAATCGCTCGTTATGCATCACCTGTGTCTAGAGTTGATGATCGTGGCATTGTGCGACGTTTCTGTGGGGGGCTCTCTGGTGGGGAACTGGCCAAGTAGGCCTCCAGCTCTGTGACATCCAAGTCTACTGTGGCTGATGTATCCTGCATCTGTCTCCGCCGCACATCGACAGATGTGACACTCATCTCCTGCAGAAGCAGAGAGCCCAGAGTAAGTTCAGGACAGTCATATGGCAAAATATTACTATCTTTTGTTTTAATGAAACAAAGAAATTAGAAGCAACCAATTCAATAAAGACTCTAACTGACGCTCTAAGTTCTGAGTGTCTGCTACCACCATTGGAGATGGCTGAGTCAACTGTCCCAGAATTCTATAATAATCTGAGGCACAAGGCGTAACTTCTCTGAGGGAAGACTGTTGGTAATGACAGCAACGTGGGTACCTACCTCCTCATCAGGATTCACCATGGTACTCCTCTGCTCAAACAGACGTGTCTCCTCAATCTGAAAACAATCAGTAGACAGTTCACTCTCCAGCACAGTCCCCTGACCAGTAAAACATCCATATTCACACCACCTATCCATATAACAACGACTATGCACTACTACATTCAACCAGGAGAATGGAAACAGTGCATCATGTATAAGCAGCAGTGATGCCAATGCCCCATACCCTACACCCCGTGTGTGTTGTATAGAGTACACTGCCACCTGTGTTCTACCATGTGTCCTGCCTTCTACCCACCTGTGTTATACCATGTGTCCTGCCTTCTACCCACTTGTGTTCTACCATGTGTCCTGCCTTCTACCCACCTGTGTTATACCACATGTCCTGCCTTCTACCCACCTGTGTTATACCATGTGTCCTGCCTTCTACCCACCTGTGTTATACCATGTGTCCTGCCTTCTACCCACCTGTGTTATACCATGTGTCCTGCCTTCTACCCACCTGTGTTATACCATGTGTCCTGCCTTCTACCCACCTGTGAATTACCATGTGTGTCCTGCCTTCTACCCACCTGTGTTATACCATGTGTCCTGCCTTCTACCCACCTGTGTTCTACCATGTGTTCTGCCTTCTACCCACCTGTGTTATACCATGTGTCCTGCCTTCTACCCACCTGTGTTCTACCATGTGTCCTGCCTTCTACCCACCTGTTTCCTGCCTTCATACCATGTGTCCTGCCTGCCTCCTCCTACCCACCTGTGTTTATACCACACCTGTCCTGCCTTCCATACCCCCACCTGTGTTATACCATGTGTCCTGCCTTCTACCCACCTGTGTTATACCATGTGTCCTGCCTTCTAAGTGTCCTGCCTTCTATTTTATACCACATGTCCTGCCTTCTACCCACCTGTTATACCATGTGTCCTGCCTTCTACCCACCTATGTTTTACCCTGCCTTTTACCCACCTGTGTTATACCATGTGTCCTGCCTTCTACCTGCCTGTGTTATACCATGTGTTCCGCCTTCTACCTGCCTGTGTTATACCATGTGTCCTGCCTTCTACCCACCTGTGTTATACCATGTGTCCTAACTTCTACCCACCTGTGTTATACCATGTGACCGGCCTTCTACCCACCTGTGTTCTACCATGTGTCATGCCTTCTACCCACCTGTGTTCTACCATGTGTCCTGCCTTCTACCCACCTGTGTTATACCATGTGTCCTGCCTTCTACCCACCTGTGTTGTAGATGACACCTGTATGTTGTACACAGTGGCCTGCTCCAGAACCTGCTTCCAGCGTCGCCGTATCTCCTCCAGGTCCCCCTGCACCTGCACCACCTCGTCAGCATCACCTTTCTGCATCAAGTATACAGCTGACTGGTCCAGGTACTCAAACCTGCTCCTCTTTGAATTGATCTCCTCCACCAGTCTCTGAAGACAAAATACACAAAGTTGTGTACCATGACACACCAATATCTGTACCATGATACACCAATGTCTGTACCATGATACACCAATGTTTGTACCATGATACACCAATGTCTGTACCATGATACACCAATGTCTGTACCATGATACACCAATGTCTACACACCAACCATCACATACTGTTACATCCACTATCTTACACTGATCTGGGCCTGCTGTGTTGCCATGTCTCCACTGGAGTGCCGCTGGATGGTGTTCAGTTGAGACTCTATCTCTATCAGCCAGGTCATCAGGGATGTTTGTGTGCTGCTAAAGTCTGTGCGGATGCTGGTGGAGTTGCGGAGGCATTTCATGATGGAGGTGACGCGCTTCTGCAGATGGTCCCACCGATCATTGACATCCTGCATGCTGGCCCGCAGACTGCCATTGGTGTCTGTGCGTCCCTCCCTGGCCAGACGCCGGTACTGCTTGTTGATGTGCTCCAGCTCTCCCAGGTGGTTGAGCACGTTGCGCTGGAGGGTCTGTGGGAGAAGGAAGAAGGAGGGTAACTGTGCTGAACTGGGAATGAAACAATGTGTAGTTTGTAGTTGTTTGAATGGAGAAGGGATTATAGTTTAGTTGTGATGAATTGGACTGACCTCATATTTCCTGATCTCCTCTTTGGTGAGTTCCACAGACACATCTTCCACACTGTAGGTGCCGACCTCAGTTTCAACATCAATCAGCCAGTCACTGAAGGTCTTACAGTCTTGCTTGAACACTTCCCAAAGCTGCCAACTCTCTTCAATCCTACAATACACCATACAGATCTGTGAGCTCAATCTTACAACACCCCATGAAGATCTTTGACCTCAGTTCTACAATACACCATGAAGATCAGTGACCTCAATACTACAATACACCATGAACATCTGTGACTTCAATTCTACAACACCCTATGAAGATCAGTGACCTTAATTCTACAACACTCCATGAAGATCAGTGACCTCAATTCTACAACACCCCATGAACACCTGTGACCTCAATTCTACAATACACCATACAGATCAGTGACCTCAATCTTAAACACCTCACAGAAACGGTGGCATCAATCAAATATACATTTGTGACCAGTAGAACAATTCCTGTAGATCACTGACCTCAATCTTACATTACACTTACATGATGGCTGCACATTGATCCAGACTTATGCATGCTCAACACATTTGATATATTGTATGGCCACTTGCATAAAAGTAATGTTTATATACTGTATATGTGCATTGCCCAAACTTAATATTGTATGTTAGAAATTCTAGACTGTCATACACCCTGTTTGAAGACATACAATCTCCAATGTGGGACCTGATATGGTGCCCTGTCTCTCTCACCTTGCCCGCCTCTCCGGGGACAGCTTACAGATGGAGCGCAAGCGCTGGTCCAGGGTTTTGCGAGCATGCTGCAAAGCGTTGTACTCAATGTCTGTTGGGCAGGCGTCGGAGTCATGGAGCAACACCTCACACAGGTTGAGTACTGACGCCACACCAGCACTGTGCTGCTCGATGTCCTTCTGTAACTCCTGCAACACACAACGTCACACTTCATTGTATTTCTTGGTTTATGATTCTCATTTCATTAACTATAAAGGTAAAAGAAAAACAACATCACACAAATCAAACAATTGACAAAATTGACTCGCATCACACATGAAGCAGTAAAATCCCCACCTGTTGTTGGTGAATCTTTGTCTGTATCTCTTGCCAATCACAATCACTGTAGACTATAGCGCCACCTACTTCTTGTTCCATATCTGACAACCATCTGCTCAGGTTGCGCATACTGATGTCTAGTTGTCTTACAGCAAGCACCGTCTCATGCAGCTTCCTCTTTCTGTAACAAAGGCAGGCCAATGAGCCACGGTGACACATGTTGCCGAGAGAGTGGGTGGGGGTGCTCGTGCTATTCACTTCAGTAACATACGTAGAAACGGCTCACCTGAAGCTGACAACTGACTGCAAGTGTTGCCATCTATCATCAAGTTTCTCAATACGGTGTTCAATGTCCGAGGCACGGATGTCACTGCTGACCTTCATCAGCCGATGACCTTGATCCATTAGCTGGTTCTTCTCTCTTTCCTTTGCCATAAGCTTGTCTTGCACCTCCTGGAGATCAGACAAAAATAACTTTACATTCTTAAAGGAGGACTAAAAGGTTGACTTGAACACTGCTCAAATTCAGCTCATAAACAGACCTACAGACTACATAAACAACACTTAGTCAACACAGAGAGACACCTGACATTAGCCTGTAGATTTAGACAGTGGACAATGACAGATTTTGTCAACACAAAGAGACAGCTGACATTAGCCTGTGTCAACACAGAGAGACAGCTGACATTAGCTTGTGTCAACACAGAGAGACAGCTGACATTAGCCTGTGTCAACACAGAGAGACAGCTGACATTAGCTTGTGTCAACACAGAGAGAGCTGACATTGACCTGTGTCAACACAGACAGACAGCTGACATTAGCTTGTGTCAACACAGAGAGACAGCTGACATTAGCCTGTGTCAACACAGAGAGACACCTGAAATTGACCTGTGTCAACACAGAGAGACACCTGACATTAAGCTTGTGTCAACACAGAGAGACAGCTGACATTAGCCTGTGTCAACACAGAGAGACAGCTGACATTAGCTTGTGTCAACACAGAGAGACAGCTGACATTAGCCTGACATTAGCCTGTTGATTTAGACAGTGGACAATGACAGATTTTGCCAACACAAAGAGACAGCTGACATTAGCTTGTGTCAACACAGAGAGACAGCTGACATTAGCCCGTGTCAACACAGACAGCTGACATTAGCCTGTGTCAACAGACAGACAGCTGACATAAGCCCGTGTCAACACAGAGAGACAGCTGACATTAGCCTGACATTAGCTTGTGTCAACACAGAGAGACAGCTGACATTAGCTTGTGTCAACACAGAGAGACAGCTGACATTAGCCTGTGTCAACACAGACGGCTGACATTAGCCCGTGTCAACACATAGAGACAGCTGACATTAGCCTGACATTAGCTTGTGTCAACACAGAGAGACAGCTGACATTAGCCTGACATTAGCTTGTGTCAACACAGAGAGACAGCTGACATTAGCCTGACATTAGCTTGTGTCAACACAGAGAGACAGCTGACTTTAGCTTGTGTCAACACAGAGAGACAGCTGACATTAGCTTGTGTCAACACAGAGAGACAGCTGACATTAGCCTGACATTAGCTTGTGTCAACACATAGAGACAGCTGACATTAGCCTGACATTAGCTTGTGTCAACACAGAGAGACAGCTGACATTAGCCTGACATTAGCTTGTGTCAACACAGAGAGACAGCTGACATTAGCCTGACATTAGCTTGTGTCAACACAGAGAGACAGCTGACTTTAGCTTGTGTCAACACAGAGAGAGCTGACATTGACCTGTGTCAACACAGACAGACAGCTGACATTAGCACATGTCAACACAGAGAGACAGCTGACATTGGCCTGTGTCAACACAGATAGACACCTGACATTAGCCTGACATTAGCTTGTGTCAACACAGAGAGACAGCTGAAATAGACCTGTGTCAACACAGAGAGACACCTGACATTAGCTTGTGTCAACACAGAGAGACAGCTGACATTAGCTTGTGTCAACACAGAGAGACAGCTGACATTAGCCTGTGTCAACACAGACAGACAGCTGACATTAGCCTGACATTTGCCTGTGTCAACACAGAGAGACAGCTGACATTAGCCTGACATTGGCCCGTGTCAACAAAGAGAGACAGCTGACATTCGCCTGTGTCAACACAGAGAGACAGCTGACATTAGCTTGTGTGAACACAGAGAGACAGCTGACATAAGCCCGTGTCAACACAGATAGACAGCTGACATTAGCCTGTGTCAACACAGAGAGACAGCTGACATTAGCCTGACATTAGCTTGTGTCAACACAGAGAGACAGCTGACATTAGCTTGTGTCAACACAGATAGACAGCTGACATTAGCCTGACATTAGCTTGTGTCAACACAGAGAGACAGCTGATATTAGCTTGTGTCAACACAGAGAGACAGCTGACATTAGCCTGTGTCAACACAGAGAGACAGCTGACTTTAGCTTGTGTCAACACAGAGAGACAGCTGACATTAGCCTGTGTCAACACAGAGAGACAGCTGACATTAGCTTTTGCCAACACACAGAGAGACAGCTGACATTAGCCTATGTCAACACAGAACACAGACAGCTGACATTAGCAGCTGACATTAGCCTGACAGAGAGACAGCTGACATTAGCCTGACATTAGCTGTCACACAATGAGACAGCTGCCAACACAGATAGACAGAGACAGCTGACATCAGCCTGACATACGATGTCAACACAGAGAGACAGCTGACATTAGCCTGACATTAGCTTGTGCCAACACACAGAGAGACAGCTGACATCAGCCTATGTCAACACAGAGAGACAGCTGACATTAGCATATGTCAACACACAGAGACAGCTGACATTAGCTTGTGCCAACACAGAGAGACAGCTGACATTAGCTTGTGCCAACACACAGAGAGACAGCTGACATTAGCCTATGTCAACACAGAGAGACAGCTGACATTAGCCTGTGTCAACACAGAGAGACAGCTGACATTAGCTTGTGCCAACACACAGAGAGACAGCTGACATTAGCCTATGTCAACACAGACAGCTGACATTAGCCTCACATTAGCTTTTGCCAACACACAGAGAGACAGCTGACATTAGCCTATGTCAACACACAGAGACAGCTGACATTAGCTTGTGCCAACACAGAGAGACAGCTGACATCAGCCTATGTCAACACAGAGAGACAGCCGACATTAGCCTGTGTCAACACAGAGAGACAGCTGATATTAGCCTATGTCAACACACAGAGACAGCTGACATTAGCTTTTGCCAACACACAGAGAGACAGCTGACATTAGCCTATGTCAACACACAGAGACAGCTGACATTAGCTTGTGTCAACACAGAGAGACAGCTGATATTAGCTTGTGCCAACACACAGAGAGACAGCTGACATCAGCCTGACATTAGCCTGACATTAGCCTGACATTAGCTTGTGTCAACACACAGAGAGACAGCTGACATCAGCCTGTTGATGGAGACAGTGAATTGATCTGACAATGTAAAGGGGTTAATCTGAGTTTCATAGCCTGATTTGGACAGTTAGTGCACACAATTTGTGGCAGTAATATTCATTATTTGAAAATTCATCTAGATTAGTATGACATCCTGCCATTTGCCATTGTCAGACATCTAACCAATGTCCCAGTGAATACGCTGATACGTCCACACAATGGCCTACCCACCTACCAGAGACAGGGAAGCCCTCTATACAATATATATGTGTGAGTGTAAATAGTGACAGCTAGAGGGCAGCACCCCCTGATACCACCTTTGAAAACAGATCTACAGTGCCATAAAACATAAGATGGACAATTCCATCAGTTTAATATGGTTCCACAAGATCAGAAATCATCCTTCTTGTCACTTCATACTGGGCTTCTTGCCACCTACCTTCTCCTGTGTTGCTGTATAGAGAGAGCGAGAGATTGAGCTGTATCCACACAGAGAGCTGTATAGAGAGACAGAGCTGACCCACTACCGTTTAGACAGAGGCAGCATATGGCCACCACATGGGCTGGCTTCACATCCACTTGCCCCACCCAGGGGGAATACAGTCAGTAACTACACTGGAGTGATGTAATCACATGTGGCTTCACGCACACCCTTCTAATGTGGACACTGATTTAACGAACACTGTTTATAGCAAATATTTAATTACTATATAATTGGGACATTGAAAGAGCAGAACACTTTGTTAAGTGAACTGTGTTATATCTTGAGTTGATATTGTGATACCTGAACATTTGGTATAGTGGACAATGTGATTCCTAGACACTTCAGTAAGTGGACACTGGGAAATGTGGACACTTCACACAGTTTATACTATGATACCTAGAAATCTCACAAAACAGACACTGTGACACAAGATCACTTATAAAAGTGGACACTGTAATACATTGACACTACATAAAGTGGACATTGTAATATCTTGCATTTAAAGGTATACAAAACTTTTAATCGTGCAGCCAGTGCCAGGTCATAATATCTTTAATCGTTCTAGACATTTTTAAATATTAGAATGTTACATGTGACAATGAATGAATTTCCTGCTATAGATGTTTTGGATGTTGTTCCTATGTGTGGATATTAGTGGATGCAAGGTAACTGCCTGATATTGTATTTGTAACTTGTTTGGATGTAATTATGACATTTACATTTTCTTTTCAGTCATTTGCTGAACGTGTGAGGGATCAATCATCCTGGTTACTGATCAAATTGTTCCATGCATAAAAATTATCTGGCAGTAGCAATAAATTATTCCAAGTGATTATATTTTATGAAATATATTTAGCAAAAGCTGCAAATATAAAAATAACTTGATCTTGGGATCTGCGTATAAAACTTTGCCTAGCAAGACAGAAAATACAATGGTAAATCATCATGTCAAGTGATAATTTATCTCAGATTTCACATTTTATTGACCAAGTTGACCATCAGCTATTTGTTTACGAGAAGTCTCTCAAGGGATACTGCATCCTTTTGTACTGGGCATAATCCTGATGTTCACCAACAGCTTCATGCTTTACGCGTACTATTATTATTATTATCTTTATATAGCCCACATATCCAGGCAACTAGTGCTTGCTCAAGGCACTGGTATTTTTTCCCCTCGATCATTGGATGTCAGTCTCAACAGCACATCATGTTATCCATCTCAACTCCCTGGGGGAATGTGTTAATCAACATATATCAGTTCAGCTGTAACTCTTTATTGTATATCCTTTGTAATGAGTCAGCTTGTCATTCTTTGATTCTACAGTACATGTCATGCAAGACAGCAAGAACAGAGCGGAACGTAAATAAAACCTGTTGAAATTATGGTCCATGATAGTCAAATGTGTATTCCGCGAAGAAACAAATGATTCATATTTCGACGCTTTCAAAGCTGGAGTTTTGTTTCTCTTTGACAAATCGACACATTGATACATGGACACTTATTAGATAGGACACTGTGATAGCTTGACACTTATTAGATAGGACACTGTGATAGCTGGACACTTCATAAAGAGAACAATGAAAAACTCAAGATACTATAGAAAGAAAATATTCTCTTAAGTGGCGCTGTCGTATTTATTACTTGTTAAAAGGGGACAGAGAATTATCAACAGCAATAGAAGACACTTCTGGAAAGTCATCTGGTATATCACATCAAAATTGAGTCAGCTGTAAGAATCTGTCACAAAGTGACAAGGGAATCACACAGGTTACAGGTGAGGCTACAGTGGGACAGAGTACAGTGAACTAAGGTGTAACAAGGCTAAGTGTAAAGGGTACAGTGGGACAGAGTACAGTGAACTAAGGGGGAACAAGGCTAAGTGTAAAGGCTACAGTGGGACAGAGTACAGTGAACTAAGGGGGAACAAGGCTAAGTGTAAAGGGTACAGTGGGACAGAGTACAGTGAACTAAGGGGTAACAAGGCTAAGTGTAAAGGGTACAGTGGGACAGAGTACAGTGAACTAAGGGGGAACAAGGCTAAGTGTAAAGGCTACAGTGGGACAGAGTACAGTGAACTAAGGGGGAACAAGGCTAAGTGTAAAGGCTACAGTGGGACAGAGTACAGTGAACTAAGGGGGAACAAGGCTAAGTGTAAAGGGTACAGTGGGACAGAGTACAGTGAACTAAGGGGGAACAAGGCTAAGTGTAAAGGGTACAGTGGGACAGAGTACAGTGAACTAAGGGGGAACAAGGCTAAGTGTAAAGGCTACAGTGGGACAGAGTACAGTGAACTAAGGGGGAACAAGGCTAAGTGTAAAGGCTACAGTGGGACAGAGTACAGTGAACTAAGGGGGAACAAGGCTAAGTGTAAAGGGTACAGTGGGACAGAGTACAGTGAAACTAAGGTGTAACTAGGCTAAGTGTAAAGGGTACAGTGGGACAGAGTACAGTGAACTAAGGGGGAACAAGGATAAGTGTAAAGGGTACAGTGGGACAGAGTACAGTGAACTAAGGGGGAACAAGGCTAAGTGTAAAGGGTACAGTGGGACAGAGTAGTGTGGAAGGGTTTAGTGTAAAGTTTAAATGTGACAGGGTACTGTGTCAGTCTAAGTAAACTTAGACTCAGTATTATTCGTTACACTGCTCTACTAAGTCTAACAAAACCTTGTTGAAGGTCGCGTCAGGTAACCTTTGAGCGACATATGACCGTCCAATCAAATGCGAGATGACAGAACAGATTTAACCAATCAGACAACGGCTACTATTTAGTGTTCGTCGGGACTTACAAAATGGATTTACTCTTCCCCGGTCGCCAACACTGATCTCACAACAAATGAAAACCCGCATAAAACACAGATGTTTGACCTGCAGAATATACGCTTTTGGGTTTCTGTTGACATGTGCATCACTCAGAAGTGATCGTACGGAAAAGAGCATTTGGAGTCATTCGGGTACAAATGTTTTTCGAGGTAAAAGGTATGTGTGAATGTCAGCTTTTGCGATTTGGTAAGCTGTGTTCTGATTGGTCAATTGAAAAGGTTACCCGACGGGACATTCCACAAGCTTTTGTTAGACTCAGTGTAGCAGTGTAACGAATAATACTGAGCCTAAGTTTACTTAGACTGGGTACTGTGTAAAATCTACAAATGTACTCACAGTTTCAAGTCTGTTGAGGAGATCCTCCACATGCATCTCTAGGCTTGTAGTCACAGTGATCTCCATGTCCTTTATCCAGTCCAGGAAGTCCTGGACCTGGTCAGAGAAGCCAGACCAGCGACACATGGCATCTCGGAGGCGCTGTTCCCGGAGTAGTGTCTGACTGGCCAGCTCATTCCACTGCTTGTTGAGGAGGCGGATCCGCTGGGCCAAGACATTCATGTCCTCTGAGTGGATCCTTCGGGACAGATTCCTCTCCCGTGACAACAGTTGTTGGCGGCGGTCCTCCGAGTTGGCAAATGATGTTGCTATATCCTGTAGAAGCAAAGGCACACTACTCATGAATGGCATGTTCACGGCAGCAAATGTCTGGGGGGGAGGGGCTGGTCTAATCTATGGTTAGCAATGTCAGGGGAGGGGCTAGTCTAATCTATGGTTAGCAATGTCAGGGGAGGGGGCTAGTCTAATCTATGGTTAGCAATGTCTGGGGGAGGGGCTAGTCTAATCTATGGTTAGCAATGTCTGGGGGAGGGACTGGTCTATGGTTAGAAATGTCTGGGGGAGGGGCTGGTCTAATCTATGGTTAGGGAATGTCTGGGGGGAGGCTGCTGGTCTAATCTATGGTTAGCAATGTCTGGGGGAGGGGCTGGTCTAATCTATGTTAGGTCTGGGGGAGGGGCTGGTCTAATCTATGGTTAGAATGTCTGGGGGAGGGGCTGGTCTAATCTATGGTTAGCAATGTCTGGGGAGGGGCTGATCTAATCTATGGTTAGAATGTCTAGGGGAGGGGCTGGTCTAATCTATGGTTAGCAATGTCTTGGGGAGAGGCTGGTCTAATCTATGGTTAGCAATGTCTGGGGGAGGGGCTGGTCTAATCTATGGTTAGCAATGTCTGTCTGGGGAGGGGCTGGTCTAATCTATGGTTAGCAATGTCTGGGGGAGGGGCTGGTCTAATCTATGGTTAGCAATGTCTTGGGGAGAGGCTGGTCTAATCTATGGTTAGCAATGTCTGGGGGAGGGGCTGGTCTAATCTATGGTTAGCAATGTCTGGGGGAGAATCTATGGCTGGGGGAGGGCTCTAATCTATGGTTAGCAATGTCTGGGGGAGGGGCTGGTCTAATCTATGGTTAGCAATGTCTGGGGGGGGCTGGTCTAATCTATGGTTAGCAATGTCTGGGGAGGGGCTGGTCTAATCTGGTCTAATCTATGGTTAGCAATGTCTGGGGGGGGGGCTGGTCTAATCTATGGTTAGCAATGTCTGGGGGAGGGGCTGGTCTAATCTATGGTTAGCAATGTCTGGGGGAGGGGCTGGTCTAATCTATGGTTAGCAATGTCTGGGGGAGGGGCTGGTCTAATCTATGGTTAGCAATGTCTGGGGGAGGGGCTGGTCTAATCTATGGTTAGCAATGTCTGGGGGAGGGGCTGGTCTAATCTATGGTTAGCAATGTCTGGGGAGGGGCTGGTCTAATCTATGGTTCTATAGGTTAGCAATGTCTGGGGGAGGGGCTGGTCTAATCTATGGTTAGCAATGTCTGGGGGGGAGGGCTGGTCTAATCTATGGTTAGCAATGTCTGGGGAGGGGCTGATCTAATCTATGGTTAGCAATGTCTGGGGGAGGGGCTGGTCTAATCTATGGTTAGCAATGTCTGGGGAGGGGCTGGTCTAATCTATGGTTAGCAATGTCTGGGGGAGGGGCTGGTCTAATCTATGGTTAGCAATGTCTGGGGGAGGGGCTGGTCTAATCTATGGTTAGCAATGTCTGGGGAGGGGGCTATGGTTAGCAATGTCTGGGGGAGGGCTGGTCTAATCTATGGTTAGCAATGTCTGGGGAGGGGCTGGTCTAATCTATGGTTAGCAAATGTCTGGGGGAGAGGCTGGTCTAATCTATGGTTAGCAATGTCTGGGGGAGGGGCTGGTCTAATCTATGGTTAGCAATGTCTGGGGGAGGGGCTAGTCGATTACAAGTATGGTTAGCAATGTCTGGAGGGGAGGGGCTGGTCTAATCTATGGTTAGAATGTCTGGGGGAGGGGCTGGTCTAATCTATGGTTAGAAATGTCTGGGGAGGGGCTGGTCAAATCTATGGTTAGCAATGTCTGGGGGAGGGGCTAGTCGATTACAAAGTATGGTTAGCAATGTCTGGGGGAGGGGCTGGTAATTACAAGTATGGTTAGCAATGTCTGGAATGTCTGGAGGGAGGGGCTGGTCTAATCTATGGTTAGAATGTCTGGGGGAGGGGCTGGTCTAATCTATGGTTAGAATGTCTGGGGGAGGGGCTGGTCTAATCTATGGTTAGCAATGTCTGGGGAGGGGCTAGTCGATTACAAGTATGGTTAGCAATGTCTGGAGGGAGGGGCTGGTCTAATCTATGGTTAGAATGTCTGGGGGGAGGGGCTGGTCTAATCTATGGTTAGAATGTCTGAGGGAGGGGCTGGTCTAATTTATTGTTAGCAATGTCTGGGGAGGGGCTGGTCTAATCTATGGTTAGAATGTCTGGGGGAGGGGCTGGTCCAATCTATGGTTAGCAATGTCTGGGGGAGGGGCTGGTCTAATCTATGGTTAGAATGTCTGGGGGGAGGGGCTGGTCTAATCTATGATTAGAATGTCTGGGGGGAGGGGCTGGTCTAATCTAAGGTTAGCAATGTCTGAGGTAACTAGCAAGGACACTGGACATGGAAACCTGTGTATTTGCAAAATTACCTTAAAATATCACATGCACAGTCAGCAACGTTTCAGTGTTATCACATGAGTGGAGTCGAGGCCAGTACATGTCCGGGCCCTCTGTGTAGGGTGACATGACCTCTGCCAGAGTAAACTTTATATTTCTTACTTCAGTGGGCTGGTGTGACATGTTTCGCCAGCAGCCTTATTTCTTCTTTATTCTGTATAAGGCTGCATCTCCACTGTCTAATTATAAGTAGCTGTACGTGCTACCCACAGCCAATTCACTACCTCCTAATAACAATTTGTTACCTGCCTGCAAGGAGTCCACACTTTCTGATGAAGATCGGTCTTGCTTCAGGTTAGCACTCTCCTAATATATTCATTCTACATCTATATTTGATTGCCAGTATAATAATTATATCGAATATAGTACTTAACTATCAATCAGGTAATGTAATCTCACGTTAGTAACTCCCAGGCATATCTCTATGACTAATGTACACACTGCACTGGCATAACATGTAAGAGAGTGTATGAAAGGCAAGCATTGTATACAGTGAGACCTCGGATACCCGGACCCCAGATATCTGGAAACCTCGCCTTCCGGTCATTTTTTAGAAAAAACCATTCTCTTACGTTATAAAAGTGACTGTCTATAACGGATATTCGGTTTCCGTTTCCGGACGGTACATTTTACAAACAAACCGGCTAAATCAACGCAAAATTGACTCACCTATCCGCACGAAGCTTTGATCTACCGCTAACCGTGTGAAGGGAAGTGCGAGAGTCCCACGTGTTTTGACACGAGACGTGGTGTCATATATTATTGTGTCTAATATAGCTTCTCTAAATATCATATTTATTGTAGCAACAAACTGGCTTGCTTATTTTACCCCATTCAACAATCACGAACTGATTACCGCCTCGTTTTCCATTGACTGCTAGTTTACAGTAACATCGGTAAAAATGTGTGAATTTAAATGGTTTCCGTATTTTACCCCAGTCCGTATAACCTTAGGGTTGATTATATATATTTTACATAAAAACTGTAAATAAAATTCTTTGGGTTAAATAATAGTATTCTGTATTATATTTTACTGACGACTAAGGCCAGAATTCGGCCCCGCTATATTATTGTGCATGTTTGAACTTGTTCGGCGGAAACGGTGCACAGCTGATTGCTATTTCCGGCTTTGTGTAATGGTGACAAATACGCACGGTAATCTTAATCCCTGCAAATAATACAATGCCCAGCAAAAACAACTTATAACTTAAAAGGTAAATAATCTTGTCTAGTGATGTTTAATTGCAAATTTGACGTCTCTACTGACAAAGTCGTCTTCTGTTGTTTGTTCACGCGAAGTGATATGATGCTGTTTATTCAGTCAAAGCAATAAAAGTGCAGTGTGTCGATATTCAAGCCAGTTATGTTGTGATGCTGTTTTTGAATGTCTATACATGTATAATAAACCCTTGATGATCATAAATATTTTGGATTTTCCTTGAGGTGTATGAAAACCAAAAATCCAGATATCCGGATATTCAATTATCCGGACGATTTACGTAAAAACGAATGTGTCCGGATATCCGAGGTCTCACTGTATATGTCATATCATAAAACACACTACACCAAGATGACACTGACCTCGCGCCCTATGTGTGACGTCTGTATGTCATCACTTCATCATAACGCCCTACCATGCCTAGCCCATTAGTGGTTATATGTATTTTGCATATTTTACTCAAACCATTATTTTAACTATTATACCGTACATTGATTTCATGAGCACTTCTGGACAATCGTTCATCATTTATTTAACTAAGCCATCCCCCATGCTGAGCCCAGTGGATAGCAAGGGTCGTATCTCAGGGGAAGTTGGATATGACAGGTGAGTGGTATATTTTACCTTGCTGTTGTTGAGATCTGCCTGGAGATTGTCGTACACTGTAGGGAGATCTGCCGCCAGGATCTGCCGAGTCTCCCTGAGCCATGCCAGGATGTCGTCAATGTCCTCCTCACACTCCTGCCACTCCTGCAGAAGCTCCTCCAGATGCAGGCGGTGGTGCTCAAGGCGGCTGTAGCTGTCACACCAGCTGCGCTCCAGCTGTTCCATGTTGACCTTCACCTGGTCCTTCGCCACTGGGTCAGCCCGCTGCTGGAGGTCACGGCCGATCTCGTGAATCTGTCTGAAGCTGTGCTCCTGTAGCTGGAACTCTTGCTGAGTGGTCTGCCATAGTGAACCAAGAACTAATGATGCATCTCACTTAAACTTGTTGTGTTCAGTAATGATTATGTAATGCGTGGGTGAGTAAGATGCTCCAGGGAAGTTACAGTTGGGTACACACTGTGAAAATCTGGACTTTATCTTGACATGTTTACCCCTCATCCACCTCATCACCACAAATCAGATTTTAATGTACAAAACTCATCACTACTAACTGTAACCAATGTAGTAGCTACTACTGACCTTGACCTTCTGTAGCATGCTGTTTATCTGTTGTAGTGAGGCTGTTTCGAACTCAAACTCTTGCATTGTCTTGTCCTCTAGCCAGACTCGGAGTTGCTGACTTAGGTTGTTGTAGGTGTTCCACTGCTGTATGCTGTTGTCAATGATGACTTTCCGTTGGTTGGCCCGGCGCACCACACTCCTCCATTGCTCTGACAGGAGGTGAAGCTTCTGCTGAAACTCTGCTGGGTCATCAATGTCTCCTGCCTGCAGCATCTTCCCACCATCACTGATAATGGCATGAAGCACCTGTTGCCGACTGTACATCTCGGAATCAAATTTCTGAAATGGCAGAAAATTCCAGCATAAGAATCCACTTGTGAAGCAAAAGGTATCCTATAGCCACAAATACTAATTTCCTACAGTGTGCACAGACACGGTCACACTTATTTCTCTCTCAAACAGCAGAAGTTTCTTTACCTGGCACATCTTCTGCTGATCCCGGAGGTCCACCAGATTTCCGGCAATGTCTACTGCCAGGTCCTGTTCTGTCTGGGCCAGGAATGTCATCCAGGAGTCACACTTGGAACTGAAGTCCTGCTGCACCAACACATTGGCTTGAAGACTCTTGCTTCTCTCCCCACAGCAGCTGTAGAGTCGGTGCCAGCGGTGGTTCAGGTCACTAAGACGCTGTGCATCACGGTCACCCAGAGCCAGTTTGTAGCCCATGATGTTCAAACTGTCAAGTTTGGCATAATTGTTGGTGAACTGAGTCTGTAGGTCCTTCAGCTGGTTTAAACGGTCTCTCAGGTCAATCTCATCTGATGACTTGTTTGGATCTGCTTGCTCCAGGACAACCTCAGCATGATCCAGGAAGATGCGGAGGACTTCAAATGCATCCCTGAACTGCTCTAGTGAAGTCAGGTCATCTTGGAGGGCTTCCATGTTCTGGGCCAGGACATGGCGGAGTCCAAGGAGTCTCTGTTCAAGTCCGGAGTGTCTGGACGTCATCATCAGGATTGAGGATGGCTCCATACTTTTGGCAAGGTCATCACTAAGATGACACAGTTGAGAAACCCGACTCTGGATGTTGTCAAACTCTGCCTGTAATGTCTACAACACACGATAAATTATTAGTTCATAAACATTAGTATCTATACTTTGTGAGTTTGTGTACAAAATGAAGAGAAGACCTTTGAGTACAGATTCAATGACAACGTCATCCCTACCTTGCTCTGCTCCAGACATTGGCGGCGTGAAGTGGGGTCATCCTGGCAGGTGGTCAGACCATGGCAGATCTTCTCCTTGTCATCTAGCCAACGGCGGATACTGTCGTATTCTGACTCATAATTCTGCCATCGCTGCAAGAACTGCTCAAACTGCTTCCGTCGTGTTGACAGATCAGCAGAAAGTCGGCGCCATCTAGAGAAAAAATCAATCAAATGTTTAAGGTAGACATTTTAGCTGCGTAAGCAAAGAAACATTTGGATGCTACTGCAAAAGGCAGTTCCACTGGGCTCAGACCGAACATGGAGAAACAAAGGATGTAACAAAGCATGACCACTCACTTGTTTTGGACGTCTGCAGCAGTCTTCTGGATGTCTGCTGAGATGGGAGCATCACTGACCTTGGTGAGCTGCTGACACAAAGCTAGGAAGGCATCCCTCTGGGGCTCATGGTGATGGAGCTCTGCCTCCAGGGTCTGCAGGGAATCACACAGAAAACAAATAATCACAGCTGTGCAAAATGATTTCAACATTACTCTAACCTGTGCAGTAAACTGCAGCTATTATGAACTGAAAGTCACCACTAAATCTAGTTTGTGTAGTTTGTTATACACATTTCAGTGAAAACATGCAGCAAGTGGTCCGGACCAACAGACGTTCTTTACATCCATCAGTTCTTTATAAGTGTGTTTATCGTCATAGCTGACACATTCACCAACTGCCATCATCATTCAGCTAGAGACTCACCCTGAGTTTGTTGACCTGGTCGGTGAGTGTTGAGATGTCCCCGCCCACCAAGGTGTAGCGGTTGAGACAGTAGTCAATGTTGGTGAGCATCTGCATGAGAGCCTGCAGCTGTGAGGAGTAGTGTCCCCACTCTCCCAGCATGCCCTCCAGGGTGTTCTCCAGCTGGCCGAGCTGCTCCTCCAGATGGAGCCACTGTCTGTTGAGTCCGTCCAAGCTGTCCTGAACTCCACGCTGACATCCAGGAGAGTCCACACTGAGGTCAATCAGGCTTTCAGCCAGAGACTTGGCAGCCTGTATATCAGACTCTTTGGCCTTCAGCTGACGTTGTAGTTCCTGCAGAAACATGAGCACAGATATATTAAACACAGCAAATTTCACATTGGCATTGGACAAGTACACATCTTTCAATCATAAACAAATTTGTGCATAATTGTTCGTGATCATACCTCCATACACTCAAAGTAACAGGAATTCAATTCTTATGAATAAATGTGTTCACGATAATAACTATACAGGCTGTTTGACGAATTATTATCAGCCAATCAAATGCCATGGAATCACACACGCGTTATCTATATTATATTTGATTGGAAATGAAGACGTGCAACTAACCTCACAGAGATCACACCAACTAACCTCCCAGAGATCACACCAACTAACCTACCAGAGATCACAGCAACTAACCTCCCAGAAATCACACCAACTAACCTCCCAGAGATCACAGCAACTAACCTCCCAGAGATCACACCAACTAACTTCCCAGAGATCACACCAACTAACCTCCCAGAGATCACACCAACTAACCTCCCAGAGATCACACCAACTAATCTACCAGAGATCACACCAACTAACCTCCCAGAGATCACACCAACTAACCTCCCAGAGATAACACCAACTAACCTCCCAGAGATCACACCAACTAACCTACCAAAGATCACACCAACTAACCTCCCAGAGATCACACCAACTAACCTCCCAGAGATCACACCAACTTACCTCCCAGAGATCACACCCACTAACCTCCCAGAGATCACACCAACTAATCTACCAGAGATCACACCAACTAGCCTACCAGAGATCACACCAACTAACCTCCCAGAGATAACACCAACTAACCTACCAGAGATCACACCAACTAACCTCCCAGAGATCACACCAACTAACCTCCCACAGATCACACCAACTAACCTACCAGAGATCACACCAACTAGCCTACCAGAGATCACACCAACGAACCTCCCAGAGATCACACCAACTAACCTCCCAGAGATAACACCAATTAACCTACCAGAGATCACACCAACTAACCTTGCATTCACTGAGTGTCTGCCTGACACCAGACGTGTGACCAACATGTCCATAGTTTTTTATTTTATCCTCCTGTTCTCTGAACCACAACTTGAGCCGAGACATTAACTTCTCAAAGTCCTCAAACTTGGATGACAGTCTCTCCAATGTCCTCAGCCTCTCATTCACATCACTAGTGAATATCTTCCACTGGCGATTGAACTCCCCCAGCTTCTCGGCGAAGTCAAGTTTCTCTGCATCCTCCTCGGGGATGTGTGGCTGGAGAACCTGCTGGTTGACGAAGTCCACCGTGAGCTGCTTGCTGCTCAGCTCAATCTTGTACCCCTTGTACTTCTTCAGCATCACCTCCATGTCAGCCAGGCTGTGGATGGGCTTGTTCTTGTCCTCCTGGAGCTGTGTCCGGATGATGTCCAGCCACTCGGCCAGCTCATGCAGGGCTTGTCGGGACGGCATGAGGTCCATCTGAGCCTGGTGCAGTGTCTCCTCAGTGTGGACGATGTCCCGCTGTAGCTCCGCCCACTCTGTCTCATATCCCTGGAGGCGATCACCAAGACCAGTGGTGTTGTATGACGAACTCATCATCAGCTGACGACCCACATTCAACACCTTGGAGCGAAGTGGCAGCTGGTTCTCAACCTCCTTCTGGAACTCCTGAAGAATAAAACAAAAGGTTTCAAGTGTTTGGGGTGCCAAGTGGACAAGCACTGGGGTGTTGTAGCATGGAGTTTCATAGGCTGGGTGTGATTGGTAGGGATGTTATGTGCGGGGGTGTCGCAGGTCGGGTATCATGGGTTGGGTGTCATCAATAAGGTCAATAATGATTGGATGTCATGAAACTAGGAAATGAATAAATTATGTAACTTAGTGAATTGCATCAACTGCATACATGATCCAGAGGTAAAGGACTAAACATTCAGCTCTTGTACTGGATTGTCAGTCAGTTTAGTTTGACAATGAGTGGGTCTGACTTTTGTTATTTTGGTCATGCTCAGCTGGGAATGGAGACAGCCACAAAGATAAACCTGTGGCCGACTGGACTTACCAGCAACTTCTCCACCTTGGCTCGAATGGCTGCCATACTCTGCAGATCCTGCTCACTCAGCTGCTTCAAACTCGACAACTTCATCTTTGCTGTCCTCAGCCAGGAGTTCAAGATGGCCGCCTCTGCTTCAAATGTTTGCAGTTGGTCACCCAGTATTTCAGTTCTGAAGGACAAGTAAAGGGTCAGGGGCTTTGGAAAGTTAATCCATATATTATGGTATTATGATATACAATCTCCTCTTTTACCATTTCATATATACCATCTGAACAAACAAAAAAAAGGTTCACAGTATTACTACAAAATACTTATTAAAAACATATGCGAGAGAAATAACCACTTCGCTAAATGGGAGTACGTCCTTGGACATGATATTAACGAACAAGATTGGAAGAGTATCAATTCTATCCCATTTAGTTGCACGAAAGCGACTGAACTACAGTGGTTCCAATATCAAATCTTACACCATGTATTGCCAACCAACTGTCTTCTCTCTAAGATGGGTTACGTAGACAGTACAATATTCAAATCAAATGGAAGATGTCCTACATATATTCTGGGAATGCAACAAAGTGAGTTCCATCTGGAGAGACCTGGAAGGTTGGATATCGTACAAACTGCAAAGTCCGGTAACAATATCCAAAGAAAACGTTCTTTTTGGCTATCCATCGAAAAATAACAATCCCCTAAACCTTGTCATCATCCTGTCAAAACGAATTATTTTCAACTTTAGAAAGAATAATTACCCACTAACATTCCAGTTCATACAGAAGGAGCTCACTGAATTCTACAAGTAAACAAAGTATACCTCTGTCATTAATTGTAGTAGAGACTATTTCAATAAGGCTTGGTCAAACTGCCATGCTTTATTCTCCTAAATAAGCTGCCATGCCCAACCGTGTAAATGCTTAGATAAATAAACAAATTATAAAATAAAAATAAAAAAAGATATTATGGTGTCCACCTTGATGACAGTGTTCAGTGATCACAGTTTTTACTTTCAAATGAAATTTAAAAGAGTGTTGACTATTATCCTCTCTGTCATGAGTACATTCTGTATATTCTCGAGGTGGTAAATAACTGACAAATTTAAGTTAAAAGTAAAAATTCATGATTATTCAAATGCAGTGATTGCAAATAATAAACTCAATTCATAAAGAAATACTGAGCTTGATTCATCAAATGCATGAGTGAATCTTGACAGTCCTATCATATAGTAATGGAAGTACAGTAATGGATAATGTGGAACTCCTATCATATAGTAATGGCAGTACAGTAATGTATAATATGGAACTCGTATCATATAGTAATGGAAGTACAGTAATGTATAATATGGAACTCCTATCATATAGTAATGGCAGTACAGTAATGTATAATATGGAGCTCCTATCATATAGTAATGGAAGTACAGTAATGGATAATATGGAACTCCTATCATATAGTAATGGAAGTACAGTAATGTATAATATGGAACGCCTATCATATAGTAATGGAAGTACAGTAATGTATAATGTGGAACTCCTATCATATAGTAATGGAAGTACAGTAATGTATAATATGGAACTCCTATCATATAGTAATGGAAGTACAGTAATGGATAATATGGAACTCCTATCATATAGTAATGGAAGTACAGTAATGTATAATATGGAACTCCTATCATATAGTAATGGAAGTACAGTAATGTATAATGTGGAACTCCTATCATATAGTAATGGAAGTACAGTAATGTATAATATGGAACTCCTATCATATAGTAATGGAAGTACAGTAATGTATAATATGGAACTCCTATCATATAGTAATGGAAGTACAGTAATGTATAATATGGAACTCCTATCATATAGTAATGGAAGTACAGTAATGTATAATATGGAACTCCTATCATATAGTAATGGAAGTACAGTAATGTATAATATGGAACTCCTATCATATAGTAATGGAAGTACAGTAATGTATAATATGGAACTCCTATCATATAGTAATGGAAGTACAGTAATGTATAATATGGAACTCCTATCATATAGTAATGGAAGTACAGTAATGGATAATATGGAACTCCTATCATATAGTAATGGAAGTACAGTAATGTATAATATGGAACTCCTATCATATAGTAATGGAAGTACAGTAATGTATAATATGGAACTCCTATCATATAGTAATGGAAGTACAGTAATGTATAATATGGAACTCCTATCATATAGTAATGGAAGTACAGTAATGTATAATATGGAACTCCTATCATATAGTAATGGAAGTACAGTAATGTATAATATGGAACTCCTATCATATAGTAATGGAAGTACAGTAATGGATATAATGGGAACTCCTATCATATAGTAATGGAAGTACAGTAATGTATAATATGGAACTCCTATCATATAGTAATGGAAGTACAGTAATGTATAATATGGAACTCCTATCATATAGTAATGGAAGTACAGTAATGTATAATATGGAACTCCTATCATATAGTAATGGAAGTACAGTAATGTATAATATGGAACTCCTATCATATAGTAATGGAAGTACAGTAATGTATAATATGGAACTCCTATCATATAGTAATGGAAGTACAGTAATGTATAATATGGAACTCCTATCATATAGTAATGGAAGTACAGTAATGTATAATAATATCATATAGTAATGGAAGTACCTATCATCATAGTAATGGAAGTACAGTAATGTATAATATGGAACTCCTATCATATAGTAATGGAAGTACAGTAATGTATAATGTGGAACTCCTATCATATAGTAATGGAAGTACAGTAATGTATAATATGGAACTCCTATCATATAGTAATGGAAGTACAGTAATGTATAATATGGAACTCCTATCATATAGTAATGGAAGTACAGTAATGTATAATATGGAACTCCTATCATATAGTAATGGAAGTACAGTAATGTATAATATGGAACTCCTATCATATAGTAATGGAAGTACAGTAATGTATAATATGGAACTCCTATCATATAGTAATGGAAGTACAGTAATGTATAATATGGAACTCCTATCATATAGTAATGGAAGTACAGTAATGTATAATATGGAACTCCTATCATATAGTAATGGAAGTACAGTAATGTATAATATGGAACTCCTATCATATAGTAATGGAAGTACAGTAATGTATAATATGGAACTCCTATCATATAGTAATGGAAGTACAGTAATGTATAATATGGAACTCCTATCATATAGTAATGGAAGTACAGTAATGTATAATATGGAACTCCTATCATATAGTAATGGAAGTACAGTAATGTATAATATGGAACTCCTATCATATAGTAATGGAAGTACAGTAATGTATAATATGGAACTCCTATCATATAGTAATGGAAGTACAGTAATGTATAATATGGAACTCCTATCATATAGTAATGGAAGTACAGTAATGTATAATATGGAACTCCTATCATATAGTAATGGAAGTACAGTAATGTATAATATGGAACTCCTATCATATAGTAATGGAAGTACAGTAATGTATAATATGGAACTCCTATCATATAGTAATGGAAGTACAGTAATGTATAATATGGAACTCCTATCATATAGTAATGGAAGTACAGTAATGTATAATATGGAACTCCTATCATATAGTAATGGAAGTACAGTAATGTATAATATGGAACTCCTATCATATAGTAATGGAAGTACAGTAATGTATAATATGGAACTCCTATCATATAGTAATGGAAGTACAGTAATGTATAATATGGAACTCCTATCATATAGTAATGGAAGTACAGTAATGTATAATATGGAACTCCTATCATATAGTAATGGAAGTACAGTAATGTATAATATGGAACTCCTATCATATAGTAATGGAAGTACAGTAATGTATAATATGGAACTCCTATCATATAGTAATGGAAGTACAGTAATGTATAATATGGAACTCCTATCATATAGTAATGGAAGTACAGTAATGTATAATATGGAACTCCTATCATATAGTAATGGAAGTACAGTAATGTATAATATGGAACTCCTATCATATAGTAATGGAAGTACAGTAATGTATAATATGGAACTCCTATCATATAGTAATGGAAGTACAGTAATGTATAATATGGAACTCCTATCATATAGTAATGGAAGTACAGTAATGTATAATATGGAACTCCTATCATATAGTAATGGAAGTACAGTAATGTATAATATGGAACTCCTATCATATAGTAATGGAAGTACAGTAATGTATAATATGGAACTCCTATCATATAGTAATGGAAGTACAGTAATGTATAATATGGAACTCCTATCATATAGTAATGGAAGTACAGTAATGTATAATATGGAACTCCTATCATATAGTATTGCAAGTACAGTAATGTATAATATGGAACTCCTATCATATAGTAACTCTTGAAGTATTGAATGTTACCAATAATAGTCATTATTTGAATACGGCGTCTCATTAGCAGCATAATCTGTAACTTCATTATGAATGTTGTCTGCGAGGCGTGCAACGGAGTTCTCCAGTTCGGGACAGGTGAGGCTATGAAGGATCTCCTTCCCCTTGTCGACCACCTCAAACACCCAGCTTTTCTCTTCAGCGAGCTCACGCTGCAGCTGTTGATATTTTTCCAGCTTGGCCTGGATAGTTGCCATGGAGTCTCCGCTAGCGATTGCTCCAGGGATCCGCTGCTCGATGTTGGCCAGAGAGGCCTGGAGCCTGGTCAACTTGACGTCCAGGTCCTCCCACTGCCGCACCAGTCTCTCGAGCCGCTGACCATGCAGGCTCGCCTTGTCCACCATGACATGGGTCTGGCTGCTGAGGTGATTGTGCTGAGCCTGATGCTGTGCTCGCATGGATACCTGACACTGGGAGGCCAGTGAGTCCAGCATCGCCTTGTGAACCTCAAGGTCACTGAAGAAATCCTGAACATCACAAGGACAGATGATGAAAAACAGTTCAAAGTCTATGCTTGGGATCATCGTTACCACTGCAAGGACAGTTTTATACAAAATTGGCCTACAATTCAAAGTAGGTGATCTAAATGAATGATTCAGTTTAGTTTTACGCCGCTTTTAGCAATATTCCTGCAATATCACAGCAAGGGACACCAGAAATGGGCATGACACATTGAGCCCATTTGGGGAATCATCAAACCTGCGTTTTTCAGCATAACGAGCAAACGCTTTAAGCACTAGGCTCCCCCACCACCCTGGGTGATCTGAAACTTGTTCCCGTATTAGTAATATGAATGAAATATGATCTTGTTGGTCCCATCATCACAGAAGTGGAAGTGCCAAACAACATCAAAAGATAAGTGTCTTGTAAGACTTATTTTATTTCTAACTGCAGGTGTGTCCCATAAATTAAATTAAAGAATTATAGCCCGAATCTTTAGGAAAACTACAATGGATTATTCAAACCTTATGTGCTGTGAGTTGATGCCGTAAGTGGATCAGGTCACTGGATGCGACCTCCTCTGACCTCAGTTTGCCTTCCGCGGTCTCGATGAACTGAGCATAGTCCTTGAGGAGCTTCTCGTACTGCTCCTGACCAGATGTCAGCTGCAGCACACTGGCTCTCCGTTCAGACACCTACACACAGTGGAGAGGCCAGATAGTGTATTGACTTTGGGGTTATATAGTTACTCTTTGAACAGTTAATATATAATATCAAGGACTCTCAGACCTGAACCCTGTAGTGGTTGGAACAAGGCCACAGCCTGATATACTGTCTGACCTCCAATGGGATCAGGTCTGAGAGCCATTGTTTAAAATATTGAAATCATTAATTCTCTTTACACTTATGTTTGTGTAGTTGACACTCACCCTGCGCTGTAGATCCATGTAGCTGGTCTGTAGAGTCCGCAGCTCGGAGGGAAACACACCTTGTGGATAAAGGGCAGACAACTCTGTCTCCTTCTTCTTGAGGCTGTCAAGCTTGCCTTCACATTGGTGGAGGTGGGTCTCCATCTCCTAGGGAGACAGGACAATCATCACGAGGATAACACATGTCACACACTTTGATTTAATGTCAACATTTATAGTTGTCACATTCTGCCACAAACACTGCTCTCCACACTTACCATGCATCTCATCACAGGAAGTCTGCTACAAAGTCCTGCGAAATCATGTTATGGGGTCTGATGCAATGGCAGGGTCTGTCCTGATCTGACATAACTGCCATGGTAACACTGTAACATGTCACACACTTTGATTCACTTTGGCACTGTAACATGCCCTGATCTGATGTAAGAGTCAAGGTGGCACTGTAACATGCCCTGATCTAATGTAACGGCCAAGGTGGTACTGTTACATGCCCTGATCTGATGTAAGGGTCAAGGTGGCACTGTAACATGCCCTGATCTGATGTAACGGCCAAGGTGGCACTGTAATATGCCCTGATCTGATGTAAGGGTCAAGTTGGTACTGTAACATGCCGTGATCTGATGTAATGGCCAAGGTGGCACTGTAACATGCCCTGATCTGATGTAACGGCCAAGTTGGAGCTGTAACATGGCCCAATTTGATGTAAGGGTAAAGGTGGTACTGTAACATGCCCTGATCTGATGTAAGGGTCAAGGTGGCACTGTAACATGCCCTGATCTGATGTTAGGGTCAAAGTGGCACTGTAACATGCCCTGATCTGATGTTACGGCCAAGGTGGTACTGTAACATGCCCTGATCTGATGTAACGGCCAAGGTGGCACTGTAACATGCCCTGATCTGATGTAAGGGTCAAGGTGGCACTGTAACATGCCCTGATCTGATGTTAGGGTCAAAGTGGCACTGTAACATGCCCTGATCTGATGTAACGGCCAAGGTGGTACTGTAACATGCCCTGATCTGATGTAAGGGCGGTGGCACTGTAACATGCCCTGATCTGATGTTAGGGTCAAAGTGGCACTGTAACATGCCCTGATCTGATGTAACGGCCAAGGTGGTACTGTAACATGCCCTGATCTGATGTAACGGCCAAGGTGGTACTGTAACATGCCCTGATCTGATGTTAGGGTCAAGGTGGCACTGTAATATGCCCTGATCTGATGTAATGGCCAAGGTGGCACTATAACATGCCCTGATCTGATGTAAGGGTCAAGGTGGCACTGTAACATGCCCTGATCTGATGTAACGGTCAAGGTGGCACTGTAACATGCCCTGATCTGATGTAAGGGCCAAGGTGGCACTGTAACATGCCCTGATCTGATGTAAGGGTCAAGGTGGCACTGTAATATGCCCTGATCTGATGTAACAGCCAAGGTCATGGCACTGTAACATGCCCTGATCTGATGTAACGGCCAAGGTGGCACTGTAACATGCCCTGATCTGATGTAAGGGTCAAGGTGGCACTGTAACATGCCCTGATCTGATGTAAGGGTCAAGGTGGTACTGTAACATGCCCTGATCTGATGTAAGGGTCAAGGTGGCACTGTAACATGCCCTGATCTGATGTAAGGGCAATGGTAAGACAGAAATACGCCCATGTTGTTGCTCTTGCAAAGCAGAATACAAGTGATCGGTATTGGCTTTTCTTTCATGTCTCAAATCATACAATAATTATTGATGTATTTGGATACATACCACCATATATTGCATGCAAAAACTATAAAAATAACCTTGAAAAACACATCCTACAAGTTTTTTTAGAAACATGTTGTGTTTTGTATTTATGAACATTTCCGATTGTGGTGTGGCGGTAATACTGCACACCAGAATATCATTACCAGCTGGTGCGGTCCTCACAAAGGTTGAGCAGAATATTACTGTTGAAATATGTTGAAGTGACCATTCAATTAACATCAACACCATCACCATTCTACTACATCTATATCTACATCAACACAAGCTAAAAATTGAACATACTGCACATTGCACATGCACTGACGTCTGCACTGTCCTGATCATGACTGCATGCATCAAAGTTACTAATGACAGTATGGACCCCACTACAAAGCCTCAGCTATAAAAGCTTGATGAACACCTCAGTTTACAAGATTTACCAAACATGCATTGATGTCAGCACTGATGGCGTATGTTTGTCTACAAATGTGAGATTCAAGCATGCTGTTGATGTGGACAAAGTGATATTTGGAAGAGATGGGATTGGATACAGCAACCTAATGACTTCATGTGACCTTCACCTTGTACAATAAATGTCTTACCTCTTTGGTCTCCCATCGGTCAGTAGCCTGGTTGGCAAACAAACATGACTACAGCATATATAGGCTCATGTGAATGCAGCTAATCATGAAACAGTTTGAACCATGTTGTAAATCTTGTATTATGATCTAGAATCAGTGACTGACTTGAGACAGGCAAGAAGATGGTTACCTGGACAGTGTCCACTAGGTCATCACTGGTGGCGGAGGACGGGGGTCTGGAGTGGATCAAACGTTGGGTGTCCTGCAATTGTTTCTGTAGACAGTCCACTTCATCCTGCACAAAGGAAACATGGCATGATTTGAGTGTTTTCATTCACTCACTGATGGCAATCTCCTTCCAATTAACAACCATCATCTGAAATGGTAGGCAGTTAGTAGGCAGTCAATAGGCAGTTGTACTAACCTGATATTGTTGCCAGTGAGAGTCCACCACCTGGAGCTCCTGGCCACGATGCTGGGCCTGGCTCTCCAACATGGAGACTCTGTCATTGAGGTTGGTGAGAGACTGCTGAATCAGCTGACCACTCTCTCCACTGGTTGTGGACAAAAGATTCTGTGCCTGGTTCTTCATGGTGGTTATCTCCCCTTGTAAAACTTGGATTTCTCGTTGAAGATTCTGTATAGATCAGAGGTGACATTATTATTTTACTGAGATGACATTGAATAAAACATAAAACATAAAAAGATGTTGTTTGACAGATGACAGATGTTTTTGATACATTCCTATTCTATAGACAGATGTTATTTGTGATACATTCCTATTCTATAGACAGATGTTGTTTGTGACACATTCCTATTCTATAGACAGATGTTGTTTGTGACACATTCCTATTCTATAGACAGATGTTGTTTGTGATACATTCCTATTCTATAGACAGATGTTGTTTGTGACACATTCCTATTCTATAGACAGATGTTGTTTGTGACACATTCCTATTCTATAGACAGATGTTGTTTGTGATACATTCCTATTCTATAGACAGATGTTGTTTGTGATACATTCCTATTCTATAGACAGATGTTGTTTGTGATACATTCCTATTCTATAGACAGATGTTGTTTGTGATACATTCCTATAATCGGTCTGATGACTGACCTCGACACATTTTTCTATGTAGTTGTTGTTGTGTTACTTGTGCCACCAGTGTCGGAGTATTCTATAGAGATGTTGACGGTGTTGGGATACATTTCTGGGCGGAGTCCAGCCAGGAGGAGATGGTGAGGAGGGCCTGCTGATACTGCTGCTGGAAGGAGAGCGCCTGTTCCACCCGGACCTGCCTGTCCTCCACCTGACCCTGGAGCTGCTCCCAGCACTCACCCAGGTCACCCACAATCTGCCGGATCTCCTCCAGGTTCCTACTGGGGTCTACCCCCGGGGACAGGCTCTGACGCCGGAAACTTGCAGCTGGTACTTCCTGGTGTGAAACATTTACATTGACATTGGTAATCAGTCAGTTAAAGATGCAAAGCTGTGATCTACAAGACAAGGAATGTAGGAACATTCCATCTAAACCACAAACATCTTGTTGACCTACAGCTCTGGGGTTTGACACACGTGTACACAAGGAGTTCACTTCATACTCACCCCAGGTGTTCTCGTCTTCACCAAGTCCTCCAGAGTCTGCTTCTTCTCAGCCAGGTCCTTCTGCAGTTCTTCCCATCTCAGATGCAGCTCAGTTTCTCCGACGGCAGGAACAACCCGCTCAGATGTATCAGACATCATCGCTGTGTCTCTGGACCGCTGACCAGTCACTGATATTTGCTGGACAAGTTGGCGATGCTCCACTAGTCCAGATGTCAGGTCCTGGAGAAAGTCACATCAGAGCAAGCATGAAGGAACTGAGAGACAGTCTGTGATACAATGCCAGTTTTAACAATATTCCACCCAACACACCAAGAATGGGCTTCAATACCCAACTTCAACAAACAACACATACGATTCTGACTAAGGTCGCCATATACCCCATGGACCAAAGAATGAAGTTTCCCATTAAGTTTGGCATGTTGGATGGGGCCTACAAGTTGAAAAATGAAATATTTAGACAGCTATTGAACTGATTAGTTTTTTAGATTGAAAAGGTTTAAGAAGTAGTTTGAGCTTATGAGAGTCCATGTGGTATTAATTCCACTTGTCTCAAATATTTTCTGTGAATTTAAAAGTCCTTTGATTGTATTTAATAAAATGGTTCATCTTTGAGACAGGGATTTGGTGGTACATACGCCAAACCCAGCAATATAAACCATCCATGAGCCACCTGTAAGTGGGAGACAGGGATGCAGTACCTGTTGGAGTCGGTGACGTTCAGGCATCACAGCAGTGTAGTCTGCAGACCTGACGGTAGGGACAGTCATCTGCTTTGTGTCACTCATCCACTGCTGCAGTTTCTGAACATTGTCCTCATAGTCGGACATTTCCCGCTGTCTCTTGTCTGCATCCTTGATGGCACCACGGAGCTGGCTCTGCTTGTCGATGGTCTCCAGCTTGAAGTCCCCGAGCTGCTTCTGCAGGCTGGCCAGCTGGGTCCTCAGCTTCTCAGCACTGGTGGGGGTCTCCTGCTCACACAGGGAGTCACACTGCACAGCCAGGTCCGACACCAGGCGCAGATGCACATTCACCTCCTCCTGGACGTCCTGGGAATCAGTGAACAATGGCTGCATGTATATGTATATATATCTTGGCAACATTGGTACTGATTATTCTAGAATGAGAACTGGCATCTGCTCATTGGCTGAATGTGACAAGGCTAGTGGGACAGTGGCTGACTCGCCTACACTCACCCTGGTGCAGTCCATCTGGGTCTGGAGATCTTCTAGCGTGTCAGTCGGCAGTGTGCTGGTCGCATGTTTCACTCTCGTGTCTGACAGCCATGTTTCCACATCCTTCACACGCTTCTTGTAAGCCTCCAGCAGAATATTGTGCTTCTCCCGATCTTTGACTGCTGCCTGCAAAACAAGTGAGTGGGTGATGTTAAATGGCAAGTTCACAGGACATAAACCAATCTTACTTTTTCAACATAAAACTATTTACCAAGTAGTTTCATAGCCAAAACAATACAGACATCAAAAGTAAAGAACTTTATTGCATTAAATCTTTTTTTAAAATGTTTTTCACATTTACCGAGAGTTCTATTTCCTTAATATACGACAGGCTTATGTCCCTTGCAATAGGATGTCAACTGATAAACGACACCATTAGACATATTAGACCTGCGGTACAGATGTGCAGTTCTTGCATCTTGATACACAGCCCCTGGGTGACATATATTCCGATGCTTTCCATCCCTCGCTTTCATAGATAAACTTCAAAATAATCTCATACACAAATATAATTCATAGGTTTGAATTCTGTGGGGAATTCCCTGTTCTGGGATATCGTCCACTGTCATTGTAGGAAAAGCAAAATTACAGAAACTTCATACATACATTATTAATCTCACCATTTCTGACACCATATAAACATACGGTACTGGGGTGTAGTCTGCCATGGAATACATCATAGTTCTATTTGTACGACACAAGTACAGAAACAATAAATCATCAAATCAGTCAGTTCAGTCAGTCCTCCCTACCTGCAGTTTACGGCCCGCATCACTGGCCATCACCTGCAAGCTTTCAGCTCGGTCTGTCAGCATCGTCAATGTCGCCTCCATGGCCTTACGTCCCTCAGGATCAGACTTGTCAAGGATCATTCGACTTTGCTCTTGAAGTTGGATAATATCATTCTTAATACTATCTATCTCAGACAGAGTTTCCTGGAACATAATGAAAAGCAATATACATGAAGTAGTTCTTTACTAACTCACAGAAATGCAAATTAGGGTCAAGTGGTAGACATGTAAGCACTCAGATTCTCAAGTAGCGGAAATAAAGACTTAAATGCTGCTCATAGCAATATTCCTAAAATATTTAGGCTGGTAGCTCACTTTCGTCAATCAGCTAATCCAGTTAATCCTAGACCACCTGGCTTCACCCTCAATCACTGGGTCAACCTAATCCACCCTAGACCACCTGGCTTCACCCTCAATCACTGGGCCACCCTGATCCACCTTAGACCACCTGGCTTCACCCTTCAATCACTGGGCCACCCTGATCCACCTGGATCACCCTCAATCACTGGGCCACCCTGATCCACTCTAGACCACCTGGCTTCACCCTCAATCACTGGGCCACCCTGATCCACCTTAGACCACCTGGCTTCACCCTCAATCACTGGGCCACCCTGATCCACCCTAGACCACCTGGCTTCACCCTCAATCACTGGGCCACCCTGATCAACCCTAGACCACCTGGCTTCACCCTCAATCACTGGGCCACCCAGATCAACCGTAGACCACCTGGCTTCACCCTCAATCACTAGGCCACCCTGATCCACCTTAGACCACCATTAGAGAACATCAATTCTTCCTACAGCCCAAGGCACTACTGACCTTGTGGTCATCTTGTTGTCTGTCAAAGGTGTCTGTGGGGCTGGGAGGTCTGCTGGACAGCCTCTTCTGAGCATGTTCCATCTTTGCTGTTACTTCCTGTACAGAACGCTGGTAGTCCTCTTGTTGCTGTAGAGCACTGTGAAGTTCCTTCTCCTTGGCTACAACCTGCAACATAGATGACTGATGTCAGCTTCAACTCTCCTTGTATCAGTGTTGGGACTGGCAACAGTAGGCATGTCTTGTGCTGTGTATCTAGGACATCTAACTATTGCATCACCGACATTGATACCACCTGGCATCACCATAATGAGAGCCAAGACACGCCTGGGTGTACTTACACAATCCACATGACATCTTTCAGGTAGACAGTATCATTGTCAGTCAGGTTTGAAGTGGCCAGGTAGGCTAACCTCATTAGTCAGGTAGAAATGAAGTGGTACAAGTCAGGAAGCAAGTGACAACATGACGAGGAACAACACTCACGGCGCGGCACCAGCCTATGCAGCCTTGACTATGACATTGTGTCCTTTCACTGCTCCCACCACCATACACTGCTGCCTTTATACGCTGTCACTAGTACAGCAGACATGTTTGTCACACAGTGTTTATGTGTGCATGAATGACAAGCACTTCATATTGACAATTTTATTCATATAGTCTCTTCCGCTAAATGGATGACATATGAGCTTTTATAGTGGCATTTACTCCATACGCCATAACGGCATGACTTCAAAAGACTGCCCGGGTCAGCACTGGTGGCATTCAGGGGGCAGCATTCAGGGACAGCACCACACTGTCACACTGCATACAGTCACTGCACTTACAGCCCTCCACTGTGTGCGTCACGCCTGACTGCACCCAGCAATTCATGAAAAAAATCTGCTTGTCAACTCATTGAGCCTATGACATAGAACCGATGACAGTCTGACCACATACAACAGACACAACCGATGACTGTCTGACCTTCTATTACACATACAACAGCCCTCCATGACACAACCAATGACCTTGCTGACTGCCTGACCTTCTATTACACATACAACAGCCCTCCATGACACAACCAATGACCTTGCTGACTGCCTGACCTTCTATTACACATACAACAGCCCTCCATGACACAACCAATGACCTTGCTGACTGTCTGACCTTCTATTACACCATACACATACAACAGCCCTCCATGACACAACCAATGACCTTTGCTGACTGCCTGACCTTCTATTACACATACAACAGCCCTCCATGACACAACCAATGACCTTGCTGACTGCTGACCTTCTATTACACATACAACAGCCCTCCATGACACAACCAATGACCTTGCTGACTGCCTGACCTTCTATTACACATACAACAGCCCTCCATGACACAACCAATGACCTTGCTGACTGCCTGACCTTCTATTACACATACAACAGCCCTCCATGACACAACCAATGACCTTGCTGACTGCCTGACCTTCTATTACACATACAACAGCCCTCCATGACACAACCAATGACCTTGCTGACTGCCTGACAACATTACACATACAACAGCCCTCCATGACACAACCAATGACCTTGCTGACTGCCTGACCTTCTATTACACATACAACAGCCCTCCATGACACAACCAATGACCTTGCTGACTGCCTGACCTTCTATTACACATACAACAGCCCTCCATGACACAACCAATGACCTTGCTGACTGCCTGACCTTCTATTACACATACAACAGCCCTCCATGACACAACCAATGACCTTGCTGACTGCCTGACCTTCTATTACACATACAACAGTCCTCCATGACACAACCAATGACCTTGCTGACTGCCTGACCTTCTATTACACATACAACAGTCCTCCATGACTGCCAATGACCTTCTGACCTATTTATGAGTTGACCTACTGCAAGGTTCCATGACACAACCACCAAATACGAAATAAGAGTACACATGGAACAAGCTGTTATTCAGTGACAACTGTTTGACGATGAATACACAATGCCATTTAGAAAGTGGTCAAATGTAACACATGTATATTTGGGATTACACTTTCTTAGTAAAGTACAGATTCTACTACTATCTGTTGGGTTGAGTCCTAACTGGGATTCAAACCCACACCCTCAGAGTCGACCCTCAAATTTCGATCACTTACAATCACACTGAAATGGTACAGTCAAACAATGGCAATTTCAATAGCAATATAAGTGAATCAATGTAAATATACATATATCCATGGTCAAGTGACAATGGTTTCTCACCTGTTCCTGTAGACTGGCCCAGGATGTGTTGAGCTCCACCAACTGTGAGGATGGGTCGGCCCCTGGGGGTACCTACATCATAAGACACAGGGTCAGTACACCTGGTGATCCAATAAGTTGTAACATGACACACTTGTAGCATGACACACTTGTAGCACAACACACATGTAGCATGACACACTTGTAGCATGACACACTTGTAGCACGACACACTTGTAGCATGACACACATGTAGCACGACACACATGTAGCACGACACACATGTAGCACTTTGTAGCATGCATGTACATGACACACATGTAGCATGACACACACACATGTACATGACACACATGTAGCACACATGTAGCATGACACACATGTAGCACACACACTGTAGCATGACACACTTGTAGCATGACTCGACACACATGTAGCACGACACACATGTAGCACGACACACATAGTTAGTATAGCTAGCTACATGCAGGGAGCAAGAGGGTGGAACAAGTCTGTAATGAAATGTGAATGTGAATCTCGGCCTGTGTTGGAAATAAAATGATACTGAGCAGGGAAGTGAAAACCAACTGTTGTAAATTGAACTTCTGTTATCACTGACTTGATATGTTCCCATTGGCATTACAACTGTATAGGTTACATCTATCAAATCAATGACAACATGCCTTCTGGTTCAGAATACAAAGTTGTTTCTATTCTACCATGACAATACTGAACCTAAACTGGTTGCTGAGTGGTCTGGCTACTGACTGGATGAATGTGAAGGTTTAGTGGTCTGGCTACTGACTGGATGAATGTGAAGGTTTAGTACCTTGAAGTGACCAAGCAGAATATACTTTTACTGAGTCCTGGTAGAATACCTAACTTCAGAGGGTAAGTCAATAAGTAACTAGTCCTGTCAATCAGAAGCTTTCATTATCAATTTGAACACGGCAAGTTAATTCTAAAATGGAAGTTTCATGATTTGAGTCTGAGGTGAAGTTGGCAGAAATTAGAGTGATGCTGACACTGACATCCTCTTTGACACCTCCTGCTTCCAGCACACACAACGCTGAGCCCACTAGATGGTACATACAGCTGATATATGGACTTTGTCCCAAACTTACTAAGTTGACTCACATGAACAGGCACTTGACCCATTACTTGAATAGACTTGTTATGTGAATGCCTTACTCTGCAAAGTGTTGACAATATGCTGACTCTCAGACTGGCTACGTTATGGACATCCCTCTGATAGCAAGCCTATTCTGATAGATAAATACTGTGAACAATAACTGTATATTACAGACACTATTAAGCAGCCACAAGCAGTTACATGAGTATTGTAGACAGAAGACCCACCCGCTTCGGGGCACTGTGAGTGGTGGTGTTAGTGGAAGGTGCTGAGGATGGTTTAGGAGAGAGAGAGCGCATTCGTGGAGGAGTATAAGCCCTGCGGCTTCGCGAGTGCAAATCTGTGAGTGAAGAAGCAAAGTCCAGAGAAGCAGAGTAGGGTGAGAGTGATCTCCCCTTGGCCACACGAAGAGAAGGTTGTGCTTGGACAGAACCATGCGGTTGTGCGACACTTCCAGCTACCTTGTCGGTGTTGTTTTGACTTTTGATTGGTTGGAAGGGTGATGGTCTGTCTCCACCATGTCCTCCTCTCTCGGAACGGAGACTGGTGAGACTCTGGGACCGGAAGCTGTCAAAGCTGTCTACCTGTTCCCGATGGCGGTCCCCTGGATGTCCCACACTGCGAATTGTGGTTGATGTGCGGTCAGATCTGTCGGACAGCGATGACCAGGAGAGACTGGAGGGCATTGTGTTGAGAGAGTCAGACATGTGAGCACCACTGTCTTCAATACTGTCCGTGTAGCCAAAGTGAGGTGAACTATGATTGTGGAAGTGGGCACTAGAGAATCCACTACTACCAACACTAGTGTTCATTAGGAAGCGTCTGCGGACTAGAGTGGGGCTGCGCTGGAGGCTGCGCTCAGACAACCCTCGGTTCTTCTCGTTGATCTGGCTGAGCCGGGCCTGGTAAGTCTTAATCTGGGCTGCTAGAGTCTGAAAGCAAGCAGGGGTAACAGGCATGCAGGTTAGACACATGCAACACACACAGGCACAAACATGATGCAGCCTCCTGTCAGGGAACTGGTAGCTTACCTCTACCACGGCCATCATCCCTGGCACACCGTCTGACAGGAACAACATCATAGTGATCATATTCATATACATCCTATCTGATATTACTGTAACACATAAACAATCTTTCACATGACAGCAGTTCCATTGTTGAGCAATACAAAGTTGTCGGCATGCAGGTACATCAGTGTCCTTACATTCAACAGTGTCCCTACAATCAACAGCGTCCCTACAATCAACAGCGTCCCTACATTCAACAGTGTCCATACAATCAACAGTGTCCCTACATTCAACAGTGTCCCTACATTCATCAGTGTCCCTACATGACAGTGTCCCTACATACAACAGTGTCCCTACATTCTACAGTGTCCCTACATTCAACAGTGTCCTTACATGACAGTGTCCCTACATGACAGTGTCCCTACATTCATCAGTGTCCCTACATTCAACAGTGTCCCTACATGACAGTGTCCCTACATTCAACAGTGTCCCTACATTCATCAGTGTCCCTACATGACAGTGTCCCTACAATCAACAGTGTACCTACATACAACAGTGACCCTACATTATACAGTGTCCCTACATTCAACAGTGTCCTTACATGACAGTGTCCCTACATGACAGTGTCCCTACAATCAACAGTGTCCTCAATTCATCAGTGTCCCTACATTCATCACTGTCCATACATGACAGTGTCCCTACATTCATCAGTGTCCCTACAATCAACAATGTCCCTACATTCAACAGTGTCCCTACATTCATCAGTGTCCCTACAATCAACAGTGTACCTACATTCAACAGTCAATATAATCAACAGTGTCAATACATTCATCAGTGTCCCTACAATCAACAGTGTCCCTACAATCAACAGTGTCCTTTCATAACAGTGTCCCTACATGACAGTTTCCCTACAGTCAACAGTGTCTCTACATGACAGTGTCCCTACATTCAACGGTGACCTACATTCATCAGTGTCCCTACAATCAACAGTGTCCCTACATTCATCAGTGTCCCTACATTCATCAGTGTCCCTACAATCAACAGTGTCCCTACATTCATCAGTGTCCCTACATTCATCAGTGTCCCTACATTCATCAGTGTCCCTACAATCAACAGTGTTCCTACATTCATAATGTGACACAAGACATACCTACACTGATGCATTTTGATCCACATCAGACATGGGACAAACACAAAACAATAAGCACAATAAAAGGTGCCTTGACGTGTAAGTTGTCAGAGGTTCAGTAAAGCTTCGTGATCGTGACAAAAGATCTGCTGTGAAATCTGTGGACTGATGTAGGAAAGGTGCAGGTGAACTGTACTAAACTTTGTTAATCCCAAACATTTTAAGTTGGGGCTGCAAAACCCACACAGGATTTCATAATAAAGAAATTCCTTCTGAAGATGAACAGAGTTCAACTTTGACTTATGTATACCTCTGGCATTTTAGAACCATGTGACTTTGTTAGGACAACAATGGTGGCATCTCTGACATGTTGCCTCACAGATCTATCACGCCCGATCAGTCTGCAGCTGCTGACATACTGCTAGTTCCGCATCTATACTGAACATCATTGAAAACACACCACTTATAAAAGTTCAGATTATTAAAAGCATGTGTAAGGAATTAATAATTTTTGAGTGGATAATAACAGATGGACGACTGACAAAAACAACACAGGAAAGACGCTCATTCATTGAAATGTTCCATAGTCAGAAAGGATCAAACACACGTGGGGTCAAATCGAAAAGTCAATATCGCGTGTGACCGCCATTTGCATTGACACATGCAGTTCAACGTCTCCTCATTGAGTCAATAAGCGTCCGAATAGAGTTCTTGAGGATGGCATTCACCTTCTGCAGTAGTGCAGCCTCAAGTTCCCGGATGTTTCGCATCTGTTGTCACCGCAAAAGACTTTGACCAATTTCGTCCCACAAGCGCTCCATGGGGGATACATCTGGCGACTGTGCTGGCCAATGAATAACCTGGATATGTTGCTGGGCCAGATACTGCATGGAAAGTCTTGTTGTGTGTGTCCGTGCGTTGTCCTGTTGAAAAGTATGGACATCTTGGTGGTGATTGAAGACAGATATGATGTGATTCTGAAGAATCTGCTCACGGTAATAAAGGGCATTAACTCTCCCTTGAATGCCATGAAGGCACTCCCACCACCCAAAGGTCTGTCTGAACCACACACTCATTAGCATAACGTTCACCACGTCTACGCCAAACACGTAATCGACCGTCAGCATTACGTAGATTAAGATGTGACTCGTCAGTGACTACCACACCATGCCATTGTTGTAAACTTTACTGAAATTGCCTGCTAGCTCATTGCAGTGTCTGTCAGTCAGAGTTAGTCCAACGTAAGGACGTCGAACATGGAGCCTAGGCGGCGTCGCATGGAGTCAGCGCTGATGACCCCCACATCAACCTTGAACTAGTGCAGCAGTCCTGGCAGTCGGCAGTGTTCAATCACTGATATGGACAAGGTCAATATGGCGATCCTGATGGAGCGTCGTAACACGTTGTTGCCAAGGTCATTGAAGGTCACGGGTGCTGCCTGTCTACTGATGTCGTCAATGAAGCTTAACGATGGTGGAGTGGCCAAGTCCAAGTTGTCGAGCAATATCCCCGCTGCTGGTGCCAACCTGAATCATGCCTAGTGCACGTTCTCTTTCGTGAGGTGTTAACCTCGGCATCTCTGTCCTCGTTTCACAGTCGTTAGTGAAGCAATGAGAATCGGTTCTCATACACCTGCTTTTAATGTCACAGTCAGTATGATTTCAGAATGAAATTCGCGCTTTTTTCATGGCGTGGCTGCATGTTGATGCATTTTGGAATTAAGAGTCTGTGGACAGGAATTTGTTTCTAAACCATTTTTTCAACTGGACATGCCCTTCGACTTCATGTTAGTTATATTCATTGATCATTGTCATGCTGAAATCCATCTTGATGAAAATATGGACAATTTTAGACTGGTGCGTTTTCAGTGATGTTCAGTATATATACACCGTACTTGCTGCACACACACACACACACACACCAACACTATCTACATGCAACCTGCTGTATCTTCCTCCATGTACGATCCTGGAAACTCTACCGGTACTTTAGATTATATGGAACTTAGCAGTTTACATCTCTTTAAAACCTTTCCAACATCCCTACAACATCCTCCACATCCCCCAAGGTCCACGCTGCCAGTCGGCAGTCAACTGTCAACACCAAGTCTATCCTGAAATACCAACTCTATCAGATGTGAGACACCTGGACGTGGCGTACGGCAAACATGGTTTGCAATGACTGGCAACAGATACACAATCAGTCACGGCGGACATCAAATTCACATCAAGCTGTGCAGCAGCAGCAGCAGCAACATCCACTTTATCGGAGTTGCCAGAGTGGGAACAACAGAGACAGGAAGAAGTCAGCTCAGGTGAGTCAGGTAAGCCTTACACAGGAATCATGGGTAACATGTTAGTACAACTAGGTGAGCTTCACACAGGAATCATGGGTAACATGTAAGTACAACCAGGTGAGCTTCACACAGGAATCATGGGTAACATGTTAGTACAACCAGGTGAGCTTCACACAGGAATCATGGGTAACATGTAAGTACAACCAGGTGAGCTTCACACAGGAATCAGATGTCTTGTGTGAGTACAAGCTGGTAAATTGGAAGTAATTAGTTGATCAGTAGGAACAGAGGAAATACAGCAAATACCAGACAAGGATCCAGATGTGTCTCAGACAGGCAGGTAGGACATTCAGTTGAGACACCTGCAGGTGTACAGGAGGAGATATCACAAGTCTAGCTACAGGTAGACACAATGTACACAGTGGTTATACAGCAGCAGGAAGCAGCACAGAGTACCAGCACAAGCCATATGACATACAGGCAACAACGTTATATATAAGGCCTAAAAAAAAAAGCTTGTGGTTCCGATTTCCCGACCAACCCTAAATATTCCCACCGAGCCTAACGATTTTACTCACCACATAACAAATTAAATTTATTTTCTGACACATGTGTAGTGTAAAAATATTTTGCAAAAAAACCCAAAAAACCTACCTACCTACCCTAGTTCTGAAATGTAGGAAATCGGAACCACAACATTTATTTTTTTGGCCTAAAGGAAAACAAAGATATATGGCAAACAGCAGGTGAAGACATAGCATGGTTACACACAACGGTAAATCAAAGATGAGAGATTTTATGAATGCTTCACTCTTCTTTGCAATTATAGATAATTATTTTTCAGATGAGACAAACAGAAATATTACATTACAATGTTTGAATTTTAAAGCTTGTCACAAAGGTAAAAAACTGGAGCATAATGAAACTAAGCAATCAAACAGCATCTGACAATATTAGAAAAGAAGGATAACATAAAAGTTATTAAACTGGAATGAAAGGTTATGAAAAAGTCCAATTGTGCTGGTGTGGTCTCTCCCACCCACCCCAAAAAAAGGTTATTTGCCAAACTAAAATGTGTTAGTGCACAATTTTCTAAAGTTTGTTAGAGTCAGTTGGTATAAGGAAGACAAAGGGAAAAAAGGTATTAGTTATTTAAAGGGAAACAAAACTCCAAGCCTTAATCTATTGAAAAAAGGTTCGGCCATTTCTTTGCAGAATACAAATGTGCTTATTATGGACTACAATCTTGAATGGTTTGACTTGTGGTTGCTGCACGAAGGAACACCTATTAGGGAATCGAAGTTTAAGAAACTGTATATCTCAAAGGAGATACAATGAGATAGCATACGTGACATCTATGAATTTGCAAAAAAGTCGAGGGTTCTGGTAAGCAGACACCGATCAAATATGAGAATGAAATGGGATTCCTCTGGCTGTCAACAAGATGCTCACTAGTTTGTTGAGTCACAGACACTAATTGACATCTGGTGATGACACGGGTTAATTACAATGGTGCCAACTAGAAGAGTGAGTACTGGAGTTATGTTTAACTTAGGATCAACGAGTATGTTAGTAGATGAGGTAGTGATGTTAGCAACAGTGTTGACAATCTTGTCAGGAGGTGGGTGTTGCCACAAGACGGGGGAGGTGGTGTGAATCTGGTGTCTCATGACTGCGTGTGTCTCCAGTCAGTCAGTACGTACGTCATGTTCAGCTATCTGTTGTTTCAGCGTATCCACACTTGAGGCAAGGACTGGGGATGCAAGCAGTTTCTCTTGTGCTTCTCCGATGGCAGTGTTGAGCTGTTTAATCTCTGTGTCATTCCTGTCCTGTTCCTGCACGACCTCCTGCAGCTGCTCGCACTGTTCCACTGCTGCATCCTCCAGCTGCCCGATGTCTACAAGCAGACGTGAGCCAACAGAGGGCGCTGACACCTCTGCCAGGGATCTCAGATCCTCATATCGCTGGAGGAGCATCTGAGCCCTGGACTTCTGGGCTCTCAGCTCTTGAAGCAGTTGCTGAAACACAGGCAAGTGATAACAATCAGGGTTAAAGGGTTATACAACTACAGGGTAACATGGAACTGACATACCGACCTGGGTTACACATCTAACTGACACACCGACCTGGGTTACACATCTAACTGACACACCGACCTGGGTTACACATCTAACTGACACACCGACCTGGGTTACACATCTAACTGGTTACACATCTAACTGACACACCGACAATCTGGGTTACACATCTAACTGACACACTGACAAAGGGTTACACATCTAACACACACCGACTGGGGGTAACTGGAACTGACACACCTGACACACCTGGGTTACACATCTAACTGACACACCGACCTGGGTTACACATCTAACTGATTCACCGACCTGGGTTACACATCTAACTGACACACCGACCTGGGTTACACATCTAACTGACACACCGACCTGGGTTACACATCTACTGACATCTCTAACTGACACACCGACCTGGGTTACACATCTAACTGACACACCGACCTGGGTTACACATCTAACTGACACACCGACCTGGGTTACACATCTAACTGACGCACACCGACCTGGGTTACACATCTAACTTACACATCTAACTGACACCACCAACCTGGTTTACACATCTAACTGGCGCTTTTGCCGACCTGGGTTACACATCTAACGACACCCGACCTGGGTTACCTGGGTTACACATCTAACTGACACACCGACCATCAGGGTTAAAGGGTTATACAGCTACAGGGTAACACATGGAACTGACACACCGACCTGGGTTACACATCTAACTGACACACCGACCTGGGTTACACATCTAACTGATGCACCGACCTGGGTTACACATCTAACTGACACACCGACCTGGGTTACACATCTAACTGACACACCGACCTGGGTTACACATCTAACTGACACCGACCTGGGTTACACATCTAACTGACGACCTGGGTTACACATCTAACTGACCGATACACACCAACCTGGGTTTACACAACTTTTACACATCTAACTGACACACCGACCTGGGTTACACATCTAACTGACACACCGACCTGGGTTACACATCTGGACGTTACACATCTAACTGACACACCACCTGGGTTACACATCTAACTGACACACCGACCTGGGTTACACATCTAACTGACACACCGACCTGGGTTACACCGACCTGGGTTACACATCTAACTGACACACCAACCTCCGGGTTACACATCATCTAACTGACACACCGACCTGGGTTACACATCTAACTGACGCACCTGGGTTGGGTTACACATCTAACTGACACACCAACCTGGGTTACACATCTAACTGATGCACCGACCTGGGTTACACATCTAACTGAACTGGGTTACACATCTGGGTTACACATCTAACTGACACTGGGTTACACATCTAACTGACACCGACCTGCACCGACACTGGGTTACACATCTAACTGACACACCGACCTGGGTTACACATCTAACTGACACACCGACCTGGGTTACACATCTAACTGACACACCGACCTGGGTTACACATCAAACTGACACACCGACCAGGGTTACACATCTAACTGACACACCGACCAGGGTTACACATCTAACTGACACACTTACCTGGGTTACACATTTAACTGACACACCAACCTGGGTTACACATCTAACTGACACACCGACCTGGGTTACACATCTAACTGACACACCGACCTGGGTTACACATCTAACTGACACACCGACCTGGGTTACACATCTAACTGACACACCTACCTGGGTTACACATCTAACTGACACACCGACCTGGGTTACACATCTAACTGACACACCGACCTGGGTTACAAATCTAACTGACATTTTGGCCACAGGTAACATGTAGTCTAAGTAACGAGCAGTCACTCTATGAAAGGCCCATATTCATGACATCTATTATGGTACTGATCAAGATTTAATTAGTGAAAGATTAACTGTACAGGTTGTACTACAGCAGATCAGATTCCGGCACTGTTCGTGGGGAGCCTTCAGTGCAGACTGAATCACCTTAAAGCTGGGACTGGGGGATGTTGTGTTTTTTTAATGTACATCCATCCAGTAATTAAAACTGATCATATTTCTTAATATTTAGTCTTTTTTTTTACATAATGACCTTTGCTGAATGTGACAACGGTTGACAAGCGGTTGACATTTTGTGCAGAACCTAAGTTGGTCTGTTCAGCTTCCTGTACTCAGAAAAGGTCATATTTTATGTTTTTATTGCTTCTTTAGGACCAGACCATGCACACATGTGCATGTAATAGCTGTGGATGGCTTAGTTAACTTAAACAGAAACATTTATAAAAGAAGATATAAGTCACACACAGAATAGCAGGAATATCTTGTTGGAAACATCAGGTAATATAAATAGCATTGGAAACTGCCAGAGAAGAATAAGCCTGGCTAGAGACCTTGCCACCATTAATGATCATGTGAAAAGTGAACTCTGAAATTCTGGAAATCAGGGATTATTTACCATAAAGCAAATAAGGAATAAGGGTAAGAAATCTATGGGTAACAAAAAGTTGATTAGTAGGGGAAAGGTGGCTGACCAATAGGAAGGGGTGCTGATGACTGTGGTGATGTTGGAGCCTGGGACGTGGGAAGAAGCAGAACCCAGAAGTCTGGTGCACACCTGCTCTTGTCTTACTGTCACTGACTTTTAGACTAAGAAACAAGCTCAAGGCACCAGAATTTTTACCGAGACAGAAGCTTTGTGGCCAAAGAATTTTGACAAGGTGACATATAGAGTCTGTTGGAATAGCAATGCCAAGAGTGAATAAATACTGTTGTCACTGCTGGTGGAACTATGATACCACAGGTCCTAGGACCTTGGGCTACTGACTCTCACACATTCCAAGAGTGAATAAATACTGTTGTCACTGCTGGTGGAACTATGATACCATTCAGGTCTGTTGTCACTGCTGGTGGAACTATGATACCACAGGTAGGACCTTGGGCTACTGACTCTCACACATTCCAAGAGTGAATAAATACTGTTGTCACTGCTGGTGGAACTATGATACCACAGGTCCTAGGACCTTGGGGTACTGACTCTCACACATTCCAAGAGTGAATAAATACTGTTGTCACTGCTGGTGGAACTATGATACCACAGGTCCTAGGACCTTGGGCTACTGACTCTCACACATTCCAAGAGTGAATAAATACTGTTGTCACTGCTGGTGGAACTATGATACCACAGGTCCAAGGGCCTAGGGCCTTGGGCTACTGACTCTCACACATTCCAAGAGTGAATAAATACTGTTGTCACTGCTGGTGGAACTATGATACCACAGGTCCAAGGGCCTAGGGCCTTGGGCTACTGACTCTCACACATTCCAAGAGTGAATAAATACTGTTGTCACTGCTGGTGGAACTATGATACCACAGGTCTTAGGAACCTTGGGGTACTGACTCTCACACATTCCAAGAGTGAATAAATACTGTTGTCACTGCTGGTGGAACTATGATACCACAGGTCCTAGGGACCTTGGGCTACTGACTCTCACACATTCCAAGAGTGAATAAATACTGTTGTCACTGCTGGTGGAACTATGATACCACAGGTCTTAGGACCTTGGGGTACTGACTCTCACACATTCCAAGAGTGAATAAATACTGTTGTCACTGCTGGTGGAACTATGATACCACAGGTCCTAGGACCTTGGGCTACTGACTCTCACACATTCCAAGAGTGAATAAATACTGTTGTCACTGCTGGTGGAACTATGATACCACAGGTCCAAGGGCCTAGGACCTTGGGCTACTGACTCTCACACATTCCAAAAAACCAAATCAACAGGACTGAAAAACAAGGATACACCATAGTTCAGGTAAATATATGTGAATCCAGGTGTTGGCTAATAAACTTCAAGAGAGAAAAACGGTTTACATTCAGCTAGGCAGGCAATGGGTTTACTTCAAGAGAAGGAAAACAGGTTCACATCCCAAGAGAAGGACAACAGGATTCCATCCCAAGAGGACAACAGGTTCACATCCCAAGAGAAGGACAACAGGTTTACATCCCAAGAAAAGGACAACAGGTTTACAGCCAAGAAGGCAACAGGTTTATATCCTAAGAGAAGGACAACATGTTTATATCCTAAGAGAAGGGAAACAGGTTTATATCCTAAGAGAAGGACAACAGGTTTACATCCAAAGAGAAGGACAACAGGTTTACATCCCAAGAGAAGGACAACAAGTTTATATCCTAAGAGAAGGACAACAGGTTTACATCCCAAGAGAAGGACAACAGGTTGATATCCTAAGAGAAGGACAACAGGTTTACATCCAAGAAGGCAACAGGTTTACATCCAAGAAGGCAACAGTTTACATCCAAGAAGGCAACAGGATTACATTGCAATAGGCAGACATCAGGCTCTACAACCAACAAACCACAAGACAGACACGGAAACAATCCACAAGACAGACAAGGAAACAATCCACAAGACAGACAAGGAAACAATCCACAAGACAGACAAGGAAACAATCCACAAGACAGACAAGGAAACAATCCACAAGACAGACAAGGAAACAATCCACAAGACAGACAAGGAAACAATCCACAAGACAGACAAGGAAACAATCCACAAGACAGACAAGGAAACAATCCACAAGACAGACAAGGAAACAATCCACAAGACAGACAAGGAAACAATCCACAAGACAGACACAAAACAATCCACAAGACAGACAAGGAAACAATCCACAAGACAGACAAGGAAACAATCCACAAGACAGACAAGGAAACAATCCACAAGACAGACACGGAAACAATCCACAAGACAGACAAGGAAACAATCCACAAGACAGACAAGGAAACAATCCACAAGACAGACACGGAAACAATCCACAAGACAGACAAGGAAACAATCCACAAGACAGACAAGGAAACAATCCACAAGACAGACAAGGAAACAATCCACAAGACAGACACGGAAACAATCCACAAGACAGACAAGGAAACAATCCACAAGACAGACAAGGAAACAATCCACAAGACAGACAAGGAAACAATCCACAAGACAGACAAGGAAACAATCCACAAGACAGACAAGGAAACAATCCACAAGACAGACAAGGAAACAATCCACAAGACAGACAAGGAAACAATCCACAAGACAGACAAGGAAACAATCCACAAAGCAGACAACAGTTGCAAACAACAACTGCACAAGTGTCTGGGAAGACAATGAGAATCTAGGATTTGAGCCATCCTAATTTTCTCCCACTTGGTTTTTGGTCTAAAACAGGATATACAGTACTGCTTCAGCTTTCATCTGCTTGTCTGTGAAGGTCTACACAGAAATTATCCAGACTTCAAGAGAGTGTTTTATTTTATATACCTCTGGATGTGTTACCTAAAATAATCACAGACTTCCTGTTCCACTGAAACATTGTTATCATCATACAAGTCAAGTTAGCTTGTTGGTTTTCCTGACTGAGATCAAGGGTTTGCTCAATAATTGATTGTATTTACATGTTTGGTGAAAGGATCCACTCATAGTTCTGATCACTGATGTTCAGTGTTTGTAGATCTACTCAACATAAACACTGTCCCACGTTAACTGTCTGGTCAGCTCACCACAGCTACACGCACTAGTACAGTCCCCAAGCCATGTTTAATGACATTTAGCTGGTGGTGTTGACACAAGAGATTCCGAATCTACAGCCCAGCAACAGAGGAATGTCCCTCTGGTACTCTCACTGCAAGCACGACTCTCCTTCAATGATCAGCAATCAGGTTGTGCTATCAGCACAGATTATCTCAGGACAAGAAACACACCAAGATCACTGATTTGGCTTCACAGACACGAGGAATTATGGTTGAACACTGCAGTAGTCCTGGACCAGCAATGCCTTAAGCTCACTCCGTACTGTACGAGATCAAAGGGCAGTGTGGTACTGAACACTTGACCTACGGGACAGCTGTTTGGGAAACACTCCAACAACAACCACTACACTCAACACGCTTTCAGCCCATCTACATACTCACTACAACCAGTCCTATACTCACTACAACCAGTCCTATACTCACTACAACCAGTCCTATACTCACTACAACCAGTCCTATACTCACTACAACCAGTCCTATACTCACTACAACCAGTCCTATACTCACTACAACCAGTCCTATACTCACTACAACCAGTCCTATACTCACTACAACCAGTCATATACTCACCAGTCCTATACTCACTACAACCAGTCCTATACTCACTACAACCAGTCCTATACTCACTACAACCAGTCATATACTCACTACAACCAGTCCTATACTCACTACAACCAGTCATATACTCACTACAACCAGTCATATACTCACTACAACCAGTCATATACTAACATCTTGTCAATAACAGGGTCCCTGCTACTTTAAAAAAAGGGTCCTTCTATTTTGGACCCCAAATACTTCCCAAACAGGGTCCTTTTAATGTGGACCCTGATAAAGTCAAGACAGGGTCCTTCTAACTTGGATCCCAATACTTTGAAAACAAAATCCTTCTAACTTGGAACACAATACTTCCAAAACAGGACCCTTCTAACTTGGACCCCAATACTTAAAAAACAAGATCCTTCTAACTTGGACCCTGATACTGTCAAGACACAGTCCTCCTGATTTGGGCCACAATACCTCCAAGACAGGATCCTCCTAACTTGGACCACAATATCTCCAAAACAGGATCCTTCTAACTTGGACCACAATACTGAAAAGACAAGGTGCTACTCACATGGACAATATATCTTTCTTGTACTGCCATGATCAGACAACATACCTCACTGCCAGCAAGATGGGCCTTAACATCGAGCGGTGGATCCCGATCAGCCAACTGTGCTCGTGTCTTCTCCAACCAGCGGGTGATGTCAGCAATGTCGGTCTCATACTCCTCTATACGGGCGTGTGTGTTCTCCAGAGTTGACAGCCGATCCTGCACAGTGATGGACACCCTTGACACCCTCTGTGCCATGGTGTCCAGCTTGGCGGCGGCCGAGGATGTGTCGCTGAACTGACTAAGCTGCTTCACGGTCACATGGAGATTTCGCAGTTGAGTCTGGCTCTGTATGGACTCCTCTGATAGTCGCTATGGCAACAACAACAGCATGTCTCAGGGTAGGCATCAGATCACATATTATACATGTACATCAACACAGTAGGAGTCTGTGGATCTGTGATTACTGGTCACAGCACCAAGAAACATACAGGGCAGTGAGTATTCCATGTCCTGTCCAACACGCCTCTCCTGACACCGACATTCATGACCCTATCACTCTCGTCACCTGCTGAATCCTTCTCTCTGTGTCGTCCTGGTGTAACACAGATTTGGTTTCAGGCTTTTGAAACTCTATTGTGAATACTATAAAACTGTGAAAAGAGGTTAATTTCTTGATGGACAGTCTACAAAATAGTGCATCATTTCAGAGTGAGTGAGTTTAGTTTTATGCTCCACTCAGCAATATTCCAGCTATATGGTGGGGGTCTGTAAATTATCAAGTCTGGACCAGACAATCCAATGATCAACAGCATGAGCATCAGTCTACACAATTGGGATAGGATGACATGCGTCAACTAAGTCAGTGAGCCTGACCACGCTATCCCGTGCATCGCCTCTTACAACAATCATGGGTTACTGAAGATCAATTCCAACTCGGATCTTCACGGGTCGCACGGTTTCAGAGGGGGAAGGAAAAGAAGACGCAACAGAACACAACAGGAACTATTCTAGCATGTGTGAAAGTCTTCACTCATTTCAGGATTAAATTATAATCATTCAAATTATCTGAGATGAAATTTCAGTTCTGTCATTTTTAATAAGTATTTCTTATATCTGGATATACTTTGAATGTAGTTTTCACTGAAGGAAGATAATAATGCTTTGTAAACTAATACAACAATAAAACTTGATGGGATCTGGTCAACTTCTCTATGGATCACCATGTCTGGTCAAAACCATTTGATATTCTTAAGTGGCTCTATGACAGTATGATGATCAGTAACATACACCATATCTGTCTGGCAGAAGTGCAAAAGTGATCAGGGAACATGTTGATATTCATTAAGTGGCTCTACTTTAACCCGACAGTAACAACCGCAGTGATCAGGGAACATGTTGACCTTGTCACAACACACAACTAGGCTGTAACAACAGCAGTGATCAGGGAACATGTTGACCTTGTCACAACACACTACTAGGCTGTAACAACCGCAGTGATCAGGGAACATGTTGACCTTGTCACAACACACAACACCTTGTCACAACACACAACTAGGCTGTAACAACCGCAGTGATCAGGGAACATGTTGACCTTGTCACAACACACTACTAGGCTGTAACAACCGCAGTGATCAGGGAACATGTTGACCTTGTCACAGGGACATGTTGACCTTGTCACAACACACAACTAGGCTGTAACAACCGCAGTGATCAGGGAACATGTTGACCTTGTCACAACACACAACTAGGCTGTAACAACAGCAGTGATCAGGGAACATGTTGACCTTGTCACAACACACAACTAGGCTGTAACAACAGCAGTGATCAGGGAACATGTTGACCTTGTCACAACACACTACTAGGCTGTAACAACCGCGGTGATCAGGGAACATGTTGACCTTGTCACAACACACTACTAGGCTGTAACAACCGCGGTGATCAGGGAACATGTTGACCTTGTCACAACACACTACTAGGCTGCACACTTCACCCAGGAATTTACAGAAAGTTGAAATGTACACATTTTCTAGAAGTACCCCATCACTTGATGATGTCAAGCATGAATAATTACACATCACACGTGGATTATTGATGTCTGGTAAAATAAGATTTTGGATTTATTGAGTTTGAGATTGAGGCTTGCTGGACATGTAAAAGTCAGACACAAATTTGACTGATTTTGTCATGTGTAGTGCATGTGTAGTGATCTGCAGTCAAATCCAGCTCTGAACTGTGTTGTGTGGTGCCAGTAATTGGTTCATATTGTACACGATTCACACTTATTGGTCTGGCATCCTCTACTTGTATGTTTCCCTCTCTTTGGTGGCAGTGTGATGATAAAAGATTGTCAACAACTGACAAAGGATTGTGCATCATATTGAAAAAGTGTTTTAGAATTTTATCTACTTTAATATGAAAGTTGCGAATTTCTGTTTTGAGAAACTTTGTGGATCTGGCATGTATTTGAAACAAACTGTTCACCTAAAACAACATCAAGCACGTCATGAAGAGACATTTTTAACTTGGCCTGGAATTGACACTTCAGTCTTTTGGTCCTATATCATTGTATTTCTTTTCTGGGCAGTATAAATCTTAGGGGAATTAAAACACCCACCCCGCCCCGACACAATTCACCTACATGACTGACCATCAGCGACACGACCTGTACCGGTTAAATGTTTGACTTGGGCACTTAACCCCACACACGGACAACAATGACAGCCCTCACCAGGACACTGTGACAGGAGATCGGCACGCAATGTGCCATTCTTCCAGACACTCAGGCAGCGAGGGTCTTCCTTGCATGACAAGCCAGGGGGCTGTGATGCGCATCATTAGCTACATTGTACAGATGAAACCCTAAACACCGAGCCTCATAAGGCAATCAGATCTGCTGCCACAAACACACAGGGGAATGCAGGAATAGGCAGAGACTGTATTTACTCAACAGGAATAAACATTAATACAGGTGACGATCACACAGGATCTGTTAGGTAATATTGGATTCGCCTTGGATGAATGAATGAACGAGTTAATGAATGAACAAATGAATGAATGAACAAATGAATGAATGAACAAATGAATGAATGAACAAATGAATGAATGAACAAACAAATGAATGGATGAACAAATGAATGAATGGATGAACAAACGAGGGAATGAATGAATGAATGAATGAATGAATGAATGAATGACGTGGTTAACAAATCCAGTATGAAGGTTTCAAAAACTCCAACAGGTCCATGTACATACATGAAAAGTTTTCAGAGAGACTGCAATATTTCCTGGCAATCTGACAAAAGTGAGGCATGAGGTAACCTACCTGGAAAGTCTTTAGTTCCTCGTTGACTGTCTCAAAGTCAGTCCAGCTGAGTTCTGCACTGCTGATGGCCTCTGCCTCCCTCAGCCATGTTGTCACTGATGCTGCACCATCACCATACAACGTTGTCAGTCGTGATGCTTCCTGGAGGTGCTGACTCCTCTCCCGTACTCGAGACTGTGTCGCTGAAAACTGGCGGTTCACTTCCGCGAGGCTGCTCTGGATGCGGGACTTCTCGGCAGGGTCCGGGGTGTGCTGGATGAGGGCGCTGCCTGTTCCTCTCACAGCGTCAAGGTGGGTCTGGAACTCTGGGATCTCTCCAAGCAGGGCCTGTGGGGAATCAGTACAGGTGAGACCAAGACTAGCAGACAGTGGGGTGTTTAAATCAGTTTGGCAAGTCCTGACAGGTAGGCAGTGTTGGTGACACACTAGCTCACAGACCGTGGCAGCTAGGCAGTGAGCACACACACACACAGGGAGTGAACGCTGGAACTACAGGTAGTCTGCAGTCACAGGATCCATGGTGACAGACCTACCGTTATCTAAACCTCTCTTTCTGGCATGGTGCCAACATCATAGACTCCATATACAGCACAAACACTTTCAGCGTAAATCATTAAACCAAAGCTCTGCTGAAAGTCGATACCATACATCGATACCTTGACAGGTTCAAATTTTAAATTAAAGTGTATTCGTATGCCAGGCACATGCTGACTTGCGACTGTGTGGACATTAGGTATAGTTGTTAACAAAGAACAATGTTTATCTGAGGCTTGATCAAACATTAAAGTTGCTGAGTGAAAGGCCACAGAGACCCTTATCGTAGTGAATGGTATATGGGGGGGTAGTCACTGATCAATAGAGCAGCAATCACTCCAACACTCGCTCGTACGGCCATAAATCAAACAATGGCTTGAGGGGCCGGGTGTAGCAGGAGATTGTGCTTACCTTACAAGGACAACTGGCAGGTTGTGTGTAGCAGTATTAGGACCAAGTACGTGGACAGAATAACATGTGGAATGAATGATGACCAGGGTGGACTGATGTGGGGTGGAGGATGGACTGATGTGAGGTGAAGGGTGGACTGATGTGAGGTGAAGGGTGGACTGATGTGAGGTGAAGGGTGGACTGATGTGAGGTGAAGAGTGGACTGATGTGGAGTGGAGGGTGGACTAATGTGAGGTGAAGGGTGGACTAATGTGAGGTGAAGGGTGGACTAATGTGAGGTGAAGGGTGGACTAATGTGAGGTGAACGGTGGACTGATGTGAGGTGAAGGGTGAACTAATGTGAGGTGAAGGGTGGACTGATGTGAGGTGAAGGGTGGACTGATGTGAGGTGAAGGGTGGACTGATGTGAGGTGAAGGGTGGACTGATGTGAGGTGAAGAGGTGGACTGAAGTGGAGTGGAGGGTGGACTGATGTGGGGTGAAGGGTGGACTGATGTGAGGTGAAGGGTGGAATAATGTGAGGTGAACGGTGGACTAATGTGAGGTGAAGGGTGGACTAATGTGAGGTGAACGGTGGACTGATGTGAGGTGAAGGGTGGACTAATGTGAGGTGAAGGGTGGACTGATGTGAGGTGAAGGGTGGACTGAGCTAGGGCAGGTACACACAGAGCTAGGGCAGGTACACACAGAGCTAGGAGAGGTACACACAGAGCTAGGGCAGGTATACACAGAGCTAGGGCAGGTATACACAGAGCTAGGACAGGTATACACAGAGCTAGGACAGGTACACACAGAGCTAGGATAGGTATACACAGAGCTAGTGCAGGTACACACAGAGCTAGGGCAGGTATACACAGAGCTAGGGCAGGTACACACAGAGCTAGGACAGGTACACAGAGCTAAGACAGGTATACACAGAGCTAGAACAGGTATACACAGAGCTAGGACATGCACACACAGAGCTAGGATACGTACACACAGCTTGGGCAGGTACACACAGCTAGGACAGGTATACACAGAGCTAGGGCAGGTACACACAGAGCTAGGGCAGGTACACAGAGCCTAAGACAAGTAGAGCTAGGACAGGTACACACAAGAGAGCAAGGATAGGTATACACAGAGCTAGGGCATGTACACAGAGAGCTAGGACAGGTATACACAGAGCTAGGGCAGGTACACAGAGAGCTAAGACAAGTATACACAGAGCTAGGACAGGTACACACAGAGCTAGGACATGCACACACAGAGCTAGGATAGGTACACAGAGAGCAAGGATAGGTATACACAGAGCTAGGGCAGGTACACACAGAGCTAGGACATGCACACACAGAGCTAGGATAGGTACACAGAGAGCTAGGACAGGTATACACAGAGCTAGGGCAGGTACACACAGAGCTAAGACAAGTATACACAGAGCTAGGACAGGTACACACAGAGCTAGGGTGGGTATACACAGAGCTAGGGCAGGTACACACAGAGCTAGGACATGCACACACAGAGCTAGGATAGGTACACAGAGAGCAAGGATAGGTATACACAGAGCTAGGGCAGGTACACACAGAGCTAGGACATGCACACACAGAGCTAGCATAGGTACACAGAGAGCAAGGATAGGTATACACAGAGCTAGGGCAGGTACACAGAGAGCTAGGACAGGTATACACAGAGCTAGGATAGGTACACAGAGAGCAAGGATAGGTATACACAGAGCTAGGGCAGGTACACACAGAGCTAAGACAAGTATACACAGAGCTAGGACAGGTACACACAGAGCTAGGGCAGGTATACACAGAGCTAGGGCAGGTACACACAGAGCTAGGACATGCACACACAGAGCTAGGATAGGTACACAGAGAGCAAGGATAGGTATACACAGAGCTAGGGCAGGTACACAGAGAGCTAGGACAGGTATACACAGCTAGGGCAGGGACACAGAGAGCTAGGACAGGTATACACAGAGCTAGGGCAGGTATACACAGAGCTAGGACAGGTACACAGAGAGCTAAGACAGGTACACACAGAGCTAAGAAAGGTATACACAGAGAAAGGACAGGTATACACAGAGCTAGGACAGGTATACAGGCACACACAGAGCAAGGACAGGTATAGACAGCTAGGGCAGGTACACACAGAGCTAGGATAGGTATACACAGAGCTAGGGCAGGTACACACAGAGCTAGGACAGGTATACACAGAGCTGGGACAGGTATACACAGAGCTGGGGCAGGTACACACAGAGCTAGGGCAGGTACACACAGAGCTAGGACAGGTATACACAGAGCTAGGACAGGTATACACAGAGCTAGGACAGGTATACACAGAGCTAGGGCAGGTACACACAGAGCTAGGACAGGTATACACAGAGCTAGGACAGGTATACACAGAGCTAAGATAGGTACACATAGAGCTAGGGCAGGTACACACAGAGCTAGGGCAGGTACACACAGAGCTAGGGCAGGTACACACAGAGCTAGGACAGGTATACACAGAGCTAGGACAGGTACACACAGAGCTAGGACAGGTACACACAGAGCTAGGACAGGTACACTCAGAGCTAGGATAGGTACACAGAGCTAGGACAGGTACACACAGAGCTAGGACAGGTACACCGAGAGCTAGGACAGGTACACAGAGCTAGGACAGGTACACACAGAGTTAGGACAGGTACACACAGAGCTAGGACAGGTACACACAGAGCTAGGACAGGCACACAGAGCTAGGACAGGTATACACAGAGCTAGGACAGGTACACACAGAGGTAGGACAGGTACACAGAGCTAGGACAGGTATACACAGAGCTAGGACAGGTACACACAGAGCTAGGGCAGGTACACACACAGAGCTAGGACAGGTACACACAGAGCTAGGACACACATAGTACACACAGAGCTAGGACAGGTACACACAGGACAGCTAGGGCAGGTACACACAGAGCTAGGGCAGGTACACACAGAGCTAGGGCAGGTACACACAGAGCAAGGACAGGTATACACAGCTAGGGCAGGTACACACAGAGCTAGGGCAGGTACACACAGAGCTAGGGCAGGTACACACAGAGCTAGGGCAGGTACACACAGCACTAGGGCAGGTACACCGAGGTAATCCCCTGCCCTGGACTTGATAGATTACTACGGATGTTTGTGTGAGGTGACGAGGACTCAATGGATTACTCCCTGCTTATACCTAGCACAGTGAGAGGTGTTTTGAGTCAGAGTCTACAGCAACAGGAACAAAGAGCAGGCTAAGAGAGGTCAACACAACACACTCACTAATGGAATCTTGGACATTTGTGTCAGTGTAGAGTAAGAGGATAGAGGATTGTCAGGTCGTTCACAGAATGACATCTACATACATAACGTATACACTACAAAGGAAGCCTTCATTGCAGGTGCTTGCAATTTCCATGCTTCTTTGTGAGACATTCATTGTAATGTCTACCGATTCGACAGATCAGTGAATACATCACAACACAATGGCAGATTCATACAGTACATGTCTGCGGTCTCAATACAGCTTCTGTCGGAACCCTGAATCACATCAATAATTGATGAAGTGCTTGAAGCCATAACACTGATATTTACGTTGACACAAAGCACAACTACACCAAACCAACAGTATCTGTCCACACAAGATGAACCTGACAGTAAGTTGATAGGCTCACAAGCCTTGATTGCAATGTCCAAATTGTCCCACTGGCAATGTCCTAATAGTCACACTGGTAATGTCCTAATTGTCACACTGGCAAAGTCCTAATTGTCACACTGGCAAAGTCCTAATTGTCACACTGGCAAAGTCCTAATTGTCACACTGGCAATGTCCTAATTGTCACACTGGACTTGTACATTGGCAATGTCCTAATAGTCACACTGGCAATGTCCTAATTGTCCCACGGGCAATGTCTTAACTGTCCCACTGGCAGTGTCCTAATTGTCACATTGGCAATGTCTTAATAGTCACACAGGTAACGTTCTAATAGTCATACTGGCTATGTCCTAAATGTCATACTTGCTATGTCCTAAATGTCATACTGGCTATGTCCTAAATGTCATACTGGCTATGTACTAAATGTCACACTGGTAATGTCCTAATAGTCACACTGGCAATGTCTTAATAGTCACACAGGTAACGTTCTAATAGTCATACTGGCTATGTCCTAAATGTCATACTGGCTATGTCCTAATCATACTGGCTATGTCCTAATAGTCATACTGGCTATGTCCTAAATGTCATACTGGCTATGTCCAAAATGTCATACTGGCAATGTCTTAATTGTCATACTGGCAATGTCCTAATAGTCACACTGGCAATGTCCTAATAGTCACACTGGCTATGTCCTAATTGACCCACTGGAAATGTCCTAATTGACACACTGGTAATGTCCTAATTGTCACACTGGCAAGGTCCTAATAGTCATACTGGCTATGTCCTAAATGTAATACTGGCAATGTCCTAATAGTCCCACTGGCAATGTCCTAATTGGCCCACTGGCAATGTCCTAATTGACCCACTGGCAATGTCCTAATTGTGACACTTAGCAGTGACAAAGACTGAGATGGAGACATGACATACAGCAAGACCAATGTCCTGAAATTAGACACTGAACTGACTTCACCTGACACAGAAGTTTGTCCTAGTCTGGGGTCGACTAACTGACTTCACCTGTGATAGACGTTGTTGTAGTCTGGGACTAACTGACTTCACCTGTGATAGACTTTGTTGTAGTCTGGACTAACTGACTTCACCTGTGATAGACTTTGTTGTAGTCTGGACTAACTTACTGACATCACCTGTGATAGACTTTGTTGTAGTCTGGGGTCGACTTACTGACATCACCTGTGATAGACTTTGTTGTAGTCTGGGGTCGACTAACTGACTTCACCTGTGATAGACTTTGTTGTAGTCTGGGACTAACTGACTTCACCTGTGATAGACTTTGTTGTAGTCTGGACTAACTGACTTCACCTGTGATAGACTTTGTTGTAGTCTGGGGTCGACTTACTGACATCACGTGTGATAGACTTTGTTGTAGTCTGGGGTCGACTTACTGACATCACCTGTGATAGACTTTGTTGTAGTCTGGGGTCGACTAACTGACTTCACCTGTGATAGACTTTGTTGTAGTCTGGGGTCGACTTACTGACATCACCTGTGATAGACTTTGTTGTAGTCTGGACTAACTGACTTCACCTGTGATAGACTTTGTTGTAGTCTGGGGTTGACTAACTGACTTCACCTGTGATAGACGTTGTTGTAGTCTGGGACTAACTGACTTCACCTGATATAGACTTTGTTGTAGTCTGGGGTCGACTAACTGATTTCACCTGTGGCAATGTCCTAATAGTCACACTGGCAATGTCTTAATAGTCACACAGGTAATGTTCTAATAGTCATACTGGCTATGTCCTAAATGTCATACTTGCTATGTCCTAAATGTCATACTGGCTATGTCCTAAATGTCACACTGGTAATGTCCTAATTGTCATACTGGCACTGTACTAACAGTAACACTGGCAATGCCCTAATTGTCACACTGGCAATGTCCTATTAGTCATACTGGCTATGTCCTGATAGTCATACTGGCTATGTCCTAATAGTCATACTGGCTATGTCCTAAATGTCATACTGGCTATGTCCTAAATGTCATACTGGCTAGGTCCTAAATGTCATACTGGCTATGTCCTAAATGTCACACTGGTAATGTCCTAATTGTCATACTGGCACTGTACTAACAGTAACACTGGCAATGCCCTAATAGTCATACTGGCTATGTCCTAAATGTCATACTGGCTATGTCCTAAATGTCATACTGGCAATGTCTTGTCACACTGGTAATGTCCTAATAGTCATACTGGCAATGTCCTAATAGTCATACTGGCTATGTCCTAAATGTCATACTGGCTATGTCCTAAATGTCATACTGGCTTTGTCCTAATAGTCACACTGGCAATGTCCTAATAGTCACACTGGCTATGTTCTAAATGTCATACTGGCAATGTCCTAATTGTCACACTGGTAATGTCCTAATTGTCACACTGGCAAGGTCCTAATAGTCATACTGGCTATGTCCTAAATGTAATACTGGCAATGTCCTAATAGTCCCACTGGTAATGTCCTAATTGGCCCACTGGCAATGTCCTAATAGTCCCACTGGCAATGTCCTAATTGGCCCACTGGCAATGTCCTAATTGACCCACTGGCAATGTCCTAATTGTGACACTTAGCAGTGACAAAGACTGAGATGGAGACATGACATACAGCAAGACCAATGTCCTGAAATTAGACACTGAACTGACTTCACCTGACACAGAAGTTTGTCCTAGTCTGGGGTCGACTAACTGACTTCACCTGTGATAGACGTTGTTGTAGTCTGGGACTAACTGACTTCACCTGTGATAGACTTTGCTGTAGTCTGGACTAACTGACTTCACCTGTGATAGACTTTGTTGTAGTCTGGGGTCGACTTACTGACTTCACCTGTGATAGACTTTGTTGTAGTCTGGGGTCGACTAACTGATTTCACGTGTGATAGACTTTGTTGTAGTCTGGGGTCGACTTACTGACATCACCTGTGATAGACTTTGTTGTAGTCTGGGACTAACTGACTTCACCTGTGAAACAGACATTGCCACACATTGTGTTCATATGAAGTGTGCAGGTCCTACCTCGTGCTCCTGTTTACTGTTATCCAGGTTGGGTATTTGTTTCCTCAAGGTAGCATCTGCTCGTGTCAGCCATTGTGTCACTAGCTCCATCTGGGTCTGGTACTGCTCACGATCTTCTCTCAGATTCAGAAGTTCCTCTTCCTTTGACTGCAATGTGTCTGTGATGCTTGCCTCCAGCTCCCTGATCTGTGCCATCTCCACACGCAGCGACTCAGGTAGTTGCTTCCCTTGAGCGCTATATTTAGCTTCCTGCACCTGCACAATGCGGTGGAACTGCTGGATCCGAGTTCTGACATCTTGCTGAAGAACCTGCAACAAAGGAGTGATAAGTAAAGAAATACTAGTGTACTGTCTGAAGGCGACTATATATTACAGATGTATTTGTTGTGTGGTTAGAGAACTTCTTGTTACGTACCTTGTATCTCTGTAAGCTGTCTGAAGGCGACTATATATTACAGATGTATTTGTTGTGTTGTTAGAGAACTTCTTGTTACGTACCTTGTATCTCTGTAAGCTGTCTGCTGTGTGTGTCTGATCCGGGCCCTTGTGGAGTTGCATCAACTCCTCCTGGGTGTGAGTGAACAATGTCATTGTCTGTGTGATCTCTGTCAGGTATGACTGTTGATCCTCCTGGTCTTCACGGGCAGACATCAGCTCGTTCCGCACTTCATCACGTAGTCTGCAAAACACATGAACATTATATTTCTCTCACACATGGGTCACACACTAACATTATATTTCTATCACACATGGATCACACATGAACATTATATTTCTATCACACATGGATCACACGTGAATATTATAGTCCTCTCACACACATCATATTCTCTCACATATGGATCACACGTGACCATTATATCCCTCTCTTACATGAACATAATATTCCTCTCACACATGAACATTATATTCCTCTCACAAATGAACATAATATTCCTCTCACACATGAACATAATATTTCTCTCACACATGAACATAATATTTCTCTCACACATGAACACTGTATTTTTCTCACACATGGATCACACATGAACATTATATTTCTCTCACACATGAAACATATTAAACATATTCCTCTCACACATGAACATTATATTTCTCTCACATATGGATCACACATGAACATATGTTTTTCTCACATATGGATCACACATGAACAGATGTTTTTCTCACATATGGATCACACATGAACATTATATTTTCTCACACATGAAACATATTAAACATATTCCTCTCACAAATGAACATTATATCTCTCTCACATATGGATCACACATGAACATATGTTTTTCTCACAGTCAGTACATCGTGCATCTCCCTTGTTTCTCCTCACCTCTCAAATTTCTCCTGAGCTGAGAGCAGACTGTTGTGACTCGAGACTCTTGCTTCAGCTGTGGGCAGACTACGCTGTAGAGTTGTACTGGATCTCTGCAGAACATCAAGTCTGGTCTCGGAACTTGACAGTGTGAGGCTCAACTCCTGGATAACAAACATTTTGTCAGGTTAGCTACTGAACAACAGTCATCATTGTCGATAATTCTCTGAATTCTACACGACATCGCTGCCATAAAACTGTATTTAGAACTTCAATCACACTAAAACCAAATGACAGATTTTCAACAGAAGTCTCCTTCAATTTCAATTCTATTCAATATATTCCCTGCTACTGTGTCCTGTACAAGTCACCAGCTGCCTCCCTGTAGAGGAGGATGTATGTATGTGATATATTCCCTGCTACTGTGTCCTGTACAAGTCACCAGCTGCCTCCCTGTAGAGGAGGATGTATGTATGTGATATATTCCCTGCTACTGTGTCCTGTACAAGTAACCTGTGCCTCCCTGTAGAGGGAGGATGTATGTACATAGTCCCTGCTAGCCTGTACAAGTCACCAGCTGCCTCCCTGTAGAGGAGGGAGGATGTGTATGTATGTGATATATTCCCTGCTACTGTGTCCTGTACAAGGATCACCAGTGATATATTCCTGCTACTGTGTCCTGTGCCTCCCTGTAGAGGAGGAGGATGTATGTATGTGATATATTCCCTGCTACTGTGTCCTGTACATGTGATATATTCCCTGCTACTGTGTCACCACCAGCTGCCTCCCTGTAGAGGAGGATGTATGTATGTGATATATTCCCTGCTACTGTGTCCTGTACAAGTCACCAGCTGCCTCCCTGTAGAGGAGGATGTGTATGTATGTGATATATTCCCTGCTACTGTGTCCTGTACAAGTCACCAGCTGCCTCCCTGTAGAGGAGGAGGATGTATGTATGTGATATATTCCCTGCTACTGTGTCCTGTACAAGTCACCAGCTGCCTCCCTGTAGAGGAGGATGTATGTATGTGATATATTCCCTGCTACTGTGTCCTGTACAAGTCACCAGCTGCCTCCCTGTAGAGGAGGATGTATGTATGTGATATATTCCCTGCTACTGTGTCCTGTACAAGTCACCAGCTGCCTCCCTGTAGAGGAGGATGTATGTATGTGATATATTCCCTGCTACTGTGTCCTGTACAAGTCACCAGCTGCCTCCCTGTAGAGGAGGATGTATGTATGTGATATATTCCCTGCTACTGTGTCCTGTACAAGCCACCAGAGGAAACAAGGTTGTGGATACTGTCACCATGACTACCACACAGTTACCTCCCCTTATCTATGTAGTGTACGGTTGAAAGCAAGAGCTCACCTGAAGGATGGTGATGTAGGTGTTGAGGTCGTCAGCGTCACGGGCATGTCTCGCTGCATCAAGCTTGTCCTGGACATCCTGCAGGGTGACTTCCATCTTCTCCAGGTCAGAGGCGTAGTCCGTCCACTGATTGCCTGTCTCCTGCAACACAAGCATCTCCTGGTGACTTCACCACGGCAGCAGCCAGACAAACAGGTAGCTGATTAAGTTCATAGTTATCTAGTACAGTGCTGCACTCTTTCAACCTGGTGTTGTGAACCACAGCAAGCCGACCTGGAGAAAGAGCACTCTAACTATATGAAGGTGGGTTGATAAGGATAAGGCAGTCCACACAGACTAGACATAGTTTTACTACAAACTGGAACTGAATAAAATGGAAGAAAATGTAAACAATGTCTGAGGCTAAGGACCACTGACACAAGGTCATCACTACTTCTCAAGAAAACACAATGCCTGAGGCTAAGGACCACTGACACAAGGTCATCACTACTTCTCAAGAAAACACAATGCCTGAGGCTAAGGACCACTGACACAAGGTCATCACTACTTCTCAAGAAAACACAATGCCTGAGGCTAAGGACCACTGACACAAGGTCATCACTACTTCTCAAGAAAACACAATGCCTGAGGCTAAGGACCACTGACACAAGGTCATCACTACTTCTCAAGAAAACACAATGCCTGAGGCTAAGGACCACTGACACAAGGTCATCACTACTTCTCAAGAAAACACAATGCCTGAGGCTAAGGACCACTGACACAAGGTCATCACTACTTCTCAAGAAAACACAATGCCTGAGGCTAAGGACCACTGACACAAGGTCATCACTACTTCTCAAGAAAACACAATGCCTGAGGCTAAGGACCACTGACACAAGGTCATCACTACTTCTCAAGAAAACACAATGCCTGAGGCTAAGGACCACTGACACAAGGTCATCACTACTTCTCAAGAAAACACAATGCCTGAGGCTAAGGACCACTGACACAAGGTCATCACTACTTCTCAAGAAAACACAATGCCTGAGGCTAAGGACCACTGACACAAGGTCATCACTACTTCTCTAAGAAAACAAGGTCATCACTACTTCTCAAGAAAACACAATGCCTGAGGCTAAGGACCACTGACACAAGGTCATCACTACTTCTCAAGAAAACACAATGCCTGAGGCTAAGGACCACTGACACAAGGTCATCACTACTTCTCAAGAAAACACAATGTCTGAGGCTAAGGACCACTGACACAAGGTCATCACTGACTTCTCAAGAAAACACAATGCCTGAGGCTAAGGACCACTGACACAAGGTCATCACTACTTCTCAAGAAAACACAATGCCTGAGGCTAAGGACCACTGACACAAGGTCATCACTACTTCTCAAGAAAACACAATGCCTGAGGCTAAGGACCACTGACACAAGGTCATCACTACTTCTCAAGAAAACACAATGCCTGAGGCTAAGGACCACTGACACAAGGTCATCACTACTTCTCAAGAAAACACAATGCCTGAGGCTAAGGACCACTGACACAAGGTCATCACTACTTCTCAAGAAAACACAATGTCTGAGGCTAAGGACCACTGACACAAGGTCATCACTACTTCTCAAGAAAACACAATGCCTGAGGCTAAGGACCACTGACACAAGGTCATCACTACTTCTCAAGAAAACACAATGCCTGAGGCTAAGGACCACTGACACAAGGTCATCACTACTTCTCAAGAAAACACAATGCCTGAGGCTAAGGACCACTGAGGACCACTGACAACTTCTCAAGAAAACACAATGCCTGAGGCTAAGGACCACTGACACAAGGTCATCACTACTTCTCAAGAAAACACAATGCCTGAGGCTAAGGACCACTGACACAAGGTCATCACTACTTCTCAAGAAAACACAATGCCTGAGGCTAAGGACCACTGACACAAGGTCATCACTACTTCTCAAGAAAACACAATGCCTGAGGCTAAGGACCACTGACACAAGGTCATCACTACTTCTCAAGAAAACACAATGTCTGAGGCTAAGGAGCTTGTGGACCCAATGTTTACCTGGACATTCAACAGTTTAGCCTCCATCTGTGCAACAAGGGTGTTCCAGCGACTGTTTATGCTGGAGGTGTGTTTGTTGATGAGGGAGCGGCTGTTGGAGTTGGCAACACGGTCCAAGGAACGGGCGTGGTCATTGAGTTCATCCACCGCTGGTCGGCACTGGGACTCCATCACTGTTTGGATGTTCTACAAGTGGAGCATTGGTATCACGAACCCGAGCATGTACAGAACACCAGACACAGACACAGATCTCACAGACCAGAGCATGTACAGAACAACAGACACAATCACAGATCTAACAGACCAGAGCATGTACAGAACACCAGACAACAGTGTTGAGTTTCATAGCTCTGACAAGACAGAAAGTTATTTAAGAAACATCAGTAGGAAAACTTCATTTTGCAGATACATGGACAAACATGGAGGAAATGAGCAAACCTTGGTGTTGTGGAGTGCCAGCTCCAGATCCTGTGGAGTACCAATGGCCATCTTGTCGACCTCCGCCATCTGCGTCTCCAGCCCCTCCAGAGTCAGATGAAGGTCCTGGTGGGCAGCCTGAAGCAATCGCATGTATGGGTATATATTCAGAAATACGAGGGGATATCAAAAAAGTTATAATTATCGCCATGAATTTATTGAGAAATTATGACAAACATTTGAAGGTAACATCAGTGATCCTTATTTAGTTGATGGACCAAAATCTATTTACATCACTATATTTAATCTTGTGCTAGTTGATCCAAAACATGAGTAACCCCATGCCTGGAGAAAATTGTGGCACTTGAAGGGTTGCACTGCCCGACAGATTCACGAGGAGATGAAATCTGTTTGTGGTGAATGAAGATAGTTCATCTTATGATACTGTTGTGAGATGGAAAAGGCATTTTCAAACCAGTCATATGTCCCTCACAGTTGAGCCAGGATGTGCACTCTGTTTTAACGATACCAATGAGGCCATTGAAGAGGTGGAGGGTTGGTTTTCAATGAAATCAGGGGGTCTATTCAAGCAATCTGCACATGGTCAAGAAATGTTGGGAGAAATGTGTCACTCTGGATGGTGACTATGTAGAGAAGTCTTAAGGACAAGAAATCAGTATAAAGTTTCTACCCTGAATACGTCTTGGTGATAATTAGAAAATTGTTTGATACCCCTATTACCTGACTAAAGTATCCTCTCTTTCCAGTTTTGCAAACTATTATCCAATCTGGATGATCTTTCCAGTTTCCACAATCACACACTCTTAATCTCAACAATCCTGCTCCCCATGGCTGGCTGACATCAACCCTCGTACAGGTGGTCTACCTTGAACACCTTCCACTCTGATGCCTTAATCTCCAGTGTTATAAAGGCAGGTGACCAGACTTAACGTTCTACTACCTGGAACACCTTCCACTCTGATGCCTTAATCTCCAGTGTTATAAAGACAGGTGACCAGACTTAACGTTCTACCTACCTGGAACACCTTCCACTCTGATGCCTTAATCTCCAGTGTTATAAAGGCAGGTGACCAGACTTAACGTTCTACTACCTGGAACACCTTCCACTCTGATGCCTTAATCTCCAGTGTTATAAAGGCAGGTGACCAGACTTAACGTTCTACCTACCTGGAACACCTTCCACTCTGATGCCTTAATCTCCAGCTGTTCCTGTTTGCTCTGTGCCGTGGAGATGACAGACACCAGTTTCTTGTTGGTGCTGGTGAGTGACTGCTGGAGAGTGGTCTTGTCGTTGGTGTCCAGTGTGGGAAGCAACTTGTCCGACAGCTCCATCACTTGCTCCATCTCATCCTGGCACAGGCTGGCCTCCGAGAAGTAGTCCTACACAGACACGACCTCATTATTCAAACAATCGTGTTACAACTGTCCTGCTCTCCGAGAAGTAGTCCTACACATACACAACCTCATTATTCAAACAATCGTGTTACAGCTGTCCTGCTCTCTGAGAAGTAGTCCTACACAGACACGACCTCATTATTCAAACAATCGTGTTACAGCTGTCCTGCCCTCCGAGAAGTAGTCCTACACAGACACGACCTCATTATTCAAACAATCGTGTTACAGCTGTCCTGCCCTCCGAGAAGTAGTCCTACACAGACACGACCTCATTATTCAAACAATCGTGTTACAGCTGTCCTGCCCTCCGAGAAGTAGTCCTACACAGACACGACCTCATTAATCAAACAATCGTGTTACAGCTGTCCTGCTCTCTGACAAGTAGTCCTACACAGACACGACCTCATTATTCAAACAATTCGTGTTACAGCTGTCCTGCTCTCTCTGAGAAGTAGTCCTACACAGACACGACCTCATTATTCAAACAATCGTGTTACAACTGTCCTGCCCTCCGAGAAGTAGTCCTACACAGACACGACCTCATTAATCAAACAATCGTGTTACAGCTGTCCTGCTCTCTGACAAGTAGTCCTACAATGACACGACCTCATTATTCAAACAATCTTGTTACAACTGTCCTGCTCTCTGACAAGTAGTCCTACAATGACACGACCTCATTATTCAAACAATCGTGTTACAGCTGTCCTGCTCTCTGACAAGTAGTCCTACACAGACACGACCTCATTATTCAAACAATCGTGTTACAGCTGTCCTGCTCTCTGACAAGTAGTCCTACAATGACACTACCTCATTATTCAAACAATCGTATTACAACTGTCCTGCTCTCTGACAAGTAGTCCTACAATGACACGACCTCATTATTCAAACAATCTTGTTACAACTGTCCTGCTCTCTGACAAGTAGTCCTACAATGACACGACCTCATTATTCAAACAATCTTGTTACAACTGTCCTGCTCTCTGACAAGTAGTCCTACAATGACCTGCTCTCTGACAAGTACCTCATTATTCAAACAATCTTGTTACAGCTGTCCTGCTCTCTGACAAGTAGTCCTACAATGACACGACCTCATTATTCAAACAATCGTATTACAACTGTCCTGCTCTCTGACAAGTAGTCCTACAATGACACGACCTCATTATTCAAACAATCGTATTACAACTGTCCTGCTCTCTGACAAGTAGTCCTACAATGACACGACCTTTCTTCTTCCTCCTTTCCTTGGAACCAGTATAATCTGATACTAGCTTTCCAATAAATTCAAATAATTTCAGAATACTGTTCAAACTGACCATTTATTTTGTCAGCATATTATGTTTGTCAGCATATTGTATCAAGTCAATGTGTTGTGCAAACTGACCATATATTCTGAGAGAGTGTTGTTGAGCAAACTGACCGTATATTCTGAGAGAGTGTTGTTGATCGTGTCATAGTCAAGGCCATCGTAGCCAGAGTCCAACATGTCCTCAGCCCCGTGTAGCCACTCTGTCACCTGGCGCATGGAGTTCTCGTACTGGACGCGGTCGGCCTTGGCTTCCACCAGGTACTGCTCCTTCTTCTCAATGGCATCCTGTGCAGGAGCAACCAACAGTCATCAACGTGCAGCAGCTGGGTTTTGTTCCAGTGTTCATGACAGATGAATTATGTATAAAATGCTCGTACGTCTGAGTTTTTTAAAAGGGAAACTGGTTTACCAATGTCAAATTATTTACACTACCATATTAATTAAGCTGTGCTAGTCATATTAAGCCATATTTGGTCATCCACATCGAGTAGCCTACACCCTCCCAGGTATGCATGTCTCACATCCAGTAGCCTACACCCTCCCAGGTAGGCATGTCTCTCATCCAGTAGCCTACACCCTCCCAGGTAGGCATGTCTCTCAGTAGCTATGCAGGTAGGCATGTCCTCATACAGTAGCCCCACCCAGGTAGCATGTCTCACCCTACACAGGTAGGCATGTCTCACATCCAGTAGCCTACACCCTCCCAGGTAGGCATGTCTCTCATCCAGTAGCCTACACCCTCCCAGGTAGGCATGTCTCTCATCCAGTAGCCTACACCCTCCCAGGTAGGCATGTCTCTCATCCAGTAGCCTACACCCTCCCAGGTAGGCATGTCTCACATCCAGTAGCCTACACCCTCCCAGGTAGGCATGTCTCACATCCAGTAGCCTACATCCCCCCAGGTAGGTATGTCCCAGGTCTAGTAGCCTACACCCTCCTTCCAACAAAGGGACATATCCTAATAACTTAAGGTGTACCTTGATCGAGTCCTCCAGACTATGGATCTGGCTGAGCTTCTCGTTTAAGGCCACAGGGATGACTTCCTGCAGTTCATCATAGTGCTGCTTCTCCATCTCAGCCTTCTCTCGGATCACACTCAGCCTCTCCAGAGCCTTGCTGGACATTGTCTACAAACACACATTCAATCCACTTGTGGATGTTTTCTTTGACAGACCAATGGATAGAGAATGTGTGCAAATGAGTATGTTTATACTGATTCCACTGATTCTCAAGCTACACTACAACAGCAACCTTATGTAAATGATGGACAATCATCTTTAATTTGAAATATGCTGAATGAATAGGAGTGAGCTTGGGTTTCCAAAGTTGTGTAGCAATATCTAAACAGTATCATTGTGGCACCACCTACATTGAGCATCACACATTGTACCCAGTTTAACATTTGGATACACATCCCAACATTGTTGGACACACATCCCAAGTGCAGTTCATCAGATTCCACAACCATCATCTCCTGCTTACCTGGTGTTTGCTGAGGACAGGGTTCACTTTGACGGAGTCGAGGTTCAGCGCACCCCTTGATGCCAGGATGTCTTCCTTCTGCTCCAGCCAGGCAATGGTCGACCCAACCATTTCCTCAAAATCTTCTCGTTCCTGCTGTAGTTGCTCACACTGCTGCTTCCTCGAGTCCACCTCAGTCAGCACGTCCTTCACCTTGTCGCGCACAGCTTGGACTCTCTCTTTGTTTCGTGCATCATCTTCTGCTGTGTTGTCAATGGCCATCTGCTGAACCTGGTCGCTGGCCACAAACAGATCTGGCTCTAGACTCACCAGCTTATCCTTAATTTCCTGCAACAAAACAGAACTCCTTGCAATGATGGATCAGCCCTGCACAGTCACATTACAGAGGGAGATACACTGATTACCATTTACACCAGGGTAATGAGTGATGGACCAATGTTGTCCATGTGAACCCCTCAGTCCTGTAAATGTATGGGGAGCAATCAGGTGTATATAAATGAGGGGGCCATGTACGAACCCGGTATCTCTCTATCCTGGTGGAAACATCCACTCCCAGCTCTGTCATGGCAGCCATCTTGTCCTGGCACTGTCTGACGGAGTTCTCGAGGTCGGTGATGTGGGCCAGGAACTGCTGGCGGAGTTGGAGCATCTGGCGACATCGCTTCTGGTGTTGGCAGACCTGGTCAATCAGCTGCTCATACTGACTGGTCACTTTGAGTACAGCCTCAGCCTGGCTGGTCTGTCCGGCAGTCCTCAGGACAGAAACCGTCTCATTCAACTTGGACACAGACGTCTGATACCCTGCCAGCTTCTGCTCCAAGTCCTAGAGGAACACACACACACATGATGACACAGGGCAGTAGCACATGTTCATTCTATTGTGAGAAATACCGAGGAGATAACATGACTTGTTTGATGTCTGATTTCAATAATATGATTAATTAGCCATCTAATGAAATCTTCACAGTGTACAGCATTCTGTTTGAAGTAATGGGTCCAAGGTTTTCATCCTAACATCCTACATTACCCTTGATAGTCAGGGATGGACAACAGTTAAATCCAAACATAATAGGAAACCAGTTTTCATGTAAATATATTCAATACATATTGTTTCATATGTCCTTTATCCCTTGCCTGGAACCTTGTGATGGCATCTTCAGCATCTTCTACTGATGCTCCCAAGGGCACCTGCTGCATCTCCGCCTGCATGGTCTTCAGCCACACCTCAGTCTGTGAGATGCTGGCAGCAGCCTCTGTCTGGCTCTGTACAGCCACCTCCAGGGCAAGCACACGTTCAGAGAGTGAGGTTGAAATGGGGTTGAAACGTTGAGGCAGTGATGAAAGCTGTTTGTCCAGGACCGGTCGATCTGTTTCATAGAGGTTTGTGTAGAAGCCTTCACCACGCTGTATCGTCATGGCCAGGAGGTCGGCACATCCTTCACTTGACTGCTGCAGAGCCTGGGGAGCAGTACATGTACATCACAATCGCTGATCAGTTCAACAAGGCCTGCTGATTGGTGTTAGGTGAACACATGAGGGGATTACAAATATCATTGACTTGGAATTTAACCTCTGGTCCCTAAACTTTTGTAGTTACTGTCCTACTCTTTAAGTAATCCTGTAACACATCTAAACACCTTGTGAGGTGTCATGACAAACAGCGGGATTAGCTCCAAGTGTAACACAATTCACCTTCCTGACACAAGATGCAGCTACAAGAAGGGCACTACAAGGTGTGGACTTCAAGTACTAGACTACAAGGTGTGGACTTCAAGTACTAGACTACAAGGTGTGGACTTCAAGGACTGCACTACAAGGTGTGGACTTCAAGGACTGCACTACAAGGTGTGGACTTCAAGTACTAGACTACAAGGTGTGGACTTCAAGTACTAGACTACAAGGTGTGGACTTCAAGGACTGGACTACAAGGTGTGGACTGCAAGGACTGGACTACAAGGTGTGGACTTCAAGGACTGGACTACAAGGTGTGGACTTCAAGAACTGGACTACAAGGTGTGGACTTCAAGAACTGGACTACAAGGTGTGGACTTCAAGAACTGGACTACAAGGTGTGGACTTCAAGTTCTGGAAGTACTAGACTACAAGGTGTGGACTTCAAGTACTACAAGGTGTAAACTTCACTCAGTCACTACTAACTTCAAGGACTGGACTACAAGGTGTGACTTCAAGGACTGGACTGGACTACAAGGTGTGGAGACTGGACTACAAGGTGTGGACTTCAGACTACACTACAAGGTGTGGGCTTCAAGTACTGGACTACAAAGGTGTGGACTTCAAGAACTGGACTACAAGGTGTGGACTTCAAGGACTGGACTACTGGAAGGTGTGGACTTCAAGAACTGGACTCTTCAAGAACTGGAAGTGTGGACTGGACTACAAGGTGTGGACTTCAAGTACTGGATTACAAGGTGTGGACATCAAAGACTGCACTACAGGGTGTGGACTTCAAGGACTGGATTACAAGGTGTGGATTTCAAGGACTGCACTACAAGGTGTGGATTTCAAGTACTGGACTACAAGGTGTGGACTTCAAGTACTGGACTACATGGTGTGGACTTCAAGTACTGGACTACAAGGTGTGGACTCAAAGACTGCACTACAAGGTGTGGACTTCAAGGACTACAAGGTGTGGATTTCAAGTACTGGACTACAAGGTGTGGACTTCAAGTACTGGACTACAAGGTGTGGACTTCAAGTACTGGACTACAAGGTGTGGACTTCAAGGACTGGACTACAAGGTGTGGACTTCAAGGACTGGACTACAAGGTGTGGACTTCAAGTACTGGACTACAAGATGTGGACTTCAAGGACTGGACTACAAGTGGTGCCTACCCTGAAGGTCTTCATCTGTTCTTGCAGCACCTCCACGGCAGTCCATGGGAACATCAGTGGAACACTGCAGCTCAGTGTCCTCACACCATCGCTCAATCTGCTGACAGTCTGACTCGAACTGTCTTCGGGCTGCAGCCACAGTGTGGAGGATGTCCTGCTGGTGTTGTAAATGTGTCACCAGGCCCTCGTACCGACCTGTCAGGTCTGTTGGACAACACAACAAACAACACCATCAGTAGTGAGACGAATAGCTGTAGTGGACAACTAATTATAACATACTGAAAATTGTAAATTTTACAATTAATTGCATATTTATGATACTTGTCCTGTCTCACATAGTACACTTCCCCTTTTTTGACCTTTCAGTGGCAATGACGACAAAACGTTCCAGCCTCTACTGTCACCTTGCATGAGCACACTCCTGAGCCAGCTTTTAATTGTAGGCAGTCACAATACGTCCATGATTGAAGAAAAGTAAAAGTGCTCTATATGAGATGGAATATATGAGAAACATCTAACCTGACTCCATGAATGTTCACTACAATCTGTCACCATGACAACACTTGGAGGCTGCCGATGGATGAACGTTTTCTACACACACAACTTCAGCCATGCATTAATAATTCTTGCAGAAAATTCAGGGAAGGATGTATCAGAACTTAAAAAAAAGTGAGCCTAGACTCGCTTCTCAGAAGGTATATCCTCTAAGGGTTAACCAGCATACCATTAAGAGTTACACATTGCATACCACCAAGTATCTCATATAGCATACCACTGAAAGTCTTATCCATTGCTGCGGCCATCTCATCACCACTTTCAGCCTTCAGTGTCTCAGCCTGAACTTTGACTGGTTCAAGGTGCATCATGTGGCTCTGCACTTCAGCGCACAAACTCTGTAACATATCAGGCCAACATTGAATGTCAAACCACAAAAACCCCTTCATTATTGTTCAAATGTACTTGATCCATTGTTTCTCTTACTGCCAATCAGTGATGCTCACCTTGCACTTCTCAGCCTGCTTGTCCACATCAGTGGCCAGGAGTCTGAAGGTGACACTCCTCTCTGCGGTGCGCTCCCGATCCTCCAGCCAGGTGACAAGTTTGTCCACCATCACCTGGTAGTCCTGTCTCTCTGCCATCTTGACATGGATCAGCTGTGTTTTCTGCGACATTAGCGTGTACGACTTGTCATGTTCAGTCTGCACCAATGCCATCAGCTTCACAGAGTCTCGCTCTGCGACAGGTAGATCTGCCACCAGGGATGCTGACTTGCCCCGGATTGTGCTAAGTATCTCCTGTCGGCCACCTAACTCGCCACACAGCTCCTGCAGCACAACACAGTCAACAGTTCAGTAGCACCAGCATACAGGAGAGATGGGGTTCAGTAGCACCAACATACAGGGGAGATGGGGTTCAGTAGCACCAACATACAGGGAAGATGGGGTTCAGTAGCACCAACATACAGTGGAAATGGGGTTCAGTAGCACCAGCATACAGGGGAGATGGGGTTCAGTAGCACCAACATACAGGAGAGATGGGGTTCAGTAGCCAACATACAGGGGAGATGGGGTGCAGTAGCACCCAACATCAGTAGCACCAACATACAGGGGGAGATGGGGTTCAGTCACTGGAGATGGGGTTCAGTAGCACCAACATACAGGGAGATGGGGTTCAGTAGCACCAACAGGGGAGATGGGGTTCAGTAGCACCAACATACAGGGGAGATGATGGGGGAGATTCAGTAGCACCAGCATACAGGGGAGATGGGGTTCAGTAGCACCACCATACTGGGGAGATGGGGTTCAGTAGCACCAACATACAGGGGAGATGGGGTTCAGTAGCACCAGTGGGGTTCAGTAGCACCAACATACAGGGGAGATGGGGGTTCAGTAGCACCAACATGGGAGATGGGGTTCAGTAGCACCAACATACAGGGGAGATGGGGTTCAGTAGCACCAACATACAGGGGAGATGGGGTTCAGTAGCACCAACATACAGGGGAGATGGGGTTCAGTAGCACCAACATACAGGGGAGATGGGGTTCAGTAGCACCAACATACAGGGGAGATGGGGTTCAGTAGCACCAACATACAGGGGAGATGATGGGGTTCAGTAGCACCAACATACAGGGGAGATGGGGTTCAGTAGCACCAACATACAGGGGAGATGGGGTTCAGTAGCACCAACATACAGGGGAGATGGGGTTCAGTAGCACCAACATACAGGGAGATGGGGTTCAGTAGCACCCAGCACCAGGGAGATGGGGTTCATAGCACCAACATACAGGGGAGATGGGGTTCAGTAGCACCAACATACAGGGGAGATGGGGTTCAGTAGCACCAACATACAGGGGAGATGGGGTTCAGTAGCACCAACATACAGGGGAGATGGGGTTCAGTAGCACCAACATACAGGGGAGATGGGGTTCAGCAGCACCAACATACAGGGGAGATGGGGTTCAGCAGCAGTTCAGATATATCACTGTCACCTTGAAAGAAAGCCTCTTGTGAATGCAGGTCAGTTATGTTTATCACAAAGTCACCAAGCATGATGGACCTCCCTCCCCTCAGGACCAGGATGTGGTACTGTGGCTCCTCCATCCCCCTTGGCAGGGACAGGACCAGGATGTGTCAAAATGGTATGTTTCGTGCATAAGCCGATCCCCTGCGATGGGGTCCTAATCGCGGCAAACACAGACCACAGACAACTGGCAGTTACCAATAATTATAACTTTGGTCCACATTATTCAAAGAATTCACAATCATATATATTGCGTCTACTCACGACCCCCTTCTACAGACTGCTTTTTTTGGTCCTCAAAATTCGGCTTATAGACGGTTATATACGGTACCTCCAGATGTCTGATGTACACAGTCTGGGAACCTACTTCCAGATGTCTGATGTACACAGTCTGGGAACCTACCTCCAGATGTCTGATGTACACAGTCTGGGAACCTACTTCCAGATGTCTGATGTACACAGTCTGGGAACCTACCTCCAGATGTCTGATGTACACAGTCTGGGAACCTACCTCCAGATGTCTGATGTACACAGTCTGGGAACCTACCTCCAGATGTCTGATGTACACAGTCTGGGAACCTACCTCCAGATGTCTGATGTACACAGTCTGGGAACCTACCTCCAGATGTCTGATGTACAGTACTAGATGTCTGATGTACACTACCTACCTCCAGATGTCTGATGTAACTGGGACAGTCCAGATGTCTGATGTACACTGGGAACCTACCTCCAGATGTCTACCTCCAGATGTCTGATGTACAGTCTGGGAACCTACCTCCAGATGTCTGATGTACACAGTCTGGGAACCTACCTCCCAGATGTCTGATGGATGTCTGATGTACACAGTCTGGGAACCTACCTCCAGATGTCTGATGTACAGTCAGTTGGGAACCTACCTCCAGATGTCTGATGTACACAGTCTGGGAACCTACCTCCAGATGTCTGATGTACACAGTCTGGGAACCTACCTCCAGATGTCTGATGTACACAGTTGGGAACCTACCTCCAGATGTCTGATGTACACAGTTGGGAACCTACCTCCAGATGTCTGATGGTACAGTCTGGGAACCTACCTCCAGATGTCTGATGTACAGTCTGGGAACCTACCTCCAGATGATTAAGCTGAGTTTGTGTGTCTGCTTCTGTGTCCTCACTGATGTCAGTTTGTTTCTGTTGCAGCCATGACAGATAATTGTTGGCCTCATCCTTGATCTCTACCAGACTTCCTCCCAGCATGCAGTACTGTTGTTGCTTCCTGTTGACTGCGGTGAGCAGCTCGTTATAACTTCGCTCAGTTGTCCTGCAATACAATGTTATACAATCTACTTGATGTCATACCTGACATTCTCTCCCTCATTGTAATAACCTATCTACATGACTCTCTCATCTATACCAGACCTACTAGTCTACATCATCTCCTCCACACTACCTCATCTGACTTATTGATGATGTGACTCATGGGTGCTAGCTCTTCTACAACTGACCTACAGGCCTACATTATTGCTCACATGACTCTCTCCTCCTCCACACTAGACCTACTGACCTACATCAGTGCTCATCCGACTCTCTCCTCCACACTAGACCTACTGACCTACATCAGTGCTAATCTGACTCTCCTCCACACTAGACCTACTGACCTACATCAGTGCTCATCTGACTCTCTCCTCCACACTTGACCTACTGACCTATCATCAGTGCCTACATCAGTGCTCATCTGACTCTCCTCCACACTAGACCTACTGACCTACATCAGTGCTCATCACCTGACTCTCCTCACACACTTGACCTACTGACCTACATCAGTGCTCATCCTGACTCTCTCCTCCACACTAGACCTACTGACCTACATCAGTGCTAATCTGACTCTCCTCCACACTAGACCTACTGACCTACATCAGTGCTCATCTGACTCTCCTCCACACTAGACCTACTGACCTACATCAGTGCTCATGCTGACTCTCCTCCACACTTGACCTACTGACATACATCAGTGCTCATCTGATTCTCTCCTTCACATTTGACCTACTGACCTACATCAGCGCTCATGTGACTCTCTCCTCCACACTAGACCTACTGACCTACATCAGTGCTAATCTGACTCTCCTCCACACTACACTGACCTACATCAGTGCCATCTGACTCACTCCTGATCTCTCTCATCAACACTTGACCTACTGACCTACATCCAGACGCTCACCTGACTCTCTCCTCCACACTAGACCTACTGACCTACATCAGTGCTCATCTGACTCTCTCCTCCACACTAGACCTACTGACCTACATCAGTGCTAATCTGACTCTCCTCCACACTAGACCTACTGACCTACATCAGTGCTCATGTGACTCTCCTCCACACTAGACCTACTGACCTACATCAGTGCTAATCATGTGACTCTCTCTCCACACTAGACCTACTAGACCTACTGACCTCTCCTCCACATCAGTGCTCATCTGACTCTCCTCCACACTAGACCTGCTGACTACACTCAGACTGACTACTCAGTGCTGACCTACATCAGTGCCTCATCTGCTCACTCTCCTCCACATTTGACCTACTGACTACATCACATCTGAGCACTCATGTGACTCTCCTCAACACTTGACCTACTGCACTAGCCTATATCAGTGCTCATCCACACTGATTCTCTCCTCAGTTACATTCTCTCCTACTGACCTACTGACTACATCAGTGCTCATCCTGACTCTCTCCTCAACACTTGACCTACTGACCTACATCCAGTGCTCATCTGACTCTCCCCTTACATTTGACCTACTGACCTCTCACCTGGCTCTCTCACACTCACTTGACCTACACCAACGCTCACACGACTCTCTCATCCAACACTTGACCTACTGACCTGCCTCACTGACCTACACTTGCGGCCTGCGACACTGACGCTCACACCAGACTCTCTCCTGCAACACTTGACCTACTGGCCTACATGAGTGCCTCACACTCAGTGCTCACCAGTGCCTTCACTCTCTCCTCAACACTTGACCTTACACTGACCTACATCTGACCGGCCACCACACCAGTGCTCACCTGACTCTCTCCTCAACACTTGACCTACTGACCTACATCAATGCTCACCTGATTCTCTCCTCCACAAGGTCAGCATCATGATTACTCAGTTTATCCTTCAGTTCCACAGACTTGACCTTCACCTTGTTCACATCTGCCCGACGGTTCTCGATCTCATCAGCATGTTTCTAAAATGACAAAAGCCAGTTAAATTTGAGGACAGAAAATATGATACAAAACAGTACAGTGGCAAACAATTTTCTGCCTCCCAATCAAATCAGTAGAGAAACCAGCAGCAGCAATATCACATCCTGCAGAAACTGCCAGTTAAAGCTGATTACCTTCATGCACTTGTATAGAATCAAGGAAACTTCTCATACAATGTTCCAGGCTATAAGCCTGTATCACCAAGTAGGTGTGTAAGCCTGTGTCACTCAGTAGGCATGTAAGCCTGTATCACTCAATAGGTATGTAAGCCTGCATCATCCAGTAGGTGTGTAAGCCTGTATCACTCAGTAGGTAAGCCTGTATCACCCAGTAGGTGTGTGAGCCTGTATCACTCAGTATGTACGCCTTTATCACTCAGTACGTGTGCGTGAGACTGTATCACACAGTATGTGTGTAAGCCTGTATCACCTAGTAGGTCTGTAAGCCTGCATCGCCCAGTAGGTGTGTAAGCCTGTATTACGCAGTAGGTGTGTAAGCCTGTATCATCTAGTACGTACGCCTGTATCATTCAGGTGTGTGAGCCTTTATCACTCAGTAGGTAAGCCTGTATCACCCAGCAGTGTGTAATTCTGTATCACTCAGTAGGTTTGTAAGCCTGTATCACTCAGTAGGTGTGTAAGCCTGCATCACCCAGTAGGTGTGTAATCCTGTAAGCCTGTATCACTCAGTGTGTAGGTGTGTGAGCCTGTATCACTCAGTAGGTGTAAGGTGTAGTAAGCCTGTATCACCCAGCAGTGTGTGTAAGGCCTGTATCACAGGTGTGTAGCCTGTATCAGTGTGTGAGCCTGTATCCTGTGAGCCTGTATCACTCAGTAGGTGTGTAAGCCTGTATCACTCAGTAGGTGCGTAAGCCTGTATCACTCAGTAGGTGTGTAAGCCTGTATCACTCAGTAGGTGTGTAAGCCTGTATCATCTCAGTAGGTGTGTAAGCCTGTATCACCTAGTAGGTGTGTAAGCCTGTGTGTATCCCTAGCAGGGTGTGTAAGCCTGTATCACCCAGTAGGTGTGTAAGCCTGTATCACCAGTAGTAGGTGTGTGTAAGCCTGTATCACCCAGAAGGTGTATGTAAGCCTGCCTGTATCACCCAGTAGGTGTGTAAAGCCTGTATCCTCAGTAGTGTATGTGTGGAAGGCTGTATCACCCAGTAGGTGTGTAAGCCTGTATCATTCAGTAGGTGTGCCTAATCACCCAGTAGGTGTGTAAGCCTGTATCACCAGTAGGTGTGTAAGCCTGTATCACCCAGTAGGTGTGTAAGCCTGTATCACCAAGTAGGTGTGTAAGCCTGTATCACTGTAGCCTGTATCACACTCAGTAGGTGTGTAAGCCTGTATCACCAGTAGGTGTGTAAGCCTGTATCACTCAGTAGGTGTAAGCCTGTATCACTCAGTAGGTGTGTAAGCCTGTATCAGTAGGTGTGTAAGCTCAGTAGGTGTGTAGGTGTGTAAATGTGTATCACCCAGTAGGTGTGTAAGCCTGTATCACCCAGTAGGTGTGTAAGCCTGTATCACCCAGTAGGTGTGTGTAAGTATCACTCCGTAGTATCCTGTAAGCCTGTAAGCCTGTATCACCCAGTAGGTGTGTAAATGTGTATCCTCTAGTAGGTGTGTGGCCTGTATCACTGTGTGTAGTGTGTATCAGCCTAGGTGTGTAAAGCCTGTATCCAGTAGGTGTGTAAGCCTGTATCACCCAGATGTATCCTCTAGTATGTGTGTAAGCCTGTATCACTCAGTAGGTGTGTAAGCCTGTATCACCTAGTAGGTGTGTAGCAAGCCTGTATGTAATCACCCAGCCTGTATGTATCACCCAGTAGGTGTGTAAGCCTGTATCACT